TAGTTTTATAAAACACATGAAAGTGAAAACTAAACTAATATAGTACAATTCAGTCTAAAGAATCGTTATAAATTGTTCCTGAACCCTCATTATGTATGGCTAATTAGTCCCGAATGGAAATTAAATAGAATTTCTAATTTTATAAGGAGTCTTGTAATAAAACTGATAGACTATATCATTAAAAAGAGGGGTACTGCATTACCACTTCTTGTTGCTCGATTTAACTGTTTTTCTAGTAGAGGATCCGGTTTAAGAACAACACGCCTCATTCTTTTCCGTGATAAAATATTTTTTTTTAATAATAAAACTTATTGATTAATCAAATGAGAAATGATTGACAGTCTATATCTTAGCAAGACTATATTTAATTAAAAATTAATTAATTTCATTTTTTGTCAGTATTTTTCTTTATAAATTTAGTCTCAATCAAAGAAAAAAAGTATATAGGAAATGCCATACAATGTTTGACTACCTTTTTTTAGGCAACAATACATGTCAACCAGGTGTAAACAGGTAATCGGATGAAGTGATTTACCCTCATTCTTCTTCTTTAAAAATTAAATATGCAAATATACAGAATTTTATTACGAACCCAACGATATATGATTGACTTTCCAAATCGTGGCAAAGCTAATGATTGACACGATCTAAAGTTTCAATAATTTCATGTAAAAATAAAGTGTGACTGCGAGCTCTATATCTTTTTTCATGTACGGCAGAGAAGGATCTACCACAACAGCTGCGCATAAGGCTCTTGCCAGAAAGAGAAAGGCGTGTGTTCAGTTCTCTGTGTATAAGACAAAGATATATTCCCCCACTTAAAATTATTTTGGAACCTTACCGCATTTACTTATTTAATTTTTAAAGAAAAAGGATGAGGGTAAATCACTACATCCGATTACCTGTTTACGCCTGGTTGACACGTATTGTTGCCTAAAAAAAGGTAGTCAAACATTGTATAGCATTTTCTATATACTTTTTTTCTTTGATTGGTACTAAATTTATAAAGAAAAATACTGACGGCAACCAAGAAAAAAAAATGAAATTAGTTAATTTTTAATTAAAAATAGTCTTGCTAAGATATAGACTGTCAATCATTTCTCATTTGATTAATTATTAAGTTTTATTATTAAAAAAATATATTTTATCACGGAAAAGAATGAGGGGTGTTGTTCTTAAACCGGATCTTAGACTATTCTATCTAATTCTAATAAATCAAAAACTTCAGGTAATAAAATGGACTTCCTGCTTTTAGGTAATTTTCTTAAACTAGAAATAAAAGGGTCGGAATTTAAAAGCATTCGATGAAAAGATCTGTGTTTGTAAGAACGCGAGACATTTTTCTTGTATTTTCACGTCTAAATAACTTAAAATTTTTATTTGAAGATTCTGCAGCTTCTTCCGAAAGTTCTCCTATCGATAGAAGTTCATTTTCAATAACTTTGTGCACGGAGGCAGGTTGGTAATTTTTTACAAGGTCTTTTGCTGTTTCTAAAGCGTAATTCTGATATTTTATAGAATTAATTTTATAGCCCGAGCCCGAAGCCTGCAAAAGAATGCAACATCGCTTGATAAGATCTTTATCCAGAACAGTTATTTCGGCTGAAGCTTCATAACTTGTAAAAAATCTTCTGGCAGTATAACATGGTAATTGAGCCTGACTTTTCCCTAAAATCTTTTTAAATCCACGATTTTCTCTGTGCAAGAAGTACCTGTTCATTTTGCAATCTAGCTTGCCTCTTTTTGAAATTTGTATGAAAGGTGTATAAAATATTCAAAAAACCTAATCCATGAGTGAAGGGGAGATAAACCAAAACGAAAATTGTGAGTATCGATAGTTTTGCTTAAACATTGCTCAATATCGTTCATTTCTTTAGGTGTAGCATTGCAAATCTAGCAGCTACTTGACGATATTTCCGCTAAGGAGCAACATACTTTACCGTCAACCATTGTCAATTGCAAAGAATATTGAACCTTTTCTTCACGATCGCCATATTTAAAGATTGTAGGCTTCAAATTTTTAATTTTGTCTTCAAAATACTCTTCTTCTTGCAAAGAGAGTTCTTTAGTTTCCTTGGCAAGCTGAAATCGGATAATTCTGCAAAATCGAGTGGTGGAAGGGCGCGGATTCTTCCACACAATAACATTGCTGAAGTTGCTGATTGACAAACTAGTTGGAGAGGAACATAGGATGTCACGAACAGGTTTTCATCGCTGGTATTTACAGAAAACTTCTGCTTATATTCACTGTGCCCTGAACACCATCAACCCCATTTTCCTATTAACATTAAGTCTCCTTGGAGTTGAAGTGTCGACAAAACGTCTTTTTGTGACTCAAGAATCCGGTTAGCCGTGTGATCCACAAGTGACTGCAGTTCAACTTCTGCAGATGTCTCTGACACTTTTTCAATCCGGAGGATAGCACGTTTTCTTTGCCTCCAGAACTTTGTGATAGGAAGGAAAGACACTTGAAGCCATTTTTGAATTAACAAAATCTTTAATTAATGTATATTGATGCCTGGTCAACTTAGCTTCAGCGTTTAGATGGTTCACTACGTTGTTCAAACTTTTTCAAAAATCTTTTTGGCTTGCTTGTTGACGGCTCTTGGGGACCTGCTGGATTTCTACCATTTCATCCAGCAGAATAGGTTGGGCAAGCGGAAGTTCACAAATTTCTGTCGTGTTTAACCATTCCTGGTGCTTAGCTACTAGTTTTGATCTAGAACTAGAAGTTTGCCTCACTGAAGTTCCTACAAAGATAAGAGACACGGTTTTCCAAGTTGATAGTCTCGATCTCTCTATTGGGCAAAGTAGTTGTCAACTCGGCTAATATTTCACGGATTTTTTCCGAAAATTTGTTTGCTTTCTTGGCTAACCAAGTATTAAAAATGTACATCCACGTGAAGGTGTATTTTACTATTTGATTTGCAACAAAAGAAAAAAAATAACCCTACGTTTTTTTTGTATACATTTTCTTTTATGTATTTTTTTTAGCGTAAAATTGATTAAAAGCAAAGATTGGTAAACAACTTTATTAACTCGGGGCTCAGAAGTGCAAAATAGCATGTGTACCAGGTGACTAAAGTTTGTTTTGCCTCTCGGCGATTTGTAATTTTTGGCCTCGGGATACACAGTGACAGTGTAGTCCCTAGATGTATAATGCACTATAACAAAAGCAATGATAAAAATAATTTTGTTAACAAAACGTTACGTTATTATTGCTATTGGAAAATAAGGTATATAACTCGCAACTTATCGAGGGGTAAAGCATTAGAAAAAACTAAAAAAGGGGCAATGGCAAGAAAAGAAACAAATGATTATCCTTAAAGTCTGTTACTGCCAGATTCTTGCATTGGAAGGAATATTTACAAAGATTTATTGAAAGACAGAACTGAAGAAAGTTGACAGATCAAAATGCTAAATGTATCTTGGAGGAAGACCTGTACGATCCCGAAGAAGATATACCGAAAGAAACTGTGAATTGAACAAAGATGTAGTAGACTCTAGGAAATACACTCCGCAATAAGACACTACTATAATACTCCGTTGCATTGTGACTAAAAGATTTCTCTTAAATGCGATGCAAATCACAAAGGAGCGAAAAAAAAAATGCAAAATGCATTGGTCAACGCTTTGTCGGGGCACATTCACATCGCGTCCAAATAGAAATAGAGTTGCGTCAAACGATTAAAATATTTTACAATTACAATACAATTTTCTAGTTGTCTTTGGGAAAATAAATATAACTAGAAGTTCTTGCAATTTAAGTACAATTTTTTTTTAAATCTACCGTTGCCTTTGTTAAGGAAAACAAAAGTCCGTAAGAGGTTTCGCTGTTAATTCGGCGTGTAAAAATGTAAATGCGAACGGGTCAGACACGCATGGAAAAACGCGGCTGTGTGAACGATTTAGATGCTATCCAATTATAAACGTAGTTGTAGCAGCGAGTGCGCTGTTTGTACGCCGAGTTACCTCACAACAATGATACGCCCACCAAAGTCATTCTTAACTAATCCGTACACCATTATTTTTAATTAATAAGAACTAAAAATTCAGATTTTCACGAAATACTAGATATTCACATGACAATTGTTTCGACAACACCGTGTCTTTACCAAATGTAAGATTTACAAACTACCTGCTACTATATATACCGAAAAATGACAATAAAACCTTAGTTAATGTTGTGAGAATTTAAGTTTAATAATAATTTCAATTGATCGTTAAGCAACACATTTCGATGTCTCATCTTGTTAATCTCCACGGCTTCCAATAAATTTAATTTTCTACTTTTTGTGGCTGTATGTAAAATATCATTCTGGTTTACCAGAACTTTTCCAATATGTTTAGTTATATCAAAGACAAGTCAACTAACTCTACACTATTTAATGACAAAGACGAGTATTTTTTAACAATTATGAATCCATAACCGCCGAAATTAATTTCATTAGTTAAATTACATAAACAAGGTATGCCCATTAGACCAATCGTGTCTTATGTAAATAACAAAATTAGTAGGTATTTTAAAGTTCTGCATAGATTTTAAACCAAAATTTGCAATAAAAAAATTCTTTTGAATTAATCAACAAAGTTAAAGATATCAAAATCCCTTCTAACGCAAGACAATTTTCTTTTAATGTACAAAACTTATTTCTCAGTATTTCACCTATGGATGTGATAAATAATGTCTTGATTGTTCTTTTGGTTCTTTTTTTGCATTCACAGTGCTTTAAATATTGGTACCAGAATTGTTTTCTTCGAGTTTCATAGAAACATTCCGTTGTCTCAAGATGTAAATATAACTGCTATCATTTATTTACTTTGCTTGAATCTGTAGATAATAGAGCAAGTGATTTTGTATTGTTTATCCAGCTCAAACTAATTTCTTGAAACTGATACTCCCTGAGACCAGGTTTTTCTTATATTATGATATGTTAATAAATTCAATAATATTAAAGGACTACCTGAAGGCCTTCACTAATAGTGTTTCGTTGTTTCAGATGGCCGACACAGTGAAGAAATCTAGAATAGTAAGTGAAGAAGACAAGGATATGGAGGCGGCTTTGTTAGAAGAATTTAACATCAGATTAAAAAAGTGCATGAGCAATGTGTGTATTTTTATTTTATAGCTTCGTTGCTTTGTGTACCCCGTGCCGTCAATTTAAACGCTTAATTCACTCAAAAGATTGAATGTGTATTTTTTAGAAGTTATAAGCTCCGTAAAAGGTTTTTATACATGGTGCTAATTAAAATCGTGCGGTAAATTTAAGCTGCTTTTATTTTTTTTACCATAATTAAGTGAGTTGCAAAGAAATACAAAAAAAACTATTAGGCGTTACATATCGACCAAAGAAAGTATTTAAAATTTTTAAAACATAAGGAACATAAGAAGAAATAAACTTTACATTTGTTTTTATCAATTTATAAAATTTTGACCTATGATTTTGATATGGTCATATGATTCTGGTTAATCACGTTTCCAAAAGTAGCTGCTTTCAATAATATTTTTATGAAAAAAGAAACCAGGTGTGGATGCTAAGACGTTAATGAGTTTCTAACAAATTAGGTGTAGGAGAAAAAAATAAAATAAAACTAGGATTTTTACGCATTTTAAACAGGGACATGTTATTATATTACATTTCAAATAAAAGAAGAAATTAATCATTCATTAATTAAACATTTAATTATTTTAATTAATTACAAACAAAGTGATTATGTTGTCTCCATTTTTTATTAATTAATTAATTAATTAAATATAATTCTGCTAAATATAAATATATTTCGAAAGCTCCAATGAAAATGTCCAACATTGTTAGTCTAAATATAATCGAAAAGCAGCTTTTAAAGCTAACAATAATGTTGGAAACTTAATCAAAAATAATAAAAAAACGAACACATGAAAACAAAAAAAAATAAAATTATGATTTAATGGTTTTTACTCATCTGATTTGAATTTTACAATTTTCACCAATTATTCTAGCACCGTAATATTTATATACATTTAAAATAGAAAAAGAAATTAATCATTCAATTAACTAACTTGCTAGATTTGTTAATTAAAATCAAAATAAGTTCCATGTTGTTTCTAATTTTTTGTAAAACTTTCTACTGACACTGTTATTACCATCCCATTTTCTTCTCAACGTCCATATTCACATAAATTAGCTATTTTTTTATATATAGGTTTCTACCTCCATAGCACTAAAAAAAAGTTAATGCGAGATCATAATTCTCCTGCATATAGCATTTTAATATATTTCGAAAACTCTAATGAAAATGTCCAACCTTTCAAGTGTAAACATAATCAAAAAGTAGTTTTTAACGCTAACAATTCATTATGAAACTTAATTAAAAATTATAAAAGACGAACAAATAATTAGTAGAACCGTTTAAACACGGTTTTTCTTGAACAACAAATTCTTCTTACCAGTTCAAATGAAAATAAACAACATAGTAAAAACTAGCACACACAAAATCAACCATATAAAGAACTGTTTATATATAAAAAAAACAAACACTGGCATCCATATCACTACAAATACAATTAAAAATGTCCATCGCTTGAAAGAGTGGACTTCTAACTCAAAAATTTATCGAATGGGTTGGTATAGAGGCTACAACTTTTGCCTTAAGGTTTTCACTTATTTTGCAGGGTATTCCGGATATTTTGTGTCTCAAGTGTCTTAGGTTTAGAGCTGTCCACTTTTAATTGGGCAAGTATTTTTAAAATTTTTGTATTTTTAATTCTTTTCTTGTAAAGACAATGAGTATACTTCGACCAGAATTATAGTGCTTTTACAACCGATCCCGTGATTAAATTTACCTACTTTTTATTACTCCAAAACCGCAGCCCCTTATAGAACACCCTGCCGAGCAAATCCTTACCCGTTACCATTCCAGGATCGTCCTAGGAATGTATCTACCTACACGAACAAGAATGCTTTCGAAAAATCGTCGCTGGGCGGTTCAATATGGATTTTTTCTAATATCCCGCGCAATACCAAATACCGCGAATATAAAAACTGTAGCTCTTGATGCGGCCTGACTCTGTTTAAACCCATTAGCCATATTTTTTACGATTTTTGATTTGCGGCTAATAATTTACTCTTTAAACGAACAAATTTCTAGGTCTTTTAGATGGAAAAAATACCTAAAATAAAAGTTATTGCAGTGGATCTTCCGCGTCTGCTGGCTAAAGAATTTTGCCGATTGGGTGAACGATTATGGGGGAAAACATATTTTTCTAAAAGATAAAATTATCAAAAAAAAATTTTTCAAATTTTTTTAAAAAATAGTTGCTAAAATTTGATTGTACCCTTGTTCTACTTATTCGAAAATACCTCGCAGCATCAATGCTTAATCAAATTTGCGGTTCAAATAAAAATTTCAAGTTCCTACAAATATTCGTTACGGTCCGTCTAAGGCAAGACCTACTTATTGCAGAATAAACATCTGTTGGAATGGGTCAAGGTACTGTAAAATACTTAAAACGTCAAAGCAATAAATGCACTATATTTTTGGTCGTACAATAATAAAAATTGTCATGCACGTGTTAATTTGAAGAAAGCATTACGGAATCATATAGATTTTATCAAAAAGCGCCAAGGAAGCAAAATGATATTTAACTTTGATTAAATCGTTGGCTTCAAAAAAAATCAGTATTTTTTTTTTCGTTGAGTGGATCGGTAAACCCTTGGGAGAAATAAATGAATGAGCAGTAGGTGAATTTTGCGTTTGAACGCGTCGCGTCCCTAACACGCTTGCCGTTTTCGAGTGGCGCTACTAACCTCACCTTGCAGGACGACCTCCAAAAGGAGGCGGAGCCCCCCGAGCCCCACGAAATCTACGAAAGCGTCGGCGTAGACAATCTTCACGAGAATTACTACGAAGAACCCTCGGACGTCCTGGAAAACGGACACGACGACGAAAACATCTACGAAAACATACCGGAAAAGACTGAACGATCGGACCAAAACGACTTAGCAGTAGCGGGAATCGAAGACCATTACGAAGAGTTGGAGGAGGCTCATGTCCCTTTGCCCACCACCTTTTTAACGGATTACTCGGAGAGCAAATCGCCAGAGTCGGACGGCAAGGCGTCCGTGAAAAATCGGATGTTGTTATGCACCGACGACACCTCCACGTTGCTCTTCACTCAAACGGTGACGTCGCCCATGCTCACTCCTTCCGAGGAGAACATCGACTTCCTCAAAGGCTTCCAACGCGAGCCGATCAACTCGGACGGTGCGCTATCGAGCGCTCCTCCTTTACTGGAGGACGAGAACTTTTACGAAAACGCCAGTTTTTTCAAAAACACCACGCCGGAGAACATGTACGAGAATTTGAGGCTCGACGATAACGTTTACGACAACTTGGAGTTCGACAAAGGGGAGAACATCTATCAAACGGTGGAGGAGTGCTCTGAGGATAGAAAAAGCGAAGGGAGTTTGGAGGAGTTCATCCGGAACGAGAGGGAATCATCCGGAGGCTTCGAAGAAACGAAGAACCTCGAAACTTCGAAAGTGATTACGAAAAGTGAGACGGTAGTAACGAAGGAGAAATCGATCGAAACGTATTCCGAGATGGTTTACCACGCTAGATCGGAAACCGGTTCGAATTACTACGAAAAGTACACGGAGGTATTGCTGAAGAACTCGAAGAACGAGATCGGGAACCGGGAGAAAGATACTGAGACGGTGCCCGCGGAGATCGTGAAGAACCTCAAGTCGCAGCTTTGGAACTGCAAGTCAGGGGCGGAGGTGGTCGGTACCGTCAAGAAAGAGGGTGTCAAAGAAGCCAAGGCGGGAGTAAACATCGTCGACCAGATTAAGAAGTTCGAGCATAGTGACGAGGACAAAGCGGAAGACGTGAGTAGACATTTTCTTGGCTAGGTATACCTCGGCGGGACCGTAAGTCGCATTTTGCGTTTTGCTGTTTTCGGTGTGCTTGTTTTGGTTAGTTTTACTAATCGTACTCGGGCTTAGGAAAGGTTCGACGGGTCCGTAAATTGTTCGACACTGACGTGGCGAAACATGAGAATCTTTACTAGATTACGAGGGCTTCCTTTTATATTTCGAGATTTGTAATAAAAAACCACAAGCTACCAACAAATATGACTGTATTGTTTCTCAAAATATTCACCCCGATGATCGATACGCTTTTGCATTCGATGAAACCAATCACCACGTCGATTCGGGCGCCTCCAAAACATGCTTTTTTATGGGAATAAAAAGATGTCATTTGGTGCTTAATCAGGACTTACGGTGGATGACTGGCCCATCGAATCAACGTTTTTAATGCCCAAAAAGTTATTTGTTTGCACTGATCGGTGAGAGCTAGCATTGTCGTCGTGAATTAATTCTTCGTTTAATTTCTTCGAAGATTTTCGGCAAACAAATGGTTGTGTATCATTCAGAATTGACTGTTTTACCTCTCACCAAAGAAACAGTTGCGACGTGGCCAGTTTTCCTGAAAAAACAGGCTACCGTTCGTTTCGAGGTGTTTTGTGGGCTTTGTCTCATTCTGGAAGATCCACACAGTCGACTGCTACTTGCCTTTAGGTTCATCTGTATAGATGCAAATCGTGTGGAATCCAACGCGAACAATTTTTTTAGTGACCAAATGTTCATGCAAAATTGTATCTATGCTGGTCCCGCTAATGCTCAAAGATGCCTTAATCTCATGGTAAGTCATTTGACGATCGTGCAAAATCAATTTCCGCACTGCATCAATGTTTTGGAAAATCACCGATTTTGGACCACCTTCACGAAATTCATCCTTTGGAAAACTACGACCACGACTGAAGTACGAAAACCAGCGATAAACAGTAGTCGTAGACGGTGCTTTAACTCCAAAAGTCGAATTAAGCTCATCATTGTTGTTCCACGTCTAAAGTTGTAAAAAAGTATTGCACAAAAACGGTTCATTTTTAACAGCCACATTTTTTTTTAATTTATCACAAAACCACACTCTTGCGCCAAAACTTAATTGAGTAAACCTAACCTCAAAATGTCAAACTTCCTCATAAAAACGTTAATCGCCAGATGGCGGGACTAGTTTGAGAAAATCCCGAAATATCAACGGCAGCCCTCGTATAACACAATTAATTACTCAACAATACCATCGATAAAATTCGCTGAAACTTTTTTCTTAAAGAAATTCCTAATTCTATAATTCCTTCTCTATAATTGACAGTAAAAATTGGCCGCAGTTGGCCATGTTCAGGTTGATGTGTTAAGGAACATAAGGTTTTAGTGCATTTGTGAGAGATCTATCCATAAAAAAAAAAGAAAATCCATCCGTAATCAAAGATTCTACAACGATGATACAGCCTTAAGCAGGGCACAAACTGTATTTGAAAGACACTGTATTGAAACATAATAGAAATTGGTATAGTCGAATTCGTTGTCACTTTATTAAAAAAAAATTAATTTAAGTTGAAGCAATAAATTGTTTAAGTGCGGACACGTACGAGTGACATGGACGCGCGGCCTCTGAAGATGCCAAGTGATATTTTGGCGAAACGTCAGGCGAATGATCCTACACCAGGGTCAAACAACGAACGGATGAACACCCGGATTATAACAAAAAAAATAAAATAAAATATATATATATATATATATATATATATATATATATATATATATATATATATATATATATATATATATATATATATATATATATATATATATATATATATATATATATATATATATATATATATATATATATATATATATATATATATATATATATATATATATACACATAAGTTCCTCTAATGGTCCATCTAAGTGAACTATAGAAGTCGGAGGATTATAATATTTAATAAGCATAAATATAATAGAATAATAAATAAATAAAAAAATACAAAAAATTAACATGAATTGTAGAAGTCGGACGATTATAACATTTAATAAACATAAATACACTAAAATAATTAATATAAAAAAATAATAAAGATATTCAAAAATAACTTAGCATGAATTATATACACTAGAAAATTATAATAATTAATAAACATAAGTATAATGCAATAATAAATATAAAAATATAATAAAGGTAGTAAAAAAATTAACTTAACATAAATGATAGAAGTGGGAAGATTATAATGCTTAATAAATATAAACATAATAAAATAATAAATATAAAAAATTATAAAGGTAATAAAAAAAAATTATATTTCGTCTGTTCGCAACAAATGGGAGAAATTGTCACGGACCCGTCGGCCTCCTGCTGTTTAGTTTAAGTAGCAAGTAGTTATAGTTCATAGGGTGTAGTAATTTTTTTTTTCGTTCAGAGTACCGAGTATTCGGAGACTATAATGGAAAGTAACTCGCCCGGAGAAATGATTATTAAAAAGAAAAAAACTAAAAAGACCCGAAAGGAAGAAAAGGAAAATATTTCGGTTGTAAGTTTGTTTGTTTTTTGTTTTTTTGTTTTTTAATTTCGTGTATAGTTCGCTTATTAACGTTTTGTCTTTTTTTTTATTTATTTGGACTAATTTCGTTTTAGACCGATAACGGATTTGTTGAAGCCGAAAATTTTTATAATGTTAACGTTAAAATTTTGGTAAGCATAGTTTTTTGTCGTTCTTTGCATGGCTTTTTATAATTTCGCCGTTTTCGTTTTTGTTTTACCGTTCGTTTAGTGTAGGAGCTTTGGCGATTTAACAAAAATCGACGGCAAGCGCTGGCGGGAGAGCAAAAAGAACAGCGAACGATGGGTAAGCAGAGCGAGACGATATATACGGCGGTGTGAAAAAGTGTGGAAACTTTTAATAAAAAACTAGAGCTTTTTTACATTTCCGTACCGTAAGAGACGCCACTGACATGCAAGTCCCAAATTCAACGGGGACTATTCGTAATATATACGAAAGTTTCTCGAAAATTAGCCTTTTTTCTTTTTGAATTTTTGAAAAAAAAAAGAAAACTAATGACACTTTTCTCATTGCGTTAGTTGACATTATTATATTTTGAGTATGTCTAATTTTTTTTTTCGGACCTGCATTTTTATCAAACATTTCGAAAATACTCATTGTGAAAAAATACGTGTGTGACGGATAATGATTTACTAAACATTAAGAAGTTTTCATAAACAGTTAAAAATTAATTTGGCTATTAAAAAGAAAAGGTCCTGTAATGCCATCAATTTCTAAAAGAGCTTAAAAAAAAGAATTTTTTTCATTTTTTGCATAGAAACAGGTATTTTTATTATGGATGCGTGGAAGTGGTTAATATTTAATGCTCTGACCTAAATGTGGCGAAAACATGGTATACAGGGCGGTAACAAATGGCCATAAAAAATGTTTTTTAATTTGTTAAAAAACACTCATTTAATTTATTAATGCAACACCCTGTATCAAGCACTTTTATTGAGTTCTGGATTTAATTCTGTACTCATATATACCGGGTGACACAAGAAAGTGGGAACACTCTAACTTTTAAACGACTTGAGATAGTGATTTGAAATTTGAAGGAGTTAATATAAACTGAATGTCTAATTTTTTGACAATATTTCCGGTTGGGCGGAAACCTATATTTTTTACATTTTTGGATCCAGGAAACCATTCTATGTAGGATAGGACGGGTTTTCTCTTTTTTTCGTTCATTTTTTAATTTTTATTTAATTTTTGAAAATTGTGTCTAGGAGGCTGTGACCGGGTCACCTGAGCATGGAAAAATTGTAAATGGAACTTTTCTTTACTTGTCTTAATTTTCAAAATTCGTTAAAAAATAATCTCACAGAAAGAAGAAAACCAAATAAGTAAATACATTTTTATAAAAACAAAATATTACTTAGGTGGCTTTGCTTCTATTCATCATCAAGCTGGAACGATTTTGTCGTTTTCCTTCCTGTGAGCTTATTTTTTAATGGATTTTGAAAATTTGTGGTCAAAATGTTGCAATTCAATTTAAAAATAAACAAAAAAACTTGCAAACAGATTTCGGGAACTGCTGTAATGAAAGAAAACATCCAAAAAGTGTGGAGGTCGGGAAGTCCGCCAGAAACCACTTCCAGAATGCATAAATCAATTTTAAGAATGAGGAAAATATAAAAGTCTTAATCAAGAGAAAAATGGAAAGAGCAGGTTGTCCCTCCATTAAATTGAAGTATCGTGGAATGAGAGTGTTTTAAAATTTTACAAAAATTGGTTGATTCTATACCTAGAAGATGCCAGACGGTTCTAGATGCTCTACAGGAAATACAAAAACAAATCAGATTTTTATAAAATGTTCGGCTTTTATTAGAAATTTCCTAAAAATTAATTGATATTAAACAATTTCCACACTTTTTTCCGCCCCTGTAAATTTAGGGAGATAACCAAATAGCATTTTACGTTTATTTGTAGCGCACTAAATCGCTTACGGACGTTTCGCCTGCTTCTATTAACATTAAACCCATCGAAAACGTATTCACCGGAGTGTCGGTTCGGATATTGGTAAGCATCGTGTTGAACTAAGACGAACAATTCCAAATAGCAGAGAATTTTCGAAAAAACCCACGTTAGCAGAAACACGTTCGTCCCTGTGTTTTCTATAGATTCTCGAATATTTCTTTGGTCGAAGAATTGATTACACGCATGATTGTGTTTAACAACTGTTGCTGATTTGATATGTCATAGCCTTAAGACCCTTTCATGTTCTTTTGGCCTAGTAAAGCGGTCGGGGAACTTCTTTAATCATTACCCCAAATTTTTTTTTACCGAAAAACATCATTTAAATTTAAAAATATTTTTTATGGGGGTATATATTAAATTTAAACAACTTTTTTCGTCTAATAATACAAGAAAAATATCATATGAATTACAAAATAACAAGAAATTATCATATTTTCTGTGGAGGCGACTTTTTGCGACAATTTGGGCTACTGTAACAAATAATAATGATAATAATAATGATAAAAGGATCTACAATCCAACTACGTGTATCAAGATCTGGAAAGTAATCTGAAAACCGCTTTCTGAGTTGGATAAGATGTCAGCAAAAGCAATATTTTCGCAATCTTCCAAAAACAAAGCTAGTGTTGGAAAAGAAGTTATCTTGTTCTGTTCTACTTTCTGTCTCAAGCATTGCAGCTTTAATCCAAACGCTGACAGTATTTCTCTCGCTGAAATGATATTAATATTCTCTCCTTGCAATTCTTTGTTTAATATATTTATACTCTCAGAAATGTCCGCCAAATATGCGAGACACGCAACCAAGGAAGAGTTTTTAAACTTATTTGATCAACCATTTCAGTTTTGAGAGTCCATACTTTTTACGAAAGCCGAAAAAGCATTAATATGACCCAGCATACCTGGAGCTCCATCTAAAGATACAGAAGTAAAGTTTTCCCAATTTAGACATCAATTCCAAGAGATCTCAACTCGAGAGGAGAACAAAACAGCAATTCCTCTTCAAAATTATCTGCACCTTTGTAGCGAACATTAGCCGTGAATTGCTACTAAAATCAGCCCGTTTTAATGCCGAAATAACCTGCTCCTTCACATTTTCTGCTAATGTAGAAATTCGTTCATTCAGTACCTTCATACATACAACACACCATTGTCCTCTATTTGTATAAAATCGAAATTAAGGAATTCGTCTTTCTATGGTTTTTTTTCTATTTACTGCCATCCGAAGGGAGACAGAAAATAATAGTTGTAAAATACTTGAGTTAAATTTTCAAATTGAGGCTTACCTGGATCGCAGTAAATGTAAAATGTTTAGAGATTTTCGGTATTGGTTTTAACATTATGAGTGGCAACTGTTGCTGAAATTTATTTCGTATCGATACGCTTAATGTCTCCGTGAGCCGAAAATAAGTTATCTCTAATACTGCTTCTATTATACGTTTAAAAGTATTTTAATAAATTAATTTTTATTTATATCTCAGATGGGAAAAACTATATTCCATGTCTTTTGCACTACTTGCTGTGTTTTTTTTTTACGCTCTTTCATCCTAGCCAAAAATATTTATGCCATTATAATTGAAATTTTCGAGGAAATAAAAATAGCTGTTTTTGATATGAAGCGCGTAAAAGCTCCTATAAATACTCGTTAAAACTAAACTAAGTTTGTCGAAATTGGGTAAACCAACCCTTAATTTGACGAGATAGAAAAACATAGTTTAAACAGAAACTTTCTCTGTTCTCTATCTAGAGTAGATTACGTTAAAACGAATTTAGGTATAAGTTAATAATAATGTAATCTTTATTTAGCATTATGCTACATATAAAATACAAAATATAAATTCGAAGTATATAATATAAAATTCCCGGAAACCAAAAGCTAAGCACACAGAAATCAGAATTTGGACAATACATGGCGTCTTAAAAGTCTTTTAAATTTATTAAGGGTATCATAGTTTTTAATATCATGCGGTAAATTGTTAAAATGGTTTAGGCCTTTATGTAATTTAGAGTTTTGTACATAACTCGAATTACATTCTTTTAACATAAAATTACCACAATTTCTTGTATTGTAAGAAAGAATATCTCTGAAATAGGTAACTTTTTCACAAACATGATTGGGAACACGCTGCCGTTTAATTTTGACAATAAATACATACACATTAAACATTACTTTTTGCTTTACAGACAAGAAATTAAGAACACTCAACATGCTTTGAATTGGCGTATATATGTTACACTTTAATATATTTCTCATGGCCCTATTTTGAACAATCTGCAATTGCTCTAATTTAAAATTAGGCAAATTGAACAAAAGTGTGGAACAAAATTGTAAATGGGAAGCAGCTAGGCTGTTATACAATAAGATTTTGGTGTTAAATGAGAAATTTGTCCCTATTCTAGATACAAAATTAATCTTTTTAGAAAATTTATTCATTATGTAATCGGCATGTGTATGAAACGTCAAATTTGAGTCAAATATAACACCCAGATATTTAATTTTGTTTTCATGAATTATTTTTTTGTTGTTAATATAATAAATGTTCGAAATTTGATTTACTCAATTTATGTCGTTTACCAAAAATACAAAATTTTGACTTGGCCGTTATTCTTGCACAGCCATTCAGAGAAGCCTTCTTCAGATCAGTATTCATTTTTCTTTGCATTTCATCCACATTTTCACCCACAAGAAAAATCATAGTGCCATTCGCAAATAAAACCGCTTTAGTCTCATCTAAAATATTTACAATATCGTTTATATACATAAGAAAAAACAATGGTCCCAAAACTGTCCCCTGAAAATTTTTTATATTTCGTTTTTTATACCCTATCTGTTAAATACGAACGAAGCCATTAATACGCTATTCCCTTAATACCCATTTTGTACAATTTTCTTAACAGTCTAGTTCTACTTATTGTTTCTAAGGCACGCTTAAAATCCAAAAATACAGCCAACACAAATTTACCATCCTCCAAGGTCCTCGAGAAATCGTCACAGGCAGTAACAACGACAGACATGAATGTTTGGAGCGAAAGCCCGCCTGGGTAGGGACTAAAATATTGTTTAAATCACAATAACTTTGCAGCTGCTGTTTCACCACAACCTCAAGAACCTTCACTGGAACGGTATTAATTGGCCTAAATTTTTGACGTAGATTGGTGTTGGGAACCTGTACAGGTATCACAATTGGTGTCTTCCATGCCTCCGGAAAAGCTCCACTCCTAAGGGAGGTGTTCACAATGTCCAACAATCGATTTCCAACAACAACTCTTTGATATACCACATCTATCACCAGTCACATTTTTTAATTCTCTTATTATTATTTTTAGGCCCTGTATAGTTATGGTATTAAACTGATCTATGTCTTCATAAGTTGGTATATTATCAGTGATATCAATTTGGAATATTGTTAAGAAAACCCTTTTTTTCTATTTTTTTTTTCAAAAGTACTATTGCTGTGTTCCCAAGAACATTGCCCTCTTCAGATTGAACTTCATTATTTGAAGTTTGACCTGTTGAAACAGGTCTTTAGTTTTTTCTATAATATAAAATATAAAAAAAAATAGAATAGGGAAGTACAACGCGGTTTCAGTTATGGTCTGACGAAAGCAAGTGAATAATTGGCGAACCTTAGAACTTGGAAGATTTGGAAAGAGGTTTAAGAGGTTAAAAATTTCTTTGAAAACTACACACCCTTTTGTGCAAACGCGTAATAAACATAGAAGAAACATAAAGACGAAATATAAAATATAAACATTGTAGAATATTTCATATACAGGGTGTTCTGAAATTAGTCAGCGATAAATATGTCATATATAAACATTTCCAAAACAGGTTGAGAGAAAAGAGAGAAAACTTTAAATTAATGTTAACAAAAAACCGTTTTCATTACCATTCGACATGTATATAATATATATATATATATATATATATATATATATATATATATATATATATATATATATATATATATATATATATATATATATATATATATATATATACACGAGGTGTTCCGAAATATGATGAAAATTTAAATGGGTTTTAAATGGGCAGCGTATCATTTATAAAATAGGATGCCGCTAATCGGCCGCTTCGCGTTTAGGAATATAGGTACATAGCTAACCGTAGTTTTTTGCATGTGTGCATGGCCGAATAACAATTAACCATCGTAGAAGGAGAGATTTAACACTGAACCCGCTGTTAGAGGGCTGCTTAAAACGTTTCCCTTTAAAAGTGATGAACTGGTAAGTAATTGACCTCGAACAATTTGGCGATCGACACAAAAATATTGCCGTTTAATGTACTGGGAAGTCATTTAATTTTCCACTATTTGGATATTTTCAAATATATTTTCAATTTACGATAAGGGGACAAAAAATGTTTAAATGTCTTTCTTAGCTTATAATAAAGCCGATATAATTTTTTTGGATGAAATAGCCTTCTTGATCATCTGTAGATCTCTCTCTGTATTGTGTTTTCGTATTTGTCTTTCCAGGTCAAATAGTTGCCTTTCCTTGTAGATTTCCATAAAATTTCTATCAAAATCAGTTTTAACGCCACCTATTGAACCTAACTATACATTAAACCTTAAAATATCAACTTAAAACCCCTCTCTCTGCGACAAATGGTAACTTTTTCTTTTTGATTTCTAAGAAATTCTAATAAGAAATGGTTTTTCCACCGCTCGTTGTACCGGAAAAAACCAGCAGAACTCCTTGTCCCAGATTTTCTCAAAAGAAAATTGTGTCTTTTATCTGTATAGTACAATCGAATTAAGTTGCTAGTAATGGGGAAGGTTGAAAATTTATTTATAAAGCTGGGACTACCTGCAATGCGGTGCGGTAAACGGCATTTGACTCACGAGTGAGTTAAAATTTTACCGAACGTGTTGCACTCTATACTTTTTCTACGACCGTTAGTTTTTGGTTATATTTTCGAAAAACAACACGAATACATTCACTGACATGACCGTCAGAATTGACAAACGTCAAAATTCAAAGCGTGGGAAATATCTCCAAAAATATCCGATTGCTCCCAATTCCGTGCGGTAAAATCCCGGAAATGTAGATCGGTAATTAGGCATTTTACAGACGGGAGTAGAAAAAATGTGTTACTATATGTCGTTTTTAATGTCCGCCATCTTGAAAATCGGAACTTTTGGACAAAATCTTGTTATATGTCCAAAAAATATGTCCACATATGTCAAAAAATATCAAGAGAGCAAAATTGAAGGGCATAAAAAATACGCAGGAAATATGTATTTCCCGCTTTTACCTGTAATCGTATTGAAGATATAATAGCTACAATTTTTTTGAAATAGTGAAAATATGCAAATGTACCAAAAATAGACCTAATACCTGCTGTTTGACTACACTAAATGCTCACTTTGTACAAAGTTTTAATTTTATCTTTAATGGACAACAATGAAAAACAAGATTTTTTTGTCGGATGTTCGTTTATGACCGACCATAGTAGGCCTGAATGTATCTGTACTGTGCGGCTTAACGTTGATTTTGAAACAAAAAATCAACTACCACAGTTTTCCTGAATCTTACGACCGCGAAGACAACATCGTAGGCCCAACTATGAAAGCTATTCAGCGCTCAATTTGATAACCATAACCTCACTTAAATATTGAAAAGGATTATTGATTTTACTTTACTATTCTGTTCTCACTTACCTGGAAATCCTGGAATTTTACTTTTTCTAACTAATTTCAGATGAGCTTTCTCCAGTACAAACTATTTGTTTGTCCTAACAACACATTAAATAAAAACTCAAAGCCAATCAGACAAACAACTATTTTTTAAACGTGGGTAGATGTAGGCCTACTATAGTCGGTCAAAAACGGAAACCCGACAAAAAAATCGTGTTTTTCTTTATTGTTCGTTAAAGATAAAATTATTGTAAATTATAATTATAATGTTTATACAAAGTGAGTAGTCAAGCAGTTGGTACTAGGTACATTTGGTACATTTGCAAATTTTCATTACTTTAAAAAAATTGTAGCTATTATGGAAATACATATTTCCTGCGTATTTTTTTATGCCCTTCATTTTTGCTCTCTTCATGTTTTTTGATATATGTGATAGTTTTGGACATATAATAAGATTTTGTCCAAAAGTGTCCATTCTCAAGATGGCGGACCTTTTTTGAGGCTTTTTGGTCAAAAGTACAGTCCCAGCTTTATGAAAAAAATTTCCTCCCAAACATTTATTTGTATTGTACAACATCTACAGAAGTTTCCGGATATTATTTAATTTTTTTAATTAAATGTGTTTCTAATTTTAATTGGTAAAATTGCTTACAAAAAATTCTGAAATATTTTTTTATGATTTTGAAGGCTGTTATATATTTTTTTTATAACTACATTCCCAACAGTACTCGAAACTGTTTTGCTACCTCAAAATGCTCTACATAAGTCGGAATTCATTGGATCTTAGCTTTTTCGCTGTTTTTTTTTTCCAAACTTTGTTGTATTGTTTGCTGGGAAAGTACAAATAAATAAATAATAATAATAATAAACAAAACAAGGCACGCAAGTAGCCGATATCAAAGATACCAAAAATTGTCACTCCTTTAAACTATCAGATGCTGTTTGCAATATCATTTTGTGAATTTAACATAAAGCCTTGTGCTTTTACTGGGAATACTCCGTAGTGAGTACATAACAGACAAAAAAATGCAAGAAATGCTCCCACTTGTAATTTTTCTTAGCCCGATCCTCTACAAGTCATGGTTTCAGAGATACAAAATACCAATCAGTTCCTATGATTCCCAATATTTTCGATCCGGATTTGCGAGTGACGACCCGTGCTTAAACGGCATTTGCCACGTGACTTTCACCTAGCCTCACGTTCTGTTTGTGGATTTTAGAAATCGAGCTTTAGCAAATTCGACGCCCTCCAAAAGAAGAACGTCCTCCACGTTAGGTCCTCCGACTCCACCAAGGCCCATGAAAAATTTAACGTAAGTCAACGTCGATCCCATCGGATGCGGTGCCTGAAAGCGAACTGTTTTTTCAGGGCGCCCAGATCGACGTGACCAACTGCAAGGCGTGCGGCAAACAGGTCTTCCAGATGGAGCAGATGAAGGCGGAGAAAGCGATCTGGCACAAAAATTGCTTCAGGTGCACCGAATGCAACAAGCAGCTGACGTGAGTTGAAATTTCTCTTAAATATGTTTTTTTTTAACCGAGTTTATTCGTTTTTTTTATTAAAGATGTCTATTTGCAAAAGTTGTGACTAAAATGTGTTTTGAGAAACATTCAAAAAGTTTGACTGTACATTTTTGACACCCACTTAGAAGATTAATTTTGAAAGATAGAAAAAAAAAGTGTAGATACAAAAGTTTGAACATTTTTGCTCTATTATCTTACGCAAAATGACATTTTTTTTTAATGGAATGCCCTATATATTATTGGCTTAAATCGTAGGTCTTTTTTTTCTGATTTCAAAAACATATACAGTGAAAACTGTGTGAATACTATGTATTAATCCACTCTGTATAACGAATTTCTCACTCTCTATACCGAAAGAAAAAAGGGCACATGAGGTAACAAAATAAGGAATGTAGGCCGACTTGTAAGTAATAGTCTCTTACCTTCTCAGAATTCCTTATCCTAATAAAAAAAAATCTCTAGATGATAAAGTTGTTTTAATTCGGGAGATAAAACGGGGAGAAAAGAAAACTGATGTGGGACGTCGATACGGACTAACACCGTCGACTCTATCCACGATTTGCAAGTGGAAAGAAAAAATCATTCAGGCTGAAGCGGCAGTTCTAGTAAAAAACTAAGAAAGCCAAAATTTCACGATTTGGATCGGGAAATGTTGCAATGTAACTGGAACTATCGTAAAACTAAAAGCAGAAAAGTTTACTGAGCAGGCATTATCGATTTCAAGGCTTCGGAAGGATGGTTGGGGAAGTTTAAACAGAGATATGGTATAAATTATGGACAGATAAGTGGCGAAGCCCGTGGTGTCGACGGAAACGTCACTAGCGATCGGCTGGAGAAGACGTGGCCAAAACTGGCAGAAAAGTACCCTGCCGACGACATTTTTACTGCTGACGAAACTGTTATTTTTTACAAAATGACGCCAGATAAAGCTCTTAAATTTCGAAGCGAAAAGTGTGTGGGTGGAAAACTTTCTAAAGAACGTATAATAGTGTTAGTAGCTACTAATATGAGTGGGAGAGAAAAAAGAAAGCTGGTCGTGATCGAAAAATCAACTAAACCAAGATGCTTTAAGAACATTAAGCATTTGCTAGTCAATTACAAGGCAAAAGTCTGCATGGATGACATCCCAAATTTTTGAAGAGGAGATACGGAAATGGGATGCAGAATTGAAGGGTAGGAAAATATTACTTATCTTAGATAACTGCCCTGCACATCTCCATATTCCAAATCTACGGAATATTAAATTGGCATTTCTTCCAGCGAAAACAACAAGTCTATTACAGCCAGAGCTTAATAAAAACTCTTAAGTGTCGGAAAAATATTTAAATGGAATTGATCGAGTCCGAACACAAATTTTCGATGAATATGCTAGAGGCAGTCAACTTTATTAGTAAACCTTGGAAAGAGGTGACAGCAGAAACAATTCAACACTCCATGCAGGACTTATTACCGAGACAGAACGCGAACAAGACTTGGAAGATGATCAGCCACTAAGCGAGTGGATAAAGCAGTTTCAAACGACAATTACGTTTACAAGTGAGGAGTTGCAAATAGCCAAGAAACCAATTTCATATCATTAAACAAATTGCACTGAATAATGGCTACAATCCGTCCATTATAGATAAAATTATAAATAAAAAACAAATCCAGACAACAGTAAACTCTACTTATCCGAAACCTAATACAGAACATTTAAAACAATTACATACGTAGGAGAATTCAGAGAAAAAGTTTCAAAAAATTTGTCAATAGCAAATAGCTTTCAGAACTAACAACACAATAGGAAAATTTTTAGTAAACAATAAAACGAAATATCCAAAGTCTCAAAAATCAGGTGTCTACAGGTTGAAATGCGGATCTTGTCCTAAAATATGTATTGGACAAACATGTAGATCCTTCAAGAAACGCATTAACGAACATAAAAGAGCGTTTAAAAAACAATGATCTAAATTCTAATTATGCTACACACTTAAACACACATTTTTTATGACAATTTTGATATTTTACATACAGCCACAAAAAGTGGAAAATTAAATTTATTGGAAGCCGTGGGGATTAACAAAATGAGACATTTAAATGTATTACTTAACGATCAATTAAATTTAAATACCTCTCCATTATTAAACTTAAATTCTCGCAACATTAATTAAGGTTCTATTGTCATGTCTTGTCCAAACAATTGGCATGTAAAAATATGTAATTTCGTGAAAATCTGAACTTTTAGTTCTTATTTATTTTGATAAATGGATTTTCATCAAGTAAAATTTCAATGTTCAATGTAATTATGCATAGATATTCCTAGATATGAATTTATTTTATATATTTAATGTCATTGTTTTTTCTTAATGTAATTTTTTGTCAATTTTGTTCAGGGTGGATACGTACGAGAGCAACGAAGGCAGTTTGTATTGTAAGCCGCATTTCAAGGCCCTGTTCGCGCCGAAAGCGGTCGAAGAAGATACCCCCGCACGTAAGTATATATCGTACTCTCTATGTCTTTGACCCGATTCGTCGGGGTCCGACGATGATTTCAGCGAAGTCAAGAAGACCGGAGCTGATTATACGAGAGAATCAGCCGGTAGAGTTGCCCCCTGATGTGGTCAGAGGTACTGCGTGCAAAAATGTGTGTGTCGTGATGCCCCCGTTCAGTACCATACAAATAAATGTTTAGGTGTAACAAATTTTTATAAAGCTGGGACTACCTGGAAGAGGTGGTAACGTACTAAAAGTCCCCGTATGTACCTTTGACAAAAAGGACTCCGCCATCTTGAAAATCGGTACTTTTGGACAAAATCTTGTTATATGTCCAAAACTATCACATATATAAAAAAAAATCAAAAGAGCAAAATTGAAAGGCATGTACTTCCAGCCTTTTACCAATAATCGTATTGGAGATGTAATAGCTACAATTTTTTTAAAGTAGTGAACATTTTTTAATGTACCAAAAGATAGTCCTAATGTCCACTGCTTGAGTAGTAAATGCTCACTCTGTATAAAGTTTATAATTATAACAACAATAATTTTATCTTCAACGGACAATAAAAAAAAAAACACGACTTTTTTGTCGGGTTTCCGTTTCTGACCGAGTATAGTAGGCCCATATCTACTCGCGTTTAAAAAATACTATGGTCGGTCACAAACGAAAATCCGACAAAAAAATCGTGTTTTTCTTTATTGTCCGTTAAAGATAAAATTAAAACTTTATACAAAGTGAGCATTTAGTAGTCAAGCAGTAGGTATTAGGTCTATCTTTTAGCACATTTGCAAATTTTCACTATTTTAAGAAAATTGTAGCTATTGTTTTTTCAAAAAGATTATAGGTAAAAGGCTGAAAATAGATATTTCCTGCGTATTTTTTCAATGTTGCTCTCTTGATATTTTTTAATATATGTGATAGTTCTGGAGATATAAGAAGATTTTGCCCAAAAGCACCAATTTTCAAGACCTTTTTTGAGGCCTTTTGGTCAAAGGTACCATCCGAGGCCTTTGAATATATTAAAAAGTAATTAAAAGAAAGTATAGTAACACCTCTTCCAGGCGGTCCCAATTTGTGCCACCTTCCCCATTACTAGCAACTTAGTTCTATTGTACTAGTTCTCGAAATAATATCTATAGCACTAAACATAGCACATAGTTTGTCGTTATTGCTTCACCGGATTAACCTGAGTACTAAGATGTTTTTTTTTGTTGTTTTTAACTGCTGAGAGAATTTTTTCACATGAAAATTTGCTAACTTTCCTTAACCTTAGAAAATTGATACGAACTGAAAATATAAACAAATTTGATATATTTTTTAATGGGACATCCTGTATATTATATCACCGAAAGATCTTTCTTTCCCGCTAAAAACAATTGAATGCGATAATGTTATGTGTTCATTTTGACGTTTCGCATGGTTCACTACTAATTATTACACATCGATCGAATATTTAAACGTTAAATCTTAACTTACACTGATCGGAATACGTCACCGAATTTTTATTTCGTTGTTTGTCAAAGTATACGGGGTCGCTCTGAAAAGCGCAAACATGAATTTTTTAAATGGGGTTGTGTTAGAGCACCTTGGTTGCATACCACCCTTCTTCTTTTCTTTAAAATACGATAAAATAAAGGCTCTTTATTATTATTATTATTAAATTTTTATTTCGAATTCCTTTTAAAATCCTTCAACTTCTTTTTTTTCCAATATTTTAGTTCATTTAATTATTTTTGAAAGTCATGAATAAGAATATGAATATTTCACATTACATTAAAAGGTTATATATATATATATATATATATATATATATATATATATATATATATATATATATATATATATATATATATATATATATATATATATATATATATATATATATATATATATATATATATATATATATATATATATATATATTCTCACGTATTGATTCACGGATGGAAAAATGTGATGACACTATATTCCGGGATATCATCCGTTCGCTCGTTGAACTCCGACTGGAATCCTGCAAATCTTGCATCCGACTGGAATCCTGCAGACGTTTCGCCAAAATCTCACTTGGCATCTTCAATGCTCGCGCTCCGAGTGTTCGAAGTGTTTTCGGAGCGCGAGCATTGAAGATGCCAAGTGAGATTTTGGCGAAACGTCTGCAGGATTCCAGTCGGATGCAAGATTTGCAGGATTCCAGTCGGATATATATATATATATATATATATATATATATATATATATATATATATATATATATATATATATATATATATATATATATATATATATATATATATATATATATATATATATATATATATACCAGACAAGGTCTACTAAATGTAGAATAAACCTCTGTTGGGATGCGGTTAAGGTACTGTGAGATACTTAAAATGTCAAAGCAATAAATGCACTATATTTTTGGTCGTATAATACTACTTTTTCGAAGTAACCGGATTTCCCGAACAATCGAAATATGCCATAATATACAGGGTATTCTGTTTAGGATAGAATAAGGGAGGAAGAAAATTAAAAATCTAGGTGAACCCAATGCAACTTTTTTATTTACTTTTTTTACTATTTTTCGCAATTTTTGAGTCGGACCTTATGGAGTCCAGATGAGTTTTCAAGGTTGTCCTGGAACTTAATTGTAAAACTTTAGCGTCCATTTAGTAAGTAAGTTTGTATCATAAAAATAAAGCGAACACGTCGTCTGTTTGATGTTTAGCGAGCGACAAGCCCGACTTGGGCCTGGAGGAGCTTCAAAGCCTCAACGTCAAAGAGCGCTTCCAGGTGTTCGAACACTACCAGACCGAAACTAGCCAAACGGAGACGGAACGCGGCAACATCAACGTCAAACGTTCCCCCTCCATCCTCTCAAAACTTGCCAAGTAATCCGCACACTCCACCATAATCCATCCTTAACGGTTTGATATCGCTTCACTAGGTTTCAGAAACACGGCATGGACGTGGGCGTGTCTAACGAGGCCCTCGACGGGATACCCGTTGAGGAAAGTTCCTCGGAAGGGGAGGAGGAGGAGGAAATTCTAGAGGGCGAGGACAAGGACTTGGTGCGTGCCAAGCGCGTGCAAAAAGAGAAGCCCTTCCACTTCACCGGCATGTCCGACGTGAAGAAGAAATGGGAAAGCGGCGATCAGTCGAAGGAAGAGAGACGGGAGGAGAGGAAGCAAGAGATACAGTCCATCAGGAATAAGTTGTTTATGGTGAGTGCCGTGAGGTCGATTGAATTCACTACGGCGTCGAAAAAAACGCTTTTATCGACTTTTTCCTGTTGTCTGTTCTCTGTAATGGAGTGTCGGTAGGTTTTTGAAGCCGGATAGCGTTCGAACGGTTAGAAGTACCAGCTTCAAATTTTCCTCGTTTTTAATGCTCGTTGATCCCCAGTGCCCCACGAAATATTGAGCCGATTCGACGTCCGCGGCCATTTTGTCGGCCGTTTTTGTTTTTTTTAGCTTTTAGCATAACCAAATAAACGTCTGAAATGTCGAATTATCGAGTTGAAATTCGGTAGGAATTTAAGGTTCCATCCACAGATGGACCTATCGAAGCCGGGCAGCATTCGAAATCGGGTTGAAAAAAACGCGGGTTTCTCAAGTATCGTATATCCGTACAAAAAAATTCTTGAATTAAACGACGCGCGAGGTTTAGTGCGATTGCCCAAAAATATAGTTCGAGCAAAAATATACAGGGCGTCGCGGTTATACGCAAAAAACTGAAAAGTCTCATTTATCAAAGAAAATTGTTGAATTTAGCTACGTCGTGAGCTACGATTTTTGTATTTCCCTTTTATTTGTTAAGTGTAAAAGATTCCTATGTTATACATTATACAGGGTGTCTCGGGAATGTGCATTATGATCAACATGTTTTCCGAGATATTAAGAAACATTATTTCGAAACAAGTTTAATAAAAATGAAGAGGCGTGTATCATAATTTACGTTTTTCGTCTATTATACTAGGTGCTCGTAAAAATAAGTTGTGTATATTAAGTATAGCGAAGTAGCCAACTTTTTAAATAAGGACGATGCTCGGAATTATTACTTTAAAAAGTTTGTACTTTGGCGCATTTTCGAAAATCAAAAAAAATCGATACAGAAGGATTCAAAACACTTTTATTCATTTTTTTCTATTCTCTGTTCTCTGTAACGGACAGTCGATAAGTGTTTGAAGCCGGATAACGTTCGAACGGTTGCAAGTACAGGCTTTAAATTTTCCTCGTTTTTAATGCTCGTCGATCCGCAGCGCCCCGCGAAATATTGAACCGATTGGATATCGGCGGCCATTTTTTCGGCTGTTTTTGTTTTTTTAGCTCGAAAAATAGCAACGTAACAAAATAAGCGTTCAAAATGTCCAACTACGGAGTTGAAATTCAGTGTGAATTTAAAGAACCTTCCACAGTATTTCCGATGTATTTAAAAAAAAAATCCCAATTTTTTTTCGTGACTAAATAGACCTGAGTTTCTCAAGCATCGTAAATCTGATCGAAAAAAATTTTGACAATTGTTGAATTTAAGAAGCGAATACAGCTAGAATTTTAGCATTTGCCTTTTAGTCGAATGTGCGTAAAAGATTCTTGTGTTATACATTATACAGGGTGTCCGGAGAATGTTCAACATATTTTGATTCATTTTTATTCATTTTTTCTAATTTCTGTTCTCTGTAATAAGCAGCCGTTATACAGGATGTGCCGAGAATGTCCCTTATGACCAATATATTTTACGAAATGTGCGGCGGAATTTTTGTATTCATTTTTTTTTTCTGTTTCCATAGGGCAAGCAGGAGAAAATGAAAGAAGCTTACCAACAGGCGGTGATGGAGAGCGAATCGAGCACCAACTTGCGTAAAAATCTAGCCGAAAAAATCGAAATCTGTGATACGAAGTCCATTAAGGAACGTTTCGAGAAGGGAGAAGTGGCGAACGACAAAACCAACAGGGAAAGGAATAATGAAGACGAAGAGGTGTACGAAAGCGGTAAAGGTTCGCGAGACTGGCAAGTATCGTATCTTCTAAGGTCCGTATTTTATGTTGCAGATATGAGTAAGAAATCGAGATCTTTGTTTCTGGAACTGGACGCCAGCGCTTCCAAACCTCCTCAAATATCGCCGACATCCCCGCCGAAATTAGAAGTGAAGAAAGCTAGAGAGGTAAATTATATTCCAATAGAATATAGTCCGTTTTTCGAGACTTGGAACGTAAAAACTTTCTTATTCTACAAAGGTACTGGTACATAAATTAGTTAGTAATAAGAAAATAAACAAATAATTTTAAGTCGTTAATATATTCTTAAAGTATAGACATTTGACCATGGATGCTGAAAATTTCATAAATTTATCTCTTACGGTTGATTTTTAATCCATTTTTTAATTAACAGTGCTTAAAATTTTTACTATAAAAAAAATGTTAAAATCAAAATTTTAAGAAATCGTTTGGGAAATCAATTTTCCATCATAAGTACTTATAATAATTATATATATATATATATATATATATATATATATATATATATATATATATATATATATATATATATAGTGTCATCATATATATATATATATATATATATATATATATATATATATATATATATATATATATATATATATATATATATATATATATATATATATATATATATATATATAGTGTCATCATATATATATATATATATATATATATATATATATATATATATATATATATATATATATATATATATATATATATATATGATGACACTATATTCCGGGATATCATCCGTTCGCTCGTTGAACTCCGACTGGAATCCTGCAAATCCTGCATCCGACTGGAATCCTGCAGACGTTTCGCCAAAATCTCACTTGGCATCTTCAATGCTTCAATGTTTTCGGAGCGCGAGCATTGAAGATGCCAAGTGAGATTTTGGCGAAACGTCTGCAGGATTCCAGTCGGATGCAGGATTTGCAGGATTCCAGTCGGATGCAGGATTCCAGTCGGAGTTCAACGAGCGAACGGATGATATCCCGGAATATAGTGTCATCATATTTTTCCATCCGTGAATCAATACGTGAGAATATATATATATATATATATATATATATATATATATATATATATATATATATATATATATATATATATATATATATATATATATATATATATATATATATATATATATATATATATATATATATATATATATATATATATATATATATATATATATATATATATATATATATATATATATATATATATATATATATATATATATATATATATATATATATATATATAGTGGGGGACAACCTGATTGAAAAGTCTAAACTACTATGTTTAAAATAAATTGATATAAATCGAGGACTAATCCTAGTTTCATGTGATATCTGCAAAAAAAAAACATTTCGTAGGGTAAACAAAACCGGTTTTTCACCAATGCCTTTGTGATATTTTCTTTCATTCACGATTCTTCATCTTAAATAAACATTTCAAAACTCACCTCACTGCGATCGTTTGCCCTGGACGGCCATATTTGATGGCATGATTTCGATTGACTAATTCATGTTTTAGGTTCTTGTTTTACTTCTATTTGTCACGATTGCTAGGATCAGTCGGCCAATATTTTAGGTTTAGTGCGGTTATCGCATTCAATTTAAGGTCTTTTTTTTCATTGTCGGAAAGCGCCATCTGGTGCCCGGGACTCGAAGTTTATTAAGATCCGTTAAACAAAAATGTCCGAACATTTAACAGTTTTTAAGTTCAACACGCGCCCTCTGGTGGCCATTTCGAGACCTCAAAAATCTTTGGTTCATTGCTCGGCTAATTGAGGGTAAACAGTTCAAATGTTTTTGTTGTCGTTTATATAACGTGCGTGTTTGGGGCCTTACTTAAGGTAACTTCAAATATCATAGATTGTCCTGAGGTTTAATGCTTTTAAAAAATGACCTCGGTGTTTCCGCGCAGGCTTATCTAGCCAAAAGGTCCAACGAGGACACCGTCAAGTCCACAGAATACGTCGAGGACATCGAGGTTAAAACGGCCGATATCCAAGAGAGATTCAAGTTTTTCGAGACCTACAAGGAGCCCGAGAAACAAAGGAAGCAGTTCAGAATGACCCCGCCCAGAGATCCGTCACAAGTCAAGGTTGGCCCTGACTAACGCGTCTGCAGAATTGCGCTTTTCTCTAACATTTTTGTTGTTGCATTTACTTCGTGTATCGGTGTTTTGCCGTGACGTCCATTCGAAATCAAACGTGACGTAGCTGCGCTTCGTTTTTAGACGGAGACGCCGGAGAGAGAGATATATCGGGATCCCGAGGTGATCAGGTCCGAGGAAATCGTGGACGATTCGGTCATAGCCAAGGAAACGCACACCGCATCGAAAATGCTCAACAAGTTCAGGCAAATGGAGGAGAACTTGCAAAGGGAACCGGAATCAACCGGTAAGACCGCCATTTTGCACTTTCAAAAAAAACCTTTTTTTTTCGTTTACGATTTGTCGCGGCCCCTCATTTTATCCGCCTTAAATTAGTGTAAAAATAAATATGCACGACGCAGCGACATTGTGCTTAGTTTTTTAACTGAACACGTAACCAACGTCCAGCGGTTGGGTTAGTAGAAAACAACAAAAAATAATATGGCAAGCAGTAGTAAGAAGGTAAAGACATACAAGTTTCGTTGGGAATGGGAAGAACGATATTTATTAGTTAAAGGTAAAAATGTGTGTTTGTTATGTAATACTTCGGTTCTGTTGCTAAAAAAGGAAATATTGAGAGACATCATAAAACTACATTTTAATTTTGAAAAATCATTTCCACTACATTATGCCGCCAGAAAGTAAAGTTTTAAGAACAGTCGACAAAAATAAGATAATTGCACGAAAAAAGAAAGGGGAAATGATAAAAAAGGCGTTTTTAGGAGCTGCTGATTCGTTATTTGCCAACTTATATTTCTTCCGAGAAAATTCCAATATCGAAAATGGTAGGCTTGACAACCGATGCCGCTCCAGCTATGGTGGGTTGTGATAAGGGTCTGGTGGCGTTATGTCGTAAAGATGAAAGTTTTCCGCTGCATTATCCATCAACAAGCATTATGTGGAAATTTCCTGAAACTAAACAACTGGTGGTAAAAATTGTGAACAAGATTAGAGCTCAAGCGTTACAAACAAGATTATTCAAAACCTTGGCTGAGGACACTGAGTGTCTGATCAAGTGCGATGGTTAAGTGAAGGACGAGTGTTGAAGACGTTTTAATGATGTGCTATCTGGCATAGTTCAATTTTTTAAACAACACGATCAACCGAGTCCGGAATTATAAAATTCAATCTGGCTTAGAGATTTTGGTTTTCTCGTGGACATTACAGAGAAATTAAACGAACTTAATTTGCAGCTTCAGTGGAGAGACAAAGAACTAACGGCAATGATTTCTGATATAAAAGCCTTTATTAAAAAAGCTGGAGTTTTGGGAGCAAAAGCTAATAACAGCGATGCCAAGCATTTTCTTCCTATTCTTGCAGGAAGGATATCTCAAAATCCATTAGAACCCTGTGACAGCAAATACCATTTAGAAATAGTTTCTACTCTGTTTCTTTCTCAACAGTTTGCAACTTGTGTTATGCAGAACTTTGGCGAAGACATCGCTGCAATATGAAGTTTATTAAGAACAAATATCGCAGGTGAACACGTAAATAAAAAGAAAATTTTTTACGAATATCAAACTTTAATATAATATAATTATTGTACAGGGTGTTCACAAAAAATTATTTACAAACAGTTTTTAATGAAATCATGTAATCATCAAAATGTAGAAAAATTTTGAAATAATTATACTTAAATAAATAAAAATTAATACAGGGTGCCAAAAGTAACAATTTAACAAAAAAAAAGGTATTTATTTAAGCGTTAGTCATAGCTCTAAAAAAGTTAAACCATTGCAATGAGAGCGTTCATTTAAACAAAAGTTATGCCAAAAATAATAACAATATCTTACAAGAATCAAACTTAAGTTACACTATCGCTCCATAAAAAAAAAGAAAACAAATTTATATATTAATAGGCCAAAACTTATAACGGAAAACATTTTTCTCCGTTTTTTTGCCCACCCAGTAAGTTCTTTAAAAATTATTTTTATAAAATAGAGCAGGTGGGAGCAGGATTGTGTCTTCCGCGTAACACCACAACATTGTTACTTTAATACATAGAAATACATCTACTGAATATTCTATAAATAGATGTTAAGTAAAAAATAATAATGCAGAGAAGAGGTTTTTAAAAAATTGTTGTACACAATGCCTCTTAATACAAACCTTTAAAAAATATATATTTTTTAAAATGGGCCCAAAAATCGCCCTGTATAACACCCTCTAGCGGCGTAGATATACACTTCAAAATTATTTTACGATTATTAGGCCCCAAACCCCTGAAGCGATTCACTCCGCCCCCGGAACCTGCCAAACCGGAATCGAACAGCGAGGAAGAGTCCGGCTCAGAGTACGAAGAGGAGGAGGAAGAGGAGGTGGACCACTGTAGATTACCGGAAGACGTGATCGAGGCTCAAAAAGCGGCCAGAGCTAGACAGCTGCGCGCCAAATTCGAGAAGTGGGAGGCCAACGAAATAAAGAAGGAACAACAAAATATGGTGAACGTTGTGGAGGAGTACGGCGAGGAACAATCGCAAATCGAATCTACGCGGGTGTAAGTGTGCACCTGATCGCATTTATAAAGGTTTTAAAAATCTTTATTGGGCGATACAAAGGTTTTTTATTTGTAATCAAAAATGGGGAATATTCCATAAATACGCATATTAAGGTATTCAAATATTCTGTTGTTTTTGTTGACGTAAATATATATTCCAAGAATCTTCGAATTACACACTTTTTGGTCTCGCATGGAATATTCGTAACGAATGTTCTATATTTTTCTAATATTTAGTAACTATTGGCAATAAGCACATCCAGAAAATATTACGCAAATAAACTGAAATATTTCTAAGAATATTAGATTCATAGCGAATCAGTAATACAGGTATTCAAATAATCTAATAAAATTATCGTGAATAAGCTTTATTTTATTATTATTTTTGACATATAAATTTAAAAGAGCGCAAACAGCAAAATTTATCTAATGAGTGATGATGATAAATATGCATATTAAGATATTCATATATTTTGAGATGTGCGCGTGAATATTCTATATTCTAAGGAAACTTTTGGTTTTCCATCGAAGGAATATTCTATATTGTTCCAATTTTATATACTACTTATTGACAATAAGTACATCCAGAGAATACTACACAAATTTACTGAAATATTCCAGTGAATATTAGAGGAATATTCATAGCGAATGTGTAATACAGGTAAATTATCGCTTAATTAAATAAAATTATCGTGAATAAGTTTCATAAGAAATATTCCTGTGAATATTGGAGGAATATTCACAGCCAATCTGTAACAGATAAAATATCGCTTAATTAAATTAGCTTTTTTTTTTCGGTTTATCATGTATTCAATATGTCAAGAAAATCCATCGTTGTATCTGGTGACTTCTGCATTTTATTGTTTTTTAATAAAAATATTTTTTAGCTTTATAAAACCACTAATGCATATATTAAAAAAATGTATCTTTGCATCCATAGACTTTTGCATCGTGATTTTGAATATGCATCATTTTATAGTTTTTTTGACATATAACACAGTAAAATACATCTACTGAATATTCCATAAATATGCATAATAAGATATTCGGATGGTATGAGAAAGTTCGCTGGACTATTCTATATTCGAAGGAATCTTCGATTTGCACACTTTTTGGTTTTGCACAGAAGGATTATTCTATATTTTTTCAACATTTTTGGCGAAACCGAGTTTTAAAATTCAAGATATCAATTGCTCCCCCTGGCGGCCATTTCACAAACTCGAAAATATTTTTTTTTAAGTATATAATTGTTATAGGTTAAGAGCCCGATTCGAATCGATCCAACAATCGAGTACCGACAAAAGCAGAGCGCCGCGGGTCAAACCAGGCCGTTTTGTGGTGAGTTCGTTTGTTTTTTTACCGTTTTATTTTTATTTTTCGTTTATTTGTATTTTTATTTATTTAGTTTTTTTTTTAGTGTGGAGTGCATTTAAGCGTAACACCGTTTTGTGTTTGTCTTGCATCTATTTATTTTTGGCACTAATTTTGGGGTTTCTGCATGACCTTACGTGTTTCGTGATTTTGCTCGAAAGCATGCGAGCGGACTGTTTTTTTTTTACGCGCTGCATTTAAATTAAATTACGTCATTTTTACATGTAAATTCCTGTAAGATAACTTAAGGACCAACCTTTTTTTTTTAGTTATGACCTAAAATCTCCAGATTCCGAGAAAACTTATTTTAAATAGATCTGTTTTCCTTTATCTCGTTTAATCGTAACCTCCAAATAAGTCACAAATAATAGAAGCAAAAGCAGAAAATTGTGCATACAAAAAAAATCATATAATACCGAAGAAGAATACTAAAAAGTGTAAACGAAGACAACCAAATGACCTTGAATCATTATCAAAATTAACCCATAATTTCATTATGATTAATTAAAATTTTAATACTCTGGATTTTATTTTGATGCGCTGTATATTGACTTTCTTTACTGTCAGAAATGTAATTTTGACAATTTTCTACTACTTACCTGTTTATTTGAAAATAACATTTTTGTTTTTTATTCATTTGCCAATAAAAAATAACACGTAGGTCACGCTACGTGAATTCGGTGTGAAAATGGACTTGAAAACTTGGTGTATGAACCCGTATATTTATATTTACTGCAAAAAAATGAGCAGTGAAAGTAAAGGCCAGAGTAGTGCTAACCTATTTTTGCAACTTCGATTGTTGAGTTGTTGGGGCGAAAAGCTTAGAACACATTGAAGATAATAATTTTCTCACTTTTAGAAACAGGCATTTTACGAATCCAAATTCAGCCTAAAAGAGCGGAAAATATCAAAACCCCAATACATATACGTATTTGAATAGAATAGAATATATTTGTATTATATGAAAAATTATGAAAATTAATCTTATTTTAAATAAAGCCACTAACTAACCAAAACTATTTCTTTATAATTAAACCCGGTCTTCAGAAATCCTATAATTTTTACGCACATCACAGGGCCCTATTTGAAAAAATATAAAAAAATAAATAAAAAAAAATATATAAAAATTCGAAATAAGTTTTTTATTCATAGGTTCACATCATTGGTACAATTTCCTATGCAAAACGTATAATCTAAAATGCAAAACTTATGCATTTGCAAAATATTATTTGCGATTATAAAAAAATTTATATACAGTTCGTTAATTTACTATTGGCTTAGAAAAAAAGAGTTTTTGCATTTATTAACTGAGTCCTTTTTCCTTATAAAATTGAAACGCGTGAAGGTGCTTTTAGAAATACTTGTGTTTCTTATACGTTCCGCCGCCCTACTGATATCATAGGCGAAACAAGCAACATGAAATAGGTTGCCTTAACCATATATAACACTATTGGGAAAAAATGTTTTCTGGACAGACCTGGTTACACTCAAACTGTTGCTTTGTTCCGCTGCAACGTAACTCTTATCGTGACAAAGAGACGATTTTTTAAGCGCGATCGTTTAAAAAAACAAACCCGTCGTAAAGCACGTTACACAGGCTAAAAATGTAATTTTTATATGCCCCGGTATACAAACATTAGGGAAACCAAAATTTCGTCAGAAAGCGAAAAAATCGTTGTGATAAAGTGATAATTGAAAAAGTTGTACCATATTAAAGTTTTCGTAACTCCGTCAGCTCTATGGTCCGGTTATAAACAATTTTTTTACGCGAATTTACATGTATACTTCGACCAGAAATATAGTGCTTTTACAACCGACCCCGTGATTAACTTTGCCTACAAAATACAAAATCGCAGTCCTTTACCCGTAACCATTGCAGGACCGTCCTAGGAATTTATCTACCTATACTAACAAGCTGGACATAAGTGTTTTCAATCTTGAAACAGGTACATAAAAAAATTAGTACAAAGTAAGAATTTATTACGTCCAATTTCATTAAATTTCTACAAAGTATCATTATTAATATAGAAAATATTAAACATAATAATAATAAAATATGTCACTTAAAAAATCGACATTATCGCTTCTGTAGTGAGCTAGTTCAATGATCAATTTGTCATCTTTTATTACCCGTTTTTCACAGTTAGACCAGATTTGTACTGATATTTTAGTTACCCTCTTGCCGAATTACGTTTATGCTACTAGGACTGAATTTTGGTTACTAATCTCAAGGGTTCATGTCCGTTTTGTTATGCCATGGAATCGATTTGTTGAAGTTGTTTTCTCGTGTAGCTCTCTTCAAAATATAGATCATTTTCGTAATAAATTGGAATTTTTTTAGTTTCGGCTGAATGATACGAGACATCCAACACAACAACAGTATTTGGTGATAGTGTTGGCAACAGTTTATTCTCAAACCAGTCCTCAAAAATTTCCGCGATCATATTTTCATGGTAATCCACTTGAATCTTTGGTCATGTCACTTGTTTTTATTGCTGCTAAATCTTCCCCTTCTGAATTTCTTATAAAATAGTAACCATTAAAAACAATTTGTTTAGCATCCCAAATGGATCCTCCTCTTCTTCTTCTTCTTCTTCTTATTCTTAAGTCCAATGACTTGTGTTTACTGGGTAATATTTAATCTTATTTGTGATTCTGATGACCAGCGATCTTGCCATCTTTTTTGTGGTCTTCCTCTTGATGTTTTTCCCTCGGGTTTTCCATCTTTTGTGATCTTTGCTAATCTGTGCTCTTCCATTCTCGTTACGTGTTGATTCCAATTTCTCCTTCTCTCTCGTCCCCATTTTATTATATCTTGAATATTACATTGTTGCCGGATATCTTCGTTTCTTACATGGTCTCGTCTAGCCTTTCCCATTATGCATCCTTAATGTTTTCATTTGTTTTTTGTATCGGCTCTGGTTTCTATGGCATACGTAAGTATTGGTCTTATACATGTTTTATAGATTCTTGTTTTCGTTTCTATTCCTAGATCTTTATTTCTTCATACTATATTCCTTAATTTGGTATATCGCCTCTTGGTAAATATCTCGGTGGCTTGTTACATCTACTCCTAAGTATCTTGATGACATTAGTTGCTTTATGATTGTCTCTTCTATCTCTAGCTTACATCTTATTGGTTACTTAGATACTGTTAGACATTCAGTTTTCGCTGTTGACATTTATATATTGTATTCTTTTGCGGTTTTATTAAATATGTGTAACATTCTTTGTAGGTTGTCTTCGCTATTAGATATCAGTACCGCATCGTCCGTGATATTTGTGTTTCCCATTTTGTATCCTGTTAGTCTTTTTACTTTTTCAATCATTTTATCCATAATCAGGTTAAATAGAAACCGACTTGAGCTGTTTTATTCCTGTGTTTACCTTTATTTCTTCAGATACTTTTCACTCAGATTTTGTTTTAGTGGAGCAGTTGTAATTGAGTTCTTCGATGATTCTTATTATTTTAGGAGATACATTTTTTCTTTAAGTAAACGCTTTTGTTGACTTTTCCACTAACTGGCGAATTATAAAGATGGCATCTGTTGTTGATCTGTTCTTTCTAAAACCGTTTTTTTTTATTTGCTGGGGTAGTTCGCCTTCTAAATTGTCATTAGGTTCGACTACCATCTCCACTTCTTTAAATTCTGCGTTGTTTTCAATGTCTTCTTCTAACAGGGGAACATCTGCTTTATTCCACGGTCTCCACATTAAAAAAAAAAAACAGGAACCTTCAAAAAATGTGTAATTGTAAGACTCTAATAAATATTTATCTGTATTCTTAAGTTGTAGCTTTATCCACCGCGAATATAATCTATAGTCTTATAAAAGCCTGTGTTGTCTACAAATCGAAGAACTATGTAAAAGACACAACAATACAGAAGAAGAGTGTTGTTAATCGACAGGCACATAAGACAAAAATGATTATTTTCAAACTTACCTGTCAGATAAATGGAGTACAGGTACTTAACCTTTACCTTTGAACTATCCAGTGAAAACGGCCTCACGGGGCAAACCTCGATTATCAGGTAGATAAATACCTATTGGAAGGATCACAGTCATATGCCTCCCTAATATGTAATGATCTTACATTACTACTATCTGCTACTCTACTTTTTCGAAAATACCCCGCATCGTCAATGCTTAATCAAATTTAAGACGGTCCGTTTACTTTTCAAATAAAAATTTCAAGTTAATACGGTCCATCTCAGGCAAAACAGAAGCAGAAAAAATACTTAAAACGTCAATGCACTATATTTTTGCTCGTATTATAAAAGCTGTAGTCCCGACTGATTTGGGCGTTTTGTTGTAATTTTCAGTAAAAGAACAAGCCCCCAGCTCCCTTCCCCCATTAAAGAAAATCACCTCCCTTTCGGTCGTCGTCGGAACAACCAAGTCAGTGTAAAATACCCCATCTTTTCTATCGGTCTTTTTTTTCTACGTCGATTTTTTAAAGGCCCTCGCGTGGAAGGATACTTTCGTGTGGTACCAAAGCTAGTGCAATATTCGGAATAGTGAGAGAACTTTTAACGAAAATTTTAGGCGATCTTTTCCCCGTTTTATTAAATTTTGTTGTTTTAATGTTAGCGTTTAACTACTGCGATATAGCTTGTTGTTTTATAAATGAGAACGTTACATAGTTTAATAGCGTCTAATGTTTGTATCGATTTATGTCAACGCACAAGTCACAAGACGGACAAAGTACGGTGTGTCCCATTTTTTAAGGGTTTTACGGTGTATCTTTTTCCGAGGTGGCACAAACAGATAATCCATTTTGGAAAATTTACCTTTTTTTTAACTAGTAAACTTATCGTAAGCTGGTCTGTATGGATTTTTAAATTTTTCAAAAACACAAGTTCTGAGAATTTGACCTGAAACACATTTTTTGGTGCTTTTTTTTTAATTTTTTGTTAGCAATTATTATAATTGCAATAGTTTTATGGGTTTTTGTTTGCAAAAATATTAAACATTTAGTAAATCGGAAAATAGTTTGCAAAATATACGAGGAACTAATGACCAAATTCCGACCAGCCAAAAGGTTATTTTTACGATACCCCTTTCTTCGGATTACACAGGCCCAAGTTTTTAAATAAGGAATAAGCTTTTATCACTTCTTTTATTTAATGTTTTAACACTATTTTGCGGAGTTGTCAGGCTATTGTAAAAAGTAGATTTTGATATACACACTTAACTTGTGTCTTCTTTTTTTTTAGTGTAACTTTATGTATGTCTTAATAATATTATTAGGCTTGTTATTAGCTTTTCAAGAATAGTAATAGATAAAAACTATTTTAAATTAAAAAAAAAAAACGCCTTAATTCTCTAATGAAAAATACCAAACATTTTTATATCAGCAGGAAAATGAAATAGAAATTAAAATGTGCGTCATGAGCCGTAAAGTTATGATATATTTCTTTTAAATTAAAGTAAATTGAAATATCACTTATTCGTTACATATTTTTTACAAGCATAACAAAATTATTAAAATACGTACAGCCATTAAAAAGAAAGAAAAAAAGAAAAAGAAAACTGACTACGCCGCTGGATCCTAGGTAAAAAAAACCTATCCAGGCCACATTTTCTACAAGTTTACAAGCTTAGCAACCTTTTAGCGTTTTTATTTCAATATAAGTAGCGAAATTTTATATTTAAACTACTACACACTTGCACCGAATACAAAATTGGATTTGTCGTTTTGGAGTTGTTCTTATTTCTTCCTATATTTCCGTTTGTATCACCTTCCATTAAATTTATTAATAAAGGAGATACGCCCGTAAAACCAACAAAAATGCAACGCACTGTAGACCGGCAGGTAGCAATACTCTCTTATTTAAAATTTTTACCTTGTGTTGAGTTGAAAGTCGTTTTTCATGTTGAAGGCGAGAACGGTGTAGGTATCAATTTATATCGGACGTCCATACACACAATTTTTTTAAAATATTTTTAAGTGTACTATATTGATTACTGTGCCAATTTTTTTTCTATTCGGGCAACTTAACGAAATAAATGCGTTTTAACTGATGTCCGTGTCTATTTTCTTACGCCCCATCCTTATACTGCGAATCGGTAATGCAAGGCAAACACAAAACAAGGTGTAACGAAGTGGATTCTACCAAAACAACAACAAATACATACAATGTTCAAGATTTAAATAAATAAATCTACTATTGTCAACAGGTCAATAATTAAGCGGCGATTTTTGAGTCCAGTTTAAAAGGAAAACTTCAATGTCTTGTCCAGTGCCTCCTATAGTCATGTACTTTGTCTGCTCAATGTTCATCATGTAAGGTTATGTCCTCTTGGTCTTCTGCCATTACAACCTGATCGTCTGCGAAGAGGTTTGTATATAGGTGGGTGTCCTCTATATTTATCCCCATGGGACTGCATTTTCTTATCCGCTGCTGGAATAAAATTTAAACAGTGGTATAGAACCACAGGAGCCCTGTTTCACGCCTTTTATTTGTGTATACATTATTTATGTTAGCTTCTTTCATTGCTTCAGGCAGCGTGAAGGTCCATTCCTCTTGCTCGTTGTTTTATTATGAATATATTGTCTGCGCAGGATTGCCCTGGTTGAAACCCGTTTTGTTCTTCCATTCCTGAGACTTCTTCTATTCGGACTCTTGGAACTCTTTCATATAGCTTTAATGCTAATACCTCGGTAGTTATTACAGTCGCTTCTGTCTCCTTTTTTTTTAAATTGAGTTTATGTAAAAGTTTCTCCAATCTTTTGGAACCAGCTCTCCTTCCAGTCATTTGTTTAAGATGTCGCACAGTAGTTCATACGTTCTTGTGGTAGCGTGTTTAATTAGTTCGATAGGCAAATCCCCTGCTCCTGAAGCTTTATTATTATTCATTTTTCGTAATGCTGATTGTATCTCTTCTAATTTGATGTCATCTACTTCTCTTACTATTGTTTCGCTTATGTTCAGTGGAATATCTACTCATCGCGTTTTTCATCCAGTAAGTTGTAGTTTGGCTTTATTTTTCTTCTTTCGTTTGAGATTGTTTATAGTTCTCCAAGCTGCTCTAAACCTAGATGCTGCCACAATTGAACTAATTTCAGCGATAATTTGTTTTTTGTTTTCTTGATTTCTTTTTTTACAATATATTTGTATCCGTGCAGTTTTTTGGTCTTAACCATCTTAAGTATAGATTTTTCTTTTCTTCTACTAGTTGGATTAGAGCGTTTGTCCACCAAGTGCTTAAAGTTTCATACATTTCTTCTGCTGTGCAGTTGATTTCTTCCTCTAATTTTTGTACTAGCCGTAGTTTGAATAGGAAACTAGCGGATTTATCTCTTAAACTGTCTATATGTTGCATTGTTTTATGACCTCCCTTTTGTTATTTTGTTTCTCGTGTGTATGTGTGGTGGTTATTGTGTCTGATTTCAATGGGTGCTCTTACTAATCGGTGATCCGAACCACATTCAGCGCCTCTCCAAATGTCTTGTTTTATTACTATGTAATCAACTATTGATTTTAAATTGTAAACTATCACCCAGTATCTCAAAAGGATATATGAAGTTTTCTTTTTGAAAAGTACCCTTAATTGTTGACATTCAACCAGAACACACCCTGTATATAAACAATGTCTATAGTATTGTAAAAAAAACTAATATAAATCAAAATAAATAACGAACTAACCAAAATTCAATCTCTTTTGAGATTTAAACGTATTTTATCACACGTGTCAGAAAAGACTGCATTTCATTCGCATCAAATAGTATGAAAATTTTCCAATTTCAATTTAAAAAAAAAGCAAAAATCCGAAAATTATATCGCTCCTCAATTTAAAAAAAAAAAAGTCGTAATTACCCATTTCATATGTACAATAATGACTTCATCTGGATTTAAATCGATTTTTTTTTCAAAAAGAAAGCGGGTTTGATTTCAAATGCAGATTCCAAACTTAAATTAAATTTTTCAAAAAAATAAGCGTGGGAATCGAAATAACAACGATAATTGATACAACATAGGACGTTTCGAAAGTAACAGAAAAGTGCGACAGCTGCAAGACCAAAGTGTATCCGTTGGAAAAGCTCTCCCTGCACGGAAACATTTATCACAAGAATTGCTTCCGCTGCGTGGAATGTTCCTGTATCTTAAGGTTGGTAAATGCGCCCAATACTCAGGTCGAGAGGGAAATCACATGAGAAATAAGCAACTATTTATAATATAAAAAAGTGGAGTTTAGTTTTTATCTCATTTTTTGGATAAAATTAAAGCTTTTTCAATACTTTAATAGTATATTATGCAACAAGTGTGGTAAACGGCATTTGACTCACGAGTTTAATAAACGAGTGACTTAAAAAGTTTACCGAACGTGTTGCATGATATACTTTTTCTACGACCGTTAGTTTTTGGATATATTTTCGAAAAACAACACGAATACATTCATTGACATGACCGTCACAATTGACAAACGTCAAAAATTCAAAGCGTGGGAAATATCTCCGAAAACATCCGATTGCTCCCAAACCCGTGCGGTAAAATCCCGGAAATGTCCGAAGTGGCTCGGATCCGTGGGAAACGAAACTGACGTGGTGAAGTGACGCTTCCCGTACGCTAGATCGGTGGGTAATTAGGTATTTTACAGACGGGAGTAGAAAAAAAATAATTGAAGTAAACTCTGCTTTTAAAATAGGATATTGTAAAACTAAAAACAAATTTCATCTTTGCGAAAGTGTAGAGGAAAAACTTCGAAACAACTGGATATAGGCACAAAGAAAACTGTTAAAAATAACCCTAAATTTTCTGCGACACAAGTTTCGAAATTTTTAAGTCAAATAGATGAGGATAGAAGCGTCACCAAGGCAAACCATAACCATAAAACGGAGACACACGATTATTGTTGGGCTCAAGACATTGGAAAAAGGTATCGTTCTCTGTAAGTAAATCAGTAAGTTTATTTTTCTTTGAAAACTATTAATAAAAGTCATTTACCTTCTACCAATTTTGAAAAATGGTAAAAAAAATTATGCATTTGCTTTTCATTTTTGTTTTTACTTATATTTTTCAAATAATTTTATAGCAAAATACCTTGTTTTCCAAGATCACAATATCGAAATTTAAAAGCCTTCAATTAGAGAAAGCGAAATACGCTTTACCAACAGTACCGTGCGTCCAATTTTTGTTGATAACATTTTAATTTAATAAAAAAACACAAAATGTAGGGTTAGTAGCCAAGTCTTTTTTCCAAGTGACGTATCATTTTTCTGACATATAAGCCTTCGTAATTTTTTAATGGAACGCCCTGTATATTATATATGTTTTTGACAAATCGGAAAAAATAGGACATTTTTTTATATAATTTCAAAGAGTGACTAACTGACAGCAACAACAATAATTATTTACAAATAATACTTTTTAATATTACAACATGCAAGTTTAAAAAATATTAATTGTAAAACCTGGTCCAAAAATATTGCGAAAAACGAAATATTTATTACAACCGATTTTGGGAGGTGGTTTCCCTGTCGACTGGGGCGTAATTCTCATCCTTCACGCCACCCTTGTAACTCGAAGTTATTTTTAGAATGGACTCGTACTCTTACAACAAAGGTTCCTTGTATTGTATGACCCACTTTAAGCGGCTCTTCATATCGAAAGGGGACTACGACACTGCGTTCGGCATGGACCAGCGAAAACAAAAATGGAAGACCACCGTTTCGGCGTGAAAACAAAAATTGTGATACGCGTATTTTATTTCCAGGTTTCTTGCCAAAAAAAAATGGCCCTCAAAAACAGCGTACTTAAAGACCGAGCAAACCTTTTTGTATTTATTTATATTTTTTAACGCTCGTTTCGGTTGTTTTATTGTTGTGACGATTTAGTCGAAAATGCGACTTATTTTTACTATCTGTACTCTTTTTTATACGTTTTATATTTACTGTTTTGTATTACCGCCTATGTGATTTCTATGAGAATAAATTTTATATCGAACTGGCTTTTAATTTAGAAGTCTGGATATGATTAACAAAGAAATTGTACTCTAGAACCTAATATTAAAGCTCACATGGTATTTTTTCAAAAAGCCAAAAATAAGGACTATTGAATTTTTACAGCAAATTTTAAATATTAAAAAAAATGCTCAAAAAAGTATGTTTGTAATTTATTAAGCAGTATGTTACAATTCTAGCATAGTTCGGGGATGCTGTTAATACTATGTATTAAAGTAACATGTTGTGGTGTTACGTGTAAAACAATCTTGCTCCTACCTGCTCCATTTCATAAAAATAATTTTTAAAAAACTTACCGGGTGGGCAAAAAAAAAATCGGAGAAAAATGTTTTTCATTATAAGTTTTGACCTATTAATATAAAAAATTGTTTTTTTTTATACAGCAATAGTGTAACTTAAGTTTGATTCATGTAAGACATGTTATTATTTTTGGCATTTCACTTTTCAACTTTTGTTTACAATGGGTTGTCATACTCTTTTGACACTAAGACTAACTATAAATCAAAACCTTGAATGAAAGCTCTTATTGCAAAGCAATGGTTAAACTTTGACTATGACTAATGCAAAAATTGTATCAAAAACAGAGCAAACTGAATGATACTTTAGATGTATAAAAACCCCGTTATTGTTTTATTTCGTTTCTTTCAAACATAACTATTTTTACAAAAATCCGCTAACGATATTTTATTGTAATCTATATTAAATAAACAACTTGGGACACCCCGTATTATTATTTTTTAATTATTATTAAACCGTTTTCATGATTTAATTCAAAACTGTTTGTAAATATAAAGTTTTTTTGTGAAACAAAGTATCTCGTTTACATCTACTCATATATACAGGGTGTACAAATAACGTGTTAAAGTAACGTATCATGTTTGTTATTAGAAAAAACGTTAAATACAAAAGTTATATGCCAGACAGAAAGGAATGATTTAAAATTATTTTGAAATATACAGGATGATTCGCAAAATATGTGGAAAATCATATTCATATTAAGTGAAACACCCTGTATATCATTGACACCGTTTCCGACAGCTGAAACTTTATTATGCTAACAATTTTATTAAGTAGTATAGACATTTATCTTATAGTTGCGGCGAAGAAGTATAAAAAGAAGTATCTAAAAAATGTATAAATTTGATTTTCCACATAGTTATAAATCGCACTGTATATGAATTGATTTTGAATAGCAGTGGGTACTACTAAAATTAGGTAAGATTAAATTACTGCTCCTCAAATGCTGGAACACTCAATCGCTAGTATTATGCCATTAGCGGATGAGCTTGCTGTAATGGGTGACATCAACATCAATCAACATAAAGAATTCTATGTTACTGCTCAACAGCGCTGTTGAAAGTTCTCGTTTAGTGTTATTGGACTATAGTAAGGCTTTCGACCCCCTTAGTCGCTCCCTTTTATGTGCAAAACGCTTTTATTATGGATTTACACCCAAGATAATCGGATTAATTCGTAATTACTTAGAAAATAGATGACAGATGGTAGAGATTGATGTTGGACGGAGGTATACCTCATGTTTCTCTCCTGGGAAGATCCCAGTTCTTTGTTATCTTTACTTCGGGTGTGATTTATTACATCAGATGATACCCAATTATATGCAAGTTTGCAAAAATATTAACTGCAATTATTTGCAATATAGCAAATAGATGTACTCCAGGCATCTCAAATGGAATTTTGTAAGAATTTTGGAAGATGTTGAGAGATTTTTGGACAAGTGGTAAATCTGGTTTTTAAGTTATATTTCCTTAGTAGTTTCAATATGTGGTCAGTGTTGTTTTGAATGTAACGAAGGACAAGAGTGCTATTAGAAGGTTGTGGTGAAGTGTATTTTGTGATAAAATGCTTAATATCTTTAATGTGGAAATAATTAGAGAGAAGAGCAGAGGTAAGGTTCTGCGTTCAGTGACTCGAGCTGAAATAGTTTTACGGCTCTGTCAACAAGAGAGTTGATAATCAATGATTTTGACAATGCATTAAGATATAGGTCTGTGTGCGTAGGTTTTCTCTTAACACAATGACCCAAAGCTAGTTGAACTGAGGTGGCTTTTACTTGATGAAAATCCATTTAACAAAATAAATAAGAACTAAAAGTTCTGATTTTCACGAAATTATATATTTTCACATGACAATTGTTTCGACAACACCGTGTCTTATCAAATCTAATATTTACAAACTGCAGGGTAATATATATATACCGAAAAATGACAATAATTCACAGACAATTGAATTGTTTTTAAATTACATTAACTCATTACATAATCGTATAAAATTCACTATCAAGATTGAACAGGATAACTCTATTAATTTTTTGGACTTAACTATTACGAAAACGCAAAACAAATTAGATTTTTCATTTATCATAAACCTTCACACACGGGCACAGTCATACATATTCGCTCAAATCACCCTTATACACTCAAAATGGCCGCATTTCACTCTTTTATACACATACTTCTTAGTACGCCAGTCACAACAGAAAATTACGACAAAGAACTTAATATCATTAAACAAATTGCACTAAACAACGGCTACAATCCGTCCATTATAGATAAAAAAACAAATCCAGGCAACAGTAAACTCTATTTATCCGTAACCTAATACAGAACACGAACAATTTAAAACAATTACATACCAAGGAGGACCCAGTGAAAACGTTTCAAAACATTTGTCAAAATGTGGTTTAAAAATGGCTTTCGGAACTAACAACACAATAGGAAATTTTTACAAAACAATAAAACGAAATGTCAAATCTCAAAAATCAGGTGTCTACAGGTTGAAATGCGGATCTTGTCCTAAAATTTATTTTGGACAAACAATAGATTGCTGACGTTTCGCCAATCATCCTGTTGGGTTCTTCAGAGCTTGACTGAAACTGTTTCAATCAAGCTCTGAAGAAGCCAACAGGATGAGTGGCGAAACGTCAGCAATTTCGACTCAGCAAAAACCGACGCAGTAGGAATCCAGAAATTTTGTAAAAAGTATTACAGTAGCCTGTGGAAGTTTCTTTGAAAAATCTGTTGTAAAATTGATTTATGGAATTTTGGTTTTACACGCCCTGTTAAATTAACAGCTCCGCGTTTTTTCTATCCTTTCTGTGAGGAAACACCCGGTACGTGGAGACGGGCACGTCGCGCATCGCGTATTGATTTTTGCGTCGCGTCCCAAACAGCTGAGATATCAAAATAACCCTCGCTCAGCTATGATAACAATCCGCATCTTCCTAGATGACTGATCTCAGACTTCGCGCCAAATTTTCCTTATACATCTTTCACTTACTTCCAAGATGGATTACATAAAGGAGTTCGACATCAAACTGGACAAGGAGTATTACTATCCGGGCGAGACCATCAACGGGAACGTCATCCTGGATACTATCGAGAACTTTAAGCTGAGAAGTAAGTACCGCCTTAAAAAAAATGGCGAGCCACTGTGCTATTAAGGTTTTTTCCAGCTATCAGGGCGATATTGCGAGGCAAAGCCCACGCGGAATGGAAAGTGCTGCTTTCAGGAGACAGAAGGACGGTAAGTGCTGAGTTATAACCATTGTTGTAATTTTAAACAGTTTATCTCGATTGCCAATTCTTATAGAATTTGCAATTTGAAATTAATAACAAATCTTACTAATACTACAAACATCTGACAAACATCACATTCGTTTATTTATTTCGATAAAAATAATAACCTTTAACCCTATGCACTCTTATGTCGCCGTATCGTATAGGCGGCACACCATGTCGTATCATTACAGCTGGTTGGCCGGTCATCCCCTAAGCTTATTTTTAATATTTATAAATTGCTTTCTTGAACCTTCGTTAAGGACATGTTTACGTAAAAATAAAAGATAGCATGATATTTATTTTATACATGCCATCGTAAGCTGTTTATTTTATATCTGTTGATGTATATATTTCGATCACAGTTCACATTTTTGCATTTTGAATATTACTCAGTTTTATAACTAACACGATAGTATAAAGTACGGTGTAATGTTTCGGTGAAAATTTCGAAAAAAAATATATTTCAAATGCCCAAGAAATGTTTACAAGATGAAATTGAAAATGAATTGTGACGATGAATTTTATATTGACGCGCCTGAAAATGATAGATTGGATAGTGAACATATTAGTGACTCTAGTAGTGGTAGTGATATTATAGTTACAAAAAGACAGAGAACTGTACCTTTACCATCAAATTGCAGCAGTAGTGAAGAAAACGAGAATGTAACACAACCAGGTAATTTTCGTCCACCGCAGGACGTCGCATGCCACGATCAGATACCAGACAGGATTTTATTTACTTCTGGGGATAAAATGGTAGGACCACAAATTCCTGATACTTGTACAAAACCGATAAATTTTTTCAAGCTTTTTTTTTACCGATATATAACTACGCTAGACATAAAATAGCACCGAAGAGGTTGTCAAAACGTGGGTAGAAGAGTTTACTGCATTTATTTGGGTTATCCTAAATATGGGTACGATCATCTTATCTAATTTCCAAGAGATTTGGTCACAACGCCAAAATACTTTTTCTTAGTGGCATATGTAGAGGAGAATGATTTTTACAAATTTTTTGCATGCTCCACTTGCATAAAAACAATCTCTCTCTATTTGATTATTTGGACAAGCAATTCAAAGAACATTTTGTTTCATCAAGAGAGGTATCGGTAGACGAATCTGTTGTTGGATTTAAGGGTAACGAAATGGGTACGAAAGGGGGGATACGAATTAATATAGGTAATGGCGGATGCCAACACCGAATATGTTTATTCAGTTTTGTCTTACTAAGGAAGCTTGACATCGGAATATCTAGTGAGACCTGATTTACCTGTAAGCACAAGGATAGCGTTACATCTGTGTCAAAAATAGCAATAACCCAGGATAAAGAGGATATCATTTTTACACCGATAGATACTATACGAGCTTGCGACTTGCAGAAGAATTGTTAAAAGTTAATGTTCATTTGACAGATACTATTCAAATCAACCGCAAATTTATACTTGATTCTATCAAAAAAACAAGATTCGCGAAAGATAACACATTTGCATTCAGATCAAGTAATTTGATGTTATTGGCATATTTCATGAACACAACCTATCAACAGAAGAGTACGTGGAGGTAAAGTCTGTTCATAGATATAAGAAAATGACTAACTGATACGAATTAAGGTAAGACCCGGGAAAGCTGTAAGAATGAAATATGGTCGAACAGGTCCGTACTTTACTTAGAATTTAATTATTTGGGGTTTTGTTAGTAAAGATACTAAACAATATTTACTTATTTATCTATGTATTTATGTTTAAATTACAAATTATTTTTATTACCTACTTAAATTACTTAAAATTATTCACATAATATATCAATATCGCTATCACTATCATCGCCTGTTGTAATCATTATTTGTTCTATATTATTTGCAATATGGATATACGATTGTTCTGCTTTTTCTATATGTTTAACAGAATTTGTCCAAATTTGTGCAGGGATGTTAAAAACTTCAGTTTCTATAAGTTAGAGGACATTGGAGTTAACACGGGAAAAAACATTGTTACGACGAATGGCAAATTTCAGTTGGTGCCGAACATGTTCAATGGGATTAAATATACAGTGGTAAGGTGGAAGCCTTAAAATTGTATGTATTGTATGATTTTTGTAGAACCTCAATTTATTGCTTTTTGGTATAACCTTCGTGAAAATAAATGTCGTTATTATACATGTAGTTTTGGATTGTTGCTTTTGTGTCACATGAGGAAGGGGTTTTAGTCAACTGTCTACTATGGTAACTTGCATTGTCCATTACAATTACGCTATTAGGAGGAATGTTTGTTTTTAAACCAACTTTAAAAAAAATCAGCCACCGCTGTGTCTTCATGGTAATCCAGAGAAGAATCTTTAATATTTTTCGCAGACAGAGAAAGTCCGTTTGGAATCCAACCATCTTTAGACCCAGCATGCAAAATAGTTATTCTTTTACCTCTTTTTGATGGTGCGTTTGTTTTACACTTATCAGTTGAGTATCAGTTGGGTATCAAAGTGCCGAACCAGGTTTCATCCAAGTAAATAATTGGCCTTTGTTGTTCTCTGTAAATCCTAATTTTTTTGTAGATATTCCAGTCGCCATTTCCGAATTCTAAAAGATTCCATTAAAACTTGCCTTTTGTCAATTTTCTTAAATCTAAAACCCATGTGTTGAATACACTTCCTTAAGGTAGTTCTGCCACATTTAACACCGGTTTCATCTTTTTGAAGTCTCCTAATTAAGATATCTAATGTAGGCGCGCTTTGTTTCTCGTATAACTAGTAAATTTTACGCCGTATTATATCTTGATCACTTTCATCTACACTCGAGAAAATGTCAGCATCGCTTCTTTTTTTCCTCGCTGAAATGGGATTATTCATAATTTTCCATACAGTTGATGTTGGAATTTTCGTCAATGTGGCCGTTTCTTCTAAAGATGCTTGCTTGCTGGCACCACGTTCGATGAGACATTGTGTATTACACAGGTAATAAGAATGATTACTAATAAACTTAAACTAAGTAGTATACCAAACCAAAGAATATTAAACACAGATAGGTATAAATTTATTTTCTATTACGGACCACAATTTTACCTGAATTTAAATTCCGAAACTTTAGGTAATAATCTTGTTACATTGTATGTTAATGACCACCCTTGGATAATCCCATTCAAAAGCAATTGGTCACTTTCCTATATCTATGAACATACCATACTTTTGAGATATAATTTTGCGTTATTCGATATCCGTATCCCGTGACAGTGTGTATCCCAACCAGCAGTATATAATATTTTATGATTGAGACCGATTTCCATTGAAACAATAGATTCATTTGGTATTATAAGATTTTATTTATATACTTAAACTTATATATAAACTTATAGAATAAGTTTTTGCCATTTTAGTTTAATGGAAAAACTAATGAAAAATAGCGTAAAGTCTGTTTTCTGTGGTTATTAATGGAGACACGCAAAGGAGGTTTCTGTGGTGATGTCACTGTATTTAGGTTATGTAGTACAATTTGTTTATTTTCGATGCCTTTATAGCGAACAAGGTAAGAATGAGCTAGCGATTAAAAATACATATTCACGAATTTAACAGTAGGTTCGTTTTAGATACGGTTTGATAATTCCCAATAAAGGCAAGCAGCATCTGGTTCAAACTCCAGTGGTCCAACAAATTTTTAAATCGCGTAAATGATTTTTGAGTAATGATTTGTGTTCTTAGACCCTTGCATACGCTATTTTTTTTTTATGATACTTCCCCCCTTCCCCCAGCTTCAGTAGGTTCCATTAGGGTAAGATCTTTTTACTTTTTCAATCATTTTGTCCATAATCAGGTTAATAGTAATTGAGTTCTTCGATGATTCTTATCGTTTTAGGAGATACATTTTTTTCTTTAAATAAATATCTTATGTCATTAAGTCGTATTTTATCAAACGCTTTTGTTAGGTCCACGAAACACATGTTGTATTCTAGTGACTTTTCCACTAACTGGCGAATTATAAAGATGGCATCTGTTGTTGATCTCTTCTTTCTAAAACCGTTTTAATTTGCTAAGGTAGTTCGTCTTCTAAATTGTCATTAGGTTGGACTACCATCTCCACTTCGTCTTCAAATTCTGCACTGTTTTCCATACCTTCTTCTAACAAGGGAACATCTAATCCATTCCACGGTCTCCACATTTTAAAGTGTTAAAAAACAGGAACCTTCAAAAAATGTTTCATTGTAAGATTCTAATAAATATTTATCTGTATTCTTAAGACATACCTTTATCCACCGCGAACATAATCTATAGTCTTATAAAAGACTGTGTTGTCTACAAATCGAAGAACTATGTAAAAGACACAAAAATACAGAAGAAGAATGTTGTTAATCGACAGGCACACAAGACAAAAATGATTATTTTCAAACATACCTGTAAGATAAACGGAGTACGGGTACTTAACCTTACCCTTGGAGCTATCCAGAGAAAACAGGTACATAAATACCTACCTGTTGGGGAATGATCATAGTCAAATACCTGCGTAATATGTAATGATGTTAAAATAAATGTTTCTACTGATTCGAAAATACTCCCCGGCATCAATTCCTGACCAAATTTAAAACGGTCCACTTACGTTTCAAATAAAAATTTCATGTTAATACGGTCCATCTCGGGCAAGACCTACTTGATGCGTTGGGATGCGGGTAAGAAGGTACCGTAAAATACTTACAACATCAAAGCAATAAATGCACTATATTTTTATAGTACAATACCAAAACCGTTGAGAATCTGACCCTAATGTTGTGTCCCTTACCTATCAAACCCGAGTTAAACCCCATAATTGACAATAAAAGCTAGCACGAAGAAGATATAGTCGTAGCGTTATTGATATTCCCGTGATCTATTCAGGTGAAAGACGACCAGTATTTTGTCGATCAACGTCAGGTGATATGGGGTGAGAATAATTTGGACACTACCATCCCGATTTTACCCAGAGGCCTGCACAAATTTCCATTCAGGTAAAATCGTCAAACGTCAATCTAGTACAATAGAAATAAATGTTAAAGTGGAACAATTTTTTATAAAGCTGGGACTGCCTGGAGAAGGTGTTACTATACTTCCTTTTTAACATGCTAAAAGGCGGACCTTTTTTGAGGTACATCCGGGGTACCTCAAAAATCGGTACCTTTGGACAAAATCTTGTTATATGTCCAAAACTATCACATATATCAAAAAATATCAAGAAAACAAAATTGAAAGGCATAAAAAAATACGAAGGAAACGGGAAAATTTTTAAATGTACCAAAAGATAGTTCTAATATATACTGCTTGACTACTAAATTCTCACTTTGTATAAACTTTATAATTATAATTAACAAAAATTTTATCTTTAACGGATAATAAAAAAAACAAGATTTTTTGTCAGGTTTCCGTTTTTGATCGACTATAGTAGGCCCACATCTACTCGCGTTTAAAAAATAGTTTTGTTGAGCGCTAAAAGCAAATAACCAAATTCGTTGTTTATTTGATTGGCGTTGAGTTTTTATTTTATGTGCTGAATAGAAACATTGTTAGGTTAGGACAAACAAATACTTTGTACTGGAGTCAGCTCATCTGTAATTAGTCAGGAAAGGCACAATTCCGGGATTTCCAGATAAGTGAGGTGGTTATTGAAGTTATTCCCTATAACTTGAGTTTATTCATTTGTAGGCTTTATGCTACTTTAAGAGAGAATAGTAAAGTAAAATCAATAATCCTTTTCAATATTTAAGTGAGGTTATCGTTATCAAATTGAGCGGTCAATAGCTTTCGTAGTTGGGATTACGGTGTTACCTTCGCGGTCGTAAGATTCAGGAAAACTGTGGTAGTTGAGATTTTTTCTTTCAAAATCAACGTTAAGCCGCACAGTACAGATACATTCGGGCCTACTATCGTCGGTCAAAAATGAAAATCCTACAAAAAAATCGTGTTTTTTTGTATTGTCCGCTAAAGTGAGCATTTAGTAGTCAAACAGTAGGTATTAGGTCTATCTTTTGGCACATTTGCAAATTTTCACTATTATAAGAAAATTGTAGCTATTATATCATCAATACGATTATAGGTAAAAAGCTGAAAATACATATTTGCTGCGTATTTTTTTCAATGTTGCTCTCTTGATATTTTTTAATATATGTGACAGTTTTGCAGATATAACAAGATTTTGTCCAAAAGTACCAATTTTCTAAGGTACATCCGGGGACTTTTAGTATGTTAAAAAGGAAGTATAGTAACACCTCTTCCAGGTAGTCCCAGCTTTATAAAAATTTGTTCCACCTTCCCCATTACCAACAACTTAGTTGTATTGTACTATTCGGCCTGGGTCCTAACCTCAACCTTTCGCTTAGATTCTCTCTGCCCGAGTCAAGTCTACCTTGTTCCTTCGAAAGTCGGCCTGTGCAAATCAGGTACTACTTCAAGGTCACCATCGATATACCATATGCGAGTCCTCCGCAGGGCACGAAGTACTTTACGGTCATCGGGCCTCACATTGACTGCATGGAGGAGCAATACTTGGTGCGTAACGTATACAGTGTTTTTTCTAATCGAAGGGGGGATTTTTAGATCTATTTTAAAAAGAAAACTTCACACGAATATATGTCTTAGACGTGCTAACTTTTCAAAGTCAGGGTGATGAAGTTTTCAAAAATAATACATATTTTTTAAAAAGTTTGCACACGTGTACTATGTATCGAGAGGCATTATTTCAGATTATATTGGCAGACATTGATGGTACGCCAAAACAAAAAATAAAAATTATTACAATCTCCAATCATTTGTACGGGTTTGGCAAATAATATTTTGGTTAATTGGGTCGCCACTGTGAAAAAGTAAAATATCTATCTGAAACAAAACATCTAGTTTTTAGTTACCTTCAGAAAAAAAAATAGAAGATTGTTCTTTTTATTGTTATAGTATTAATGAAATAACGTAACATCCAGTAAGATAAATAATAAACGATTTTTATTTAAACAAAAACTACCTACTATTAATAATGTTTAACAAAATGGTCTGTTAGTAAATTAAAAACAACCTTTAAAAAGAATTCAACATAAAACTAGATATGTTGTTGAAAGTGTCATCACGCATCAGCTCTTTTTCTCATATTACCACCGCGTACTCTTTGAAGTATACTTCAAGTGTTTCTTATTATATCGCAGGAGGCTCTTATACGATAGCTGTTCTACAGTGTTAACTGGGTACGATAAATCAGACTTTTAAGAAAAAGTCCAAACGTCCAAAAGTCCATCGGCTAATAAATGTGCGATTTAAATATTCTCTTACAGCAACACTAAAGTGAAAACTATTTTTGAAGTTTAAATTCTAGAAATGCATAAGCCCAAATGACAAGGCGCTAATTAACTTAGCGTAACTATTCTAAATACCACCATGTGACCACCATTTTCCTGAACACATTTCTCGTGCACTCTTTCCGGATTGTCTCTTGCATCTGAAATCATTTGCCGAAGTTCCACGACATTATTACAAGGAGTTAACTTTTGATCCATAAATATCGGACCCAAAATATGTTTCGGTGTGACACCACACCATACATTAATTGATTGGTACCCATGGGTTTTTATTTCTTGTATTTGCCTAGGGTTATTTAAAGACCAATATCAATACAAGCCTTTCTTGTAGTGAACGAACTTTCATCAGTCCATAAAATGTTTTTCAAAAAAATTATTATTCTCATTATGTCTATTTAAAAAATCCGAAGAAAACTGCATCCTCCTTTGACGTTGTTCTGCACTTAGTTTTTGAGTTTTACGAAATTTAAATGCATTATTTATATTTATATTATTTCAAAACTGAATAGATTGATCCCCGAGAAATACCTCTATCTTCATATACTCTAGTAATAGAGGAAACTGCTTCATACAATCCTAATAGAATTTTTTTTAACTTGCACAACATTGTTAGGGGCACCTTGTTGCTGCCATATATTTAGGTGATGATTGATGATCTCCAGTTAACTTTTGATCTATAAATATTGGACCCAAAATATGCCCATCTCTGACACCACACCATACATTAATTGATTGGTACTCCTGGGTTGTTATTTCGTGTATTTGCCTAGGATTATTTAAAGACCAAGTATTTTGTCTATTAAAACCCTTTCTTCTAATGAAATTGTTATATAAAAAAATTATTATTCGCATTATGTCCATTGATATTTGACATTGTTCTGCACTTGGTTTTTGGAGTTTTACGGTATTTATATGCATTAAATTTATATTTGAAAACTTAGTGGATTGATCCCCGAGAAATACCCGTCTCTTCACATACTCTAGTAGTAGGGGAAACTGGATGTGCTTCATAGAATCCTAATATTTTTGCCTTATTGTCTTCATTTAAAACATTATGTTTCCGGAATACCTTTTTAGCATTTAATACGCTACCGTTTTCTGCAAATTTCTTTGCCAGCCTTGTAAATATCTGTTTTGAAAAAGTTCGGCGCTGTGGAGAAAGTCCAATATACTAACGACGAGCTGCGGTTGCACTTTTATTACTCAGAAAGTGTACGGGTGTTAAATTCGCGAAAACCTATTTTAACAATAATGACTTAATTCAACCATCAACTTCAACAAACAACAAAATTGATAGCGTTTTGTTTTATACGTAAATAACTTGCCTACTAACCTTACTTTTTTTTTTTCGTTTACTTTCATATCTGGTATGTCTCGCTAATTGCTTAGCTTCCGGCGCATCATCAGCCAAAACATACATAACATCCACATCTACGAATTCCTCATTAGTAAACTCGTCCATTCATTTTTCAAATAACCATGCTCGAATATTTTAAAACACCAAATTAAAAAGACACGAAGAACTGAATTTAAAAACTGACGTCAAACAACGTCGTATTCGTAATTCGATTTTTCAAAGTATTTTAATTTAATAAAACAAACAATTACTTAAGTAAGAAATAATATTGGTAATTATCTGCATATTAACGATATTGTTATGATCATGGAAAGAAGAGATAAAATTTCTTTAAACATGATTGGAGATTGTAAGGATAATTTTTATTTTGAGAGAAATCAGTGGCGCGCCGTCAACGTCTGAAAATAGGGGTTCGCTAATTAATATGTCTTGAGGCATGTGTGACAAATTTTATTAAAATTAACATTAAATATTATTACAGATACAATTGAAACTCTATATAGCGAAATTGAAGGGACTGCTTTTTCTTCGTTATAAATAGTTATAGGCACTTGAAAAATAACAATAAGCATATGTGTTCTGTAATATTTAATTACTTTGTATACATATTTTAACATCTACTTAGGATCATTTTGTATAAATATTTAAGAACTACATTTAATGTTTCAAATAATCGGTCATTTTTTTAATATGCCAATACGCATCTCGTACTTTCGCTTATATTTTTACCATTTCTTTGAGAGGGGCATCTTCCCCATGATATAAAAAAATCAATATAGGGCTTGTTGAATGGTTGGTGGTGGTTCCCTTCATCTTCTTCTTCCTTTTGGTGCTTTTCCTCGCCCTTTATTGCATGTTGTAATATGGCTTCCTCGGTCAAGTCTGCTGTTGTAGGTAAATCCTGATTTATCATCATAAAATCTTGCAACTCCTCCTTGTAAACATAATTGTTGTTTAAAACTGCATTATCCACTCGCTTAGTGGCTAATCATCTTCCAAGTCCATGACGATAGGAGTGTTGAATTATTTCTGCTGTCGCCTCTTTCCAAGCTTTACTATTACTATTAATAGAAAATTTGTCTTCTGACTCGATCAATTCTATTAAAATGTTTTTCCTGTATCGACTCTTAAGACTTTTTATTACGCACTGCTCCATCGGCTGTAACACACTTTGTTGTTTTGGCTGGAAGAAAAGCCAATTCAATATTCCGTAGATTTGGAGTATGGGGATGTGCAGGGCAGTTATCCAAGAGAAGTAATATTTTCCTCCCCGTTAATTCTGCATCCCATTTCCGTATCTCCTCTTCAAAAATTTGCGATGTCATCCATGCAGACTTGTTTGCCTTATAAGTGACCGGCTGATTTTCCAATGACGACTAGCTTTCTTTTTTATCTCCCACTCATATTGGCAGCTTCTAACACTGTTATACGTTCTTTAGAAAAGTTTTCAACCCACACACTTTTCGCTTCGAAATTTAAGGGCTTTATCTGGCGTCATTTTGTAAAAAATACCAGTTTCGTCAGCATTAAAAATGTCGTCGGCATGGTACTTTTCTGCTAGTTTTGGCCACGTCTTCTCCAGCTAATCGTTAGTGACCTTTCTGTTGACATCACGGGCTTCGCCACTTATCTGTCCATAATTTATACCATGTCTCTGTTTGAACTTCCAAAGCCTTGAAATCGATAATGCCAAATTTTTCTGCTTTTAGTTTTACGATAGGTCCAGAGAGTGGTACATTTTTAAGACGTTGCTGTTGGAACCACTGCAACATTGCAATCCAAATCTTCAAATTTTGGCTTTCTTAGATTTTTACTAGAACTGCCTGCCGTTTCAGCCTGAATGATTTTTTTCTTTGCACTTCCAAATCGTGGATACAGTCGACGATGTAAGTCCGTATCGAAGTCCCACATCACTTTTCTTTTCTCCCCGTTCTATCTCCCGAATTAAAGCAACTTTATCATCATCATAAAATTTTTCGATTACTGGCCATGCTCGCCGTATTCACTAAGTCAAATTAGAACTGATTAAAACAATGGTGTGCTTTTATACATAGATTATTAGATTATTAGGGTAAGGAATTCTGAGACTCTATTAATTACATTCCCTACTTTGTTACCTGATGTGCCCTTTTTTCTTTCGGTATAGAGAGTGAGAAATTCGTTATACAGGGTGGATTAATACATAGCTTTGTATGGAGACCTAATAGTACACCAAATTTTGTCCGTAATACAGAGTTTGACGTTATATAAAGTTTCGCTATAGGAAGTTTTCACTGTACTAAAAAATAAATTTTATTTTTGTAAACTTTACCACCCAATTGCAGAAAGCTTCCGTGATGGAAAACAAGCGATCCACTTGCTGTTGGTGTTGCAAACGCGGAACCCTGAGCTTGCGATGCGTCCTGGAACGTTCAGCTTACGTGTGCAAGGAGAGCATCAAGGTCAGAGCGACGATCGATAATCAGAGCGAAGACGAAGTGAGGTTAAGAGTCAGGCTAGAGCAATTTTGCGAGTTTTTCATAGATCGGGGCGTGTTGGGCGTATCCAAAGACGTCAGGCACCTGATTTTCGAATACAGGTGGGCGCGATTTTTATTTTATTTGTTTTATTTATTCATATTTTAGAGGTAGGACGGCCAAACCGCACACCCGGAGCAAGTGGGACAGCTCCAACAGCTTGGTGATACCCCCCATGCCGACGACACTGATCGGCATATGTCGACTGGCGCAGATATATTACATTTTGACCGTGAGTACTATAGTGTATTTGGAGGGAGGTGGAATAAATTTTTTGTTAATTATTATAAGAAAATGGATTTTTGACCAGATCGATCCCAGTTTGTCGGATCGTCGGGCCCAGGCTATATAAATGGAGTGTCTAAAGTACTCTAGAAAAAAGTATTAGTATATTACAAATCTTCAATCATCAATTATGGGAACTCACAAAACAACACTAGATTGTGGTTAATCTTGGGCTCGAACTTAGTTTCACTAGTGCAAAGTCAAAACCAAAATCCCAAAACAAAAGATACCGTACAAACTGAAACGTTTTCGTGACTTCAATCAGTCTCTTTAGGCAGTGAGAGAACCTTAAGATGATGATGATGAAAAAAATCAAATTGCTCTTTGTTGTGTGGTACCATATGGAAGGGATGATGGTGGTGCTTGACGATAATTAAATTATGCTTTTGCCTTTTGCATTTGACTTTGCACTATTGAAATTAGGTTCCACCTGAAAATTCACCACAACCTAGTGTTATTTAGTGTTTTCCATTGCGTGACGGCAGCTTTCGAACTTTCTGGGTCTCATCAGTTTGGCGAAGAAGTCAAAAAGAGCTATTTGATTTTGTTCCTTTTAGTTGATCTTCATTACATGAAGATTTGCTTATCTTAATAAAAATTATTAATTAAATTCATTAAAACTCTTTAATTTTTAAATTTAATTTGGAAACCAAAACTAACGAAACACATATTAAAACAAACAAAAGTATTATCAAATATCATCGCAAAAATAAAATTTGTGTTTCACTAAAAAATTAAAAATCTCGGTTAATTTTACAAACGAAACAGAATTGGGACAAAAATTTGCTAAATGGATTTGATTTAGAATCATTTTTGAAAAAAAAATAACAAGGAAATGATACATATTTTTCGAACAACTTATTTTATATTAGTAGTAGTGGTATAACTTTTAATTCTAAACAGTTTTTCTTAATAATATTTTGCTCAATTTTTTTTAAAATAATACACTTGTGCAATTTTCATGTTTTTTGTGCTAGCTCGTATACTGTTCTAGTTGCAAATATGATTATGGAAAGGTTTTGGCAATAAAATTTGTCACACCTGGGCACCTCTTTCTGTCAAAATTTGTATCTGTAATTATTTTAGTTTTTGACATTCTCTCTGTTAAATATCAAAACATAACCATAGCGTGTCATATATCTTTGAAATCGGCGTTTAAAAGGATCTCAGATAGGGGCAAAACACATTTTGGTCTGCTACTTTTTATTGTATACGTGCAAAAACAACTTTTATGTCAGACATTTTTTTCCAAAAATTTGAAGGAAATGAAGTTTTGGTTCAATTTCTAGGTAAGTTTGGACACGGACAAAGACTTCGACGTCGTGCAGGTTGCCTTTCCAATTACCATAGGAACCGTCCCCTTCCGGATCCCCAATTCGAACAAAACCCCCAGAATAAAATATGGTAACATAATACAATCTTTCGTTATTGTTCTGGCGTTGACCGATATTAATTTAGAAAACGCTTGCTCACACGTGGAAGGAGGCCAGTACCTGGGGCCGGAATTTTTGTTGGGCCAAGTATATGACGGAAATGAGCACTATTTACGGTGAATCATGAGTAGGGTTCGAGAACAAGCGAAGTTAAACTAAATTTACCTTTATTTTTAGAGAGCCCATAGTTTTGTACAAGCCCCTTTACGTTACAGTCGATAACGCAGAGGACAAATGAAAACCAAAGGCAATAACGACCTCCAACAGGGTACTTAACCTCAATTTTCTTTTTATCGATATACACTGACCGCTTAAAAGACTGACGAAACGCGAAAAATGCAATTAATGAGTAATGCAGCCTGAAATGCCAGAGTTTGCTCATTGATTACTGCTTCTGATCCGTTGTTGATACACCAAATTCACATTGTATTACTCATCCAGAATATTTGGGGTCGTTTCATATCGAAATCGGGCTAAAGGCCTGGCAAGAAGAGAATTAAAACTGCTCAATAGCAAATTGTCCAGGCACTTTTTTTCAAAATAAAAAAAAAACTTTTTTTTGGCACGGGCCATTGAAAATGTATAAGATACTGAATGCGTGATAGCGCCATCTATTAGGTAAAACAAAATATACAGCTCTAACATAATTTTATGACGAACTTCCAGTAACATATTGTAAATACATTTAAAAAAAGACGCTGTCTTAAAATCATGGGAAGCTATCATAAAAAAATATAGTCCGACAATAGCCAAGTTAGAAATGTGTACCTTTAATAGTTCTCAAAATATATCAATCGATGACGTCGTGTGCCAAACTTATTTTTTATTTTAGCAGATTTGATATTAAATGGCCCTTTTACACAAGGCACTCGAATACAACAAATACTTCCTTCATTTTTTCCGAAACGTTTTTCAAAAATGAAGTGATATTTTTTACAAATTAAATGAATTATTATTACAGTTAACGGTAATTGTAATTAAGATGTTTTGTGTCATAACCTTAATGTTTATTGAAATGTTAAATGTTAGACTGAAAAATTTGATATATAACTATTTACCTACCTGAAATTTTTGTAATTTATTTTTGACACAATTAGCACAGTAAACTATGACCACAGTGCATTTAGTCCATAGGTTTAAATGTTTCTATGGATTAAGCGTATCGAATTCATCTAGATGACTGGCACACATTTATGGAAAGTCAATTTAACGATTTAAAAAAATTCATGAACGTGCATCCCAAAATACATAAATTGAAGTATTTTAAAGAACTGTCTAGCAGCATAGCATTTATTATAGTAGACAAAGCACAATATTGTTATTGTTGTTCACCTTAAAAGATTATCATTAATAAATGTTTGTAACACTTGGTTTCTTACTTACCTATTCCTTGAATTGAAGTCTCAGTAAAAGCAGGACAAACATATTTTCTATAACGTTCTCCTTAAGTCGCCATTATAATTTATGACACAAACGGCCAACCAAAAATGAAAAATAAGAACCAAAAATTTCAAATCAATGTGACGCAAAAACAAAACCGCCACAAGTGCCGCCTCGCGGTAGGTATCGGAACGAAACTAAATCTGATTGGTTGACTAAAAACTTGACCTTTAAATGTCAGTGATAATTAATAATCGTTTCCATTTGATCGAATACTGCAATACGATACATTACGATACTGCATAGCATAGATTCAGTTTACAATTATTTGAAAATAAACGTACCCAGTAATTCCACAGATAGAAAATACCACGAAAATACACAGGAGTTTTTATTTCGTCCACTAATATTATACGTTAGGAAAAATATATGGAAACGTGACTTTCACTACAGGGTTAAATTTTCTCTCTAAGAATAAAAACGCAGATGATAAGAATTTTGCCATTTATCAGCTGATTCTCGCTATTCTCTGGTGTTATGTTTTTAGGTTAAGCATAATTTTGCTGTGGATTATAGAAATCATTGGTCATAAAAACTTTTATATTTAAGATCCCGCTGGAAATTTCGTCTTTCAGCATGGCGTAGAAACATAAAGTAAATTTCAATTGCTGAGTAAAATAAGAATAAAATTCTAAGTGACAAGCGCAATTGCAACAGAGTTTCAATTAAATATGCCACACGTCTTTACATTGGCGTCGGATTTATTTGTTAAAGTTAACAGAAAATAAGCGCTGCATTCCCAGTTTCTACCCACCGCAAAGAGTGATGCCATAGTGTTGATGTATCATCCTAAAGGAAGCATTGTTTTTAGTTTTTACCAGCCGGAACAAATCAAACTTGTGATCCACATTTTCCTGAAAGAAATTATTCAAGCTGGGCATAAATAAAGACGATGACTATTTTAAATACCTGTAATTTTAAAATTTAGTTGTCTGTTGTAAAAAAATACAGCTCAATGTTGAAAAAGCATTTGTCTAAACGGATACTAAATTATATTGCCTTTTACAAATAACACATGAAACTGGTTTTATAAGGATAACGTACTTTATCACACCAGATTTAATAAATTCTATCATATTTTTCGTCGGGAACTAGTTCAGTAAAATAAACAGGCATTAGTTCATTCCTAGAAATCTTTAACCACAAAGAAAAACCTTTCAGCCTTCGACTTATAAATATTTTGAACTACGCTTTATTTGCGCAGGTTCATAAGGTAATTTGGCCAGCTTACAACCATGTTTTTAAACTTTTAAAACAATTCATTCAATAAACCTTTAATTTTTTTTATTTCAACTGAGCATTATTAGCAGGATCATTCGGCCAACTCATATATACCATGACTCTTCCCATGTGTTTGTTATATGCAAGAAGAAGAATAATTGTTCCATGCTGACATACTGACCATTTCAATTTCTAATTCCGAGCTATTTGTTTAGAAGTTTTCGCAAGCTAGTTTTTGCGGTACAAGTTTTCATTATTTAGTTTTCTTTAGTTGTTTAAAAAATCAATTTGTTTTATTTTTGGCTACCTGCGGAAACGTTTACTTTTTTTATTAGTTCATCTTTTATGGAAATTTATTTGACAGAACATAGGATATTGCTGTATAAATTCTGCGGGAATCACCCAGGAAGAAGGACATCAAGGGTAGAACACCTTTTCCACGGCTTATGTAAGTGGCTTGCGATCTAAATTCAAATTTAAAGTCAGGAACATATGTATATTTTTTGCTGATAAATGAAAATAAATACGCAAAAGATAAATTTGATTAAGTAGTTGATAAAGTAGTAAGTAGTTTGCGTAAAAATTTTTTTTCGAATATGCGATTTTTATTCCCCAACACATTTAGAAAATAAAAACGTGCAAAACTCGAATAAAATACGCGCGACGCGTGAATCTAATTTTAAAATCTAAATATACATCCAATGCTCATTATTATAACTGGGCGATTGAGGTCCAAAAATAAATCCAAAAATGTTCAGACTTTGTTTGAAACGTGTTCTCAAAGTGGTGTCGGATATGATTTAGTTTTGCGTTGTGAACTTTTTGGGTTAAGTTTCAATATTAACTTTTGTTACAGTTATTTTAGTTCTTAAAGAAGAGAAACAGAGTGATACTAGAAAAATGGATGAAGTAGAGCACGAAGTATGCGCGAATTGGTGAGTATAGCTTTTTTTTCTTTGTCTTTGAATTAGTAATAATACAAATATTTTTTCTTTCATATGTAATTAACAAAACGTGCATAATGCAGAAAAGTGTACAAAACTAACACAACATTCATTCTTTAACTTTGACAAGCTGAAATATTAAAATTACGCATTAGGGCAACTATACCTAGTTATTATGGCTCTAATGTATTTATTTGTTCCGCAGATCCTTCAGGCTATCAGTCATTTCATATTGAGGGTATTGCATATTATTTTCAAGTCACCTGAAAGAAATTATGAATATGAATTAGTTTTAAAATGGACAGACTAAAAAATATACTCATTACCTATAGCTTATTGCGAATAAATGTACATTTCTGAATGTCTTAAGCGTCTAGCAGGTTCCTAATTTATTGTCTTCAATTAACTAAATATAATATAATATTTACAACTTGATTTTTATATAAAAAATTGCCTAATTAAAAAAAAATAAAAATAAAAAGAGAATGGTATAAAACATCACTTACATACAAAATAGGATAAATAAACCAAGTTATAATCAAAACAAATCAATTTGAAAAACAAAATATGAATGCACCTTAACCACATTAGTCATTAAGTGATTCAACATTAATTTATTAACTTTACAATATGTATATATTTCATTAAAACGCTGTAATACTTTAAGTTGTACATTTTCTACAGATAGTCCTTACAGTCATTACCATAAAGTCCGCTACATGTCCAGAGCTAGCATAAAAACAGAAACACAAGCGCTGGCTCATATGTAATACAAAATAAATATCATATGTGTGCATATTCCAGCTGATCCTCTGACGTAAAATAATTGGGTTTTTGTTCCGTAGTCGAAATTTTGCTGCTTCTATTACACCATCTTCAAGAAAATCTGGTTGCCCGTCAAGAAATTCTAGATACTTCGTAGCAAGAAATATGGTAACTTTAATAATTATCACGTGATTAAAAAACGTAAAAATATTTTGAAACTCCATGAATGAGCGGTCTAAAAATCTCAACATCTTGGATCAATCAATGTCGAAAATCCATGAAATTCTTGCATCGATTCTTTTATCAAACAAACCAATCTTAAGAAAATTAGTGCAGAAAATCTTAAGGAATTCACACGCTTTCAAACGCTGAATATAAATAAACTAGAAGTATCAGCAGGTGATAACATATGCGATGTAAAGTTTTGGAAAAATACTTTTTGTGCAATCGGATATCCATTGTTGTATTTAATAAATACTAATACTTTAAGAATTCCCAAAGAGATCAAGACAAGCGTTGTGGTACCTATACCCAAAGTACCAGTTCCAAGTAAACCTATAGGTGTGCCCCAGGGCAGTATATTAGGATTTTTGCTTCTTGGAATTTCTCACAACATGTAGATTATATTTGTAAAAAAAATGGAAAAAAGATAGGTGTCTTGCATAGACTTTCGCCTGAGCTTAGTCACTGGAGCAGATATCTTGTTGCTTTCGAAAAGTCGATGAAATAGAATTTTTCGAAAGTATGCGCGCTTGCCAACGAAATTCGTATCTCGGCATCTTGCAAATGATCAGCGTCGAAAAAATAATTTTTTTTCTTCTCTTCGTTCTCCGTTTCTCTGTAGAACGGTTCGAACTGCGGTATTTAAATTTGGCTCCTTTTAAAAAGTCCGTAAGACACATTAAGTCAATAGAAAATGGTTCGTTTTCGACTGTTTTTTGGACATTGCTATGAAACACGATAAGTGTCCGAAATTTATAGAGTTTAGCATCATAACGAAGCCTATTGAAATTGGGGGGGGGGGGGGGGGGCCGCGAAGAATTTTTAAAAATTTAAAAACCGCATTTACAGGGTATCGGGAAAAAAATCATTTCTCCAAAACGATCGAAAAAATTCTTACACAAATAATAATAATAATAATAATTTTATTCACATATTGATATACAATGAAAAGGACACGGTTCGGATGAACAAAATAAGATATTTTGTGCCTCCGTTCTTAAACCTATCCTAAGAAGAAGGTAGCAGCACTAGGCAGGAAAAATACACATAAAAAAAATAAATACCTAGTACGATCTGTGCAAATAGAGAGACACTTTGGAAATAGTTTACAGTAGACATTACTTAAATATTTAATGATAATAATACTTCACACAGGTTTGTGGATAAGGTAGAGTTTAGCAATTTAAGAGATTCATCCAATGCATTTTTTTTGCCATATCATATGTAAAGTATCTTTAAAAAATTCCAGAGGTGTGACGTAGAGGCATTATTTACAGTGTTTTCAAATTATAGGCAAAAACCTACAAGACTTAGAGAATTGTTCTTTTACAGAGTAAATTATTAGCCTCAAATCAAAAATCGTAAAAAATATGGCTAATTAGTTCCAACATTGTTATAGGCCGCATCAGGAGCTATAATTTTTGTATTTGAGGTTTTCGTCTATAACATACGCCGCTCGGGATATTTGAAAAAATCCATATCGCAATCGCTATTTCGGGGCCTGGCAAGACGCGATGATTATTAGGGCGCACTGCATGGTTTCAGAAAAAACTTATTTTCTCGAAAACCGTATACTATTTTCAAAAAATTCTTGGACCAGGACGCGTGGAAAATCCAGAGCTATAACTCTACTTCGAACAATGATTGTATCATATACAGGGTGTGCCTTTTGTGACCAAAAAAACTAAAATATCCTAAAAATTTCCGTTTTTGTGGGTAAATTATTTGCGATAAATGAAAAACCGTTAAAGATGGGATAATTTTATTTGAACAGTATCGTAAACCGTGTCGTGAGACGATTTTTCGAAAGCAATCTTGTTTTTAACGCGATTATTAGCCTTCATTTTTGGTATTGTAATTCGCTTTTGATTTCTTGTAAAAACAGTGATGTTTATAGAATACGAGTGCTACAAAATAAACCCATGCGGGCTATTCTGGGTTGTACACGTTACACTCCCATTCTAGTATTGGGTTCTCTAATGTTTTGCTGATATATAAAATAAAAAATAAATTACTTCCATCCTACTTAAAAGATTATTTCATTCCTTTTGTCCGTAACAGCATAGTAAACCATTTCATGCTAATGATAATAAACCATTTCATTTACCTTTGACCATTTTTGTAATTTTCATTATGATGCTTGCTTTGTATATTGTGGTCTTACAATAGATTGAGATCTCTATACCCAGATATTTGAATTTCACTTCTTACTTAATAGATCTACCGCCGATCTAGAGTTTGCACCTGGGAATAAATAAATTTTTATTTATTTTATTTTTCTAAATCAAATCGTTGGCACCTTGAATCTCGAAAACATATCCCGTGCTTGCTTGAAACAGTATGGATGACTTTTCGCAAATCTCGGATGACCGAGACAATGCTCACGCTCCTCCCTTAGCTGCGCCCCCTTCAAACCGTGTATATAAGCAGGTCCACAGTACAAAGCTAGCCAGTTTTACTTCAGCTCGTGTTTACAAACTAACAACAAAACTAGCATTCTACTAAAAGAAAAACTATCAAAAATTTACAATGTGTCTCGCAGCAAAAAGGACATCCCGCAACGTAACTACGTGATGCACACGATGCATTGCGCGCGCAACATCACCCTGTGCAAGAACTGCACCGAGCCGATACCGAAAATCGAGTACGAGAGTCATAGGGAGACGTGTCGCAAACCGGTGCCGAGAAAGCCTAGTCCTCCGCCCGTGGCGCTGGAAAAAAGTTCCTACTTCCAGCAGAGGAAAGTTGTGGAAGACCAGAAGGCGGCCGCCAGGAAGGAGAACTACATGAAGAGGCACGAGAAACTGTACGACACAGGGTTCACACTGCGCGAGTCGGTGCGAAACGGGATAGCCGGCAGCGCAAGTTCGAGCAGCGTCGGTAGCGGGAAACAGCAGCCTCAGCAATCCTCCTCCTCGTCCTCGTCCTCGGGGATGTTGGCTTGCAAATACTGCGATTTAGAGCTGCCCAAGTCGGAGCTGGACGAGCACGAGAACTACTGCGGCTCGAGGACGGACAAGTGTTTGGAATGCGGCGAGCTGGTCATGTTCAAGTACAAGCAGATCCATATGGATTCGAATCACGGGTTCCTGAAACTCAAGGACGGTGAGAGTTGCGCCGCATTGTGTTTTTAAATTAAAAAAAAAACTTCGATTTTTATTATTCTTATATTTTTCGCTCTACTTGCGCAAGTTGTTTCTGTTTAGCACCCGTTCATTTCCACACGTTATTTATCATCCTTGCTCTTGCTTTCCTTGTTACTTTCGTAAATCGATTAAATCGAATTTTTCGCAAGTATCTGCGCTCGTATAAAAGTCTAAAAAAATAAAAAATCGCGTGTGCAAGGGTCTACAAAAAACATTTTTCAAAAAACTGTTTACGAGACCACGCAGAAGATACGGCTCCATAAACTTTTATTCTTGACAATTTTTTAAAAATATGCAGGGTGCGCCGCAAATTCAAAAAAACTAAAAAATGGGTCCCCCTATTATTGAAAATTGGTTATAACTGAAAGAGTATGATTCAGGTGTCACTTTCTTTTATATTGCGATATAGCCCGCCTAGATAGCAAAAACTTTTGTATTTAAGGTTTTCACCTATTTTACAGGGTGTTCCCAATATTCCGGGCTAAATGAGAAATGTGCTAAGTGTCCTAAATTTTCAGATATCAACTTAAAATTTAAATTAGCAGAGAAGTAAAAATCCATTTGGGCGCAATCAAATTTTTTTATATATTATTTTTTTAAAATGTTTGAAATTTTTTTTTGGGGAATTTTAGCTTCCAGAAGAATATGTTTTCCTCCATAATCATTCATCCGATTGGCAAAATTCTTTAACCGGCAGACGCAGAAGATCCAGTGCAATTGCGGGCATTTTTTCGATTTTATGCAAGGTTTTCAAATTATAGGCAAAAAATCTAAAAGACCTAGAAAATTGTTCTTTTACAGAGTAAATTATTAGCCGCAAAGCAAAAATCGTAAAAAATATGGCTAGTTGGGTGAAACGGGTGTCATAGGCCGCATCAAGAGCTTCAATTTTTGTATTTGTGGTTTTCCTCTATCCATAAATCTATAGTAAAATCGTTATTTCGGGGGTTGTCAAGACGCGATGACGTCATTGATTATAATGGAAACGTGGAACATCCAGAGCTATAACCTCTACTTCGAATATTGTTTGAATCATATACAGGGTGTGTCATTTATGGGCAAAAATTCTAAAAGATTCTAAAAAATTCCGTTTTTGTGGGTAAATTATTAGCGATAAATGAAAAACCGTTAAAGATGGGAACAGTATCGTAAACTGTGTCAACAGATAGTTTCAGGTATCGTCAATTTTACAGGGCGCGAGATATTTGAAAAAATATCATTCGTGCAAATTTTAATATTTACCGATGTTTACTGTAACTTTGAAGTTCGACGGGATGTAAGGGACATTTTATACAGGGTGCAGGCACAATTGAATTACATCGATTTTGCGAAAGTTCATAGTGGTCCGCTTGAGCACGATAGAAAAACAATGCGTCCCTTTACCACACGAAACCGCGAAACTCTTTCCTATTATAATAAAAAGCTGCTTCGTGCTAGGCGCTACGAACTTGCCCCGCTCAGCGACGATTTTTCGAAAGCAATCTTGTTTCCTTTCCCCTGCCTCACCATAGCTTCAGAATTTTATTCTCAGATATTTGAACTTCATTTTACTTCTCCCATTCCTGTTGTTTTTATCACGATGGACCTTAATCTTGCTCTTTAATTCTTGTTTTACCTTCATGACATGACTTTACATGACAAAACCAAACAGAACGCAACAAGTGCAATATCATAAGTATTTCACCTAAATGCAAGAAGCATTAGTATGTGCCCTATGTTATATTGATGATTCTGTTTTATAAAATTTCATTACATAGTGTGTAGCATAGTGCGTAAATAATACTCCCAACATCTAAATCCATTACAACAAAAATATGTACAGTATGGTCATTCAAATAGAGATTGGCATCTTTCAGTGTTATGCCATAAGAAAGATTTACAAGCTTAAATATATTTTCTAGAATTAGTAATACTTTTTATCTCTTCTGGTAAAATATTATTTACTTTGGCACCAATATATCTATAAAATTGGTTAGTAGTTGAATATTTCCGCCACGTGTCAAATAGTTATGGTCAAGGACATTCCACAAAGCCTCCATCTTATGAAGATATTCACAGACAGTTATTATGTATATAGATCTAATTAAAATTTCTTGCGAAAACAACACGGGAGAAGAATATCGTTTCTTTCGCTTAAAAATAATTTTGAGAATACATTTCTGTATGATATTGAGCTTATATGAGCTGTTGTTGTATACACCTTCCCAAACAAGAATCCCATACCTAATTAGTGATTCAATAAACATTCACAAGTTTTTTAGTTAAAAATTCTCTTAGAAGATAAAATTTATGTATGAGTTTACAATAATCACTATGTGGTCCCCATTGGAGATGCTTATCTATCATAATGCCCAAGTATTTTATGCATATATTATAACCATCCAAAGTATCAAATTCATATTCTGGCCTACTTGCTGTTTTTAAAAAAAAACTATGTATTTTATTTTAGTTATATTGAATGTTAGTTTGTAGGTGTAGAGCCAATATTGGACGAGTTTTAATCCACTTATTGTTTGTGTTCCAGTTATCACCACTAAAAACAAGAACAGCGTCATCTGCGTATGACACAGTCAAGACACTGGCGCTTAAATTCAATAAAGGGTTTATATATGCAATGAAAAGTATAGGTCCTAAGACCGCACCTTGCGGGACACCAATTTTTATTTCGAGCTTGTTACTTTCACAATCTGATACCTATCGGCTAGGTAATTTTGTACTAATTTTGAGACTATTCCTATTAAGACTATAAGCTTTTCGTGAGGAACTGTATCAAATGCTTTTGCCAGATCAATAAATAAGGCCATACTCTTTCTATCCAAATTTAACTTTTTATTTTAGTTTTATTATGATTATTCCACTCCTTATTCATGTTCTTTATGATATCACTTCTTCCATTTCTGTTGGTTTTATCATGATGAACCTTATTCTTGCTTTGTATATTGTGGTCTCACCTTCGATTCTGATATTTGAATTTCACTTCTTGCTGAACAGATTTACCGTCAATCTCGAGTTTGCACCTGGGAATAAATAAAAAACCTATTTTTTTAAATTAATATCACCTTTTATCTAGAAAACATATCCAGTAGGACATATGTTTACCCTAAAAGTAGATTTTAGACGTTTAAAGGTTTAACCACGCCCCTCCAAACGGTATATAAGCAGGTATAGAATAAATTGATAGACAGTTTCAATATCGCGGTACCCTGTGGAAGGAGTTTTCGCTAATTTTTTGTTTGTTAGAACCGGGTCCGAGGCCGTCGTGGGACTCGGCAGTCGAGAGGACGGCGTCGACGTCGACGAGCACGAACCCCACGAGCCCCAGGAGACGGTTCGAACGGTTACGACTTAACGATTTCGATTACGATCCCATGCCCTACCTACCCAGCAGTTACTCGGTGCCCGGGGGCAGTTCCATTAAGAAGAAGGAAGGGGAAAGCTACAAGGAGATATCGAGGAGATTAGATTGTGAGTATATCAAGTCGTTCTTTTTGTCTTTGACGCTTAATGGAGGTGATTTTCATAGAAACTAACACCCGGTGTCAGTGAAAGTTGGAAAACTCACCATCATCATTATCATCATCCTACTTCTCTTGTCTACAGTCAGACATAGACCTTGTCCAGTCTTTTCTATTCTCTCCTATTCTGTGCTGCCTGTATAAAATTTAATCATAATTTAATAATGATGCAGCCACGTCACAAAGAGTGAGATGAAAACTTGAACACAAGCAACACCTCATTTATTGAGGTGACATGCTAAATGATTTTATTGCCATGTGGTCGAGATTCTTTTGAAGAAAAGCACACAGACCTGTTGCACATCTTGTAAGCATTGGATGAAAGTTCTGGTTGGTTGATATAATAAAAAATATAAAGCGGAGCAAAGTATCGTTTGCATGAAACTCTAGGATGACTATGGCTTTTCCAAGCCTTAACTTTCTATTTGGCACATTTTTTCAAAAAAAAAAGTAGCCTCGGCTTTACACCTTAGCTGTTATGAAACAAATATTTGCCTATAGCTATAATTATAACTGAACCTGATAGCTATTCTTATTACGTAATTAAAAAGATATTTGTGGTGCAATCAATAAAAAAAACTTAGCTTCAGCTTTACCACTTAGCTATTATGAAACAAATATTTGATTATAGCTATAATTATAACTGAACCTCACAGCTAATATTTTTACGCAATTAAAAAGATATATGTGATACCATCAAACGGAGCGGAAATAGAGTTTTTTTAAGCACTATGGCTTTGTCTATGAAGAAGAAGCCACTTTTCCAAGCCTTAAATTTTTGAATGGCACTTTTTGTCAAAAAAAAAAAACGTAGCTTCAGCTTTACACCTTAGCTATTGTGAAACAAATATTTGCCTATAGCTATAATTATAACTGAACCTGAGAGCTAATATTTTTACGTTATTAAAAAGATCTTTGTGATACCATCAAGTGGAGCGGAAATTAACCACTGTAGCTTTGTCTATGAAGAAGGAGCCTCTTTTCCAAGCCTTTACTTTTTATTCACTAAATGGTTTGGGTTTTTAGGCAAAACGGAATACATTCGGAATTTGCTGCACGACTCGGCGAGCATAACGATACCGTTAAGACACAGCGGTTCCATGCCCCGGAATCACTTTAATCACAACAAAGGTTTTTATCGCTTCGTGTGCCTTTTTGTGCATTGTTTTGTTTTTTCTTTTGGCTTTTCCGGTTTATTTCGGCAGCGGAGGCGCGTTAACCTTGGCCTATTGTGTGCGCGTGACGTAGTCGCCAAAACTGACATTTCAAAAATTTAATGAATACTTTTCCACACTTTTGCATGTCTATCATATGTCTTAATGGCAAAAGAGGGTATTGGGTATTATTCTTCCTAGCCGATTTTTAGTAACAGCTAATAGTAAAAAGAGCTACTTTTTCGAGAAACAGAACAATCCCTTTTGATTTTCGAGATACGGGGGATGTTTTTGAAAGCTTTTGCATTTGTGGGACGCTGCTCGTATATCGGTTATTTCACACCTCATTAGATTTTTTTTGCCCTGATTATTGAGTTTGTTACGTTTGTCAAACGCGTCTAAAAAATATATACAACTCCGTGTTTGTTTGTAATATTAAGTTTTGACGGGTTATTTTAAATACAAAATACCGCAGTTCCGAGAAATGAATTTTTTGAAAATGGAAAGGTTTTTTTTATATTGCTTAGAGACCTACAGAGAGCCAGTTTTAACGAACGACTTTTAGTATGCACATTATTGAAGTGAGAAAAATAATTTCGTAAAACGATTAGATACACTGAGAAAACATCCTAATAATCAAAATAAGTTAATAAAATTAAATGTGTGCAATAAATAATTACGCTTTTAATTTTTAGTAGATATGCATTTTTTTTTTGTTTTCGTCAAGGTCAAAATTATTGTTAGATACAATATTAGATTATCCAATAAGTTTGATATATGTCATTTAGTCATTTAGTTTAGTTTGGACACTTGCCCAATTATTTCAAAATTACTATGTAAACATAGGTAAGTTAAAACGGCCGGACAAGAGGAGCGCTTTTTCAAAATGCTTATACTATTTTTATCAGTATGACAACATTTTTAATTTTCTAGAAGTTTTGTTATTTTTATATATTTTTTTAAATTATACTTAACAATACAAAATCTTTTTAGTCTAGAAAGAAGTATAGACGCCATACAGGGTGTTTTACAATTGAATGTCGATAGTTAAGGAGGCGATTTTTGGTGGTGTATGTTTTAATATCTGTAATTCCATTTTAGATATTTCAATAAATTTTGGCACACATCGAGAAGCATCTATTTTGGCAAATATTGTTGGTACGCCACTGATTTGAATTTGTCTCAGTTTTAAAAAATACCGTTCACTCTAAATATCGTCAATAATAGAACATGTTGCAGAGAACGGGTCTTAAAATTCAAAGTGGTTGGCGATTTCAGAACTATTATAGTATATTATGCGACAAGTGCGGTAAACGCCATTTGACTCACGTGTTGATTTGACACGAGCGGAGCGAGTTTTTAATAAACGAGTGAGTTAAAAAGTTTACCGAACGCATTGCGTACTATACTTTTTCTACGACCGTTAGTTTTTGGGTACATTTTCGCAAAACCGTCAGAATTGACAAACGTCAAAATTCCAAGCGTGGGAAATATCTCCGAAAACATCCGATTGCTCCTAAATCCGTGCCGTAAATTCCCGGAAATGTCCGAAGTGGCTCGGATTCGTGGAAAACGAAACTGACGTGGTAATTAGGTATTTTACTAACGGGAGTAGAAAAAGTTTTTTCTCACTGGTGCAACCGATAGATTATTATAAAATTTTGATATTGTTACATTATATTCTGGCACGCCCGGGAATTGTTGTCTCCCACGATGCGCGATTGCCATAGCAACCATCACTCCTTCCCCGCTCAAATGCTAATGTGACTTAAGTTTAACAGCATGACTTAGTGTTCGACACATTGCGTGAAGGCATGGTCTCAAATTTACCCCCTCCAACGCAGGTCCCGCGCCCCAGCCGCCTTCTACGAATGGCGGTCGTCGTCGTCGTAACCCACCTACCGAGCTGGTGATACCCTGCGAATTTTGTGATACCCCCATCCCTCACGATGACCTTATTCAGCACGAAACCGGGTGTCGGCCAGATTTGGCCCGCTTTAGACCCAGAAGGAACAGGTATATAACGTGACATAATTGTTTTCATGTGTTCCAGGTAGGTGTATAGTATGTTTCAAGTTATATCGTCTCGACCTTTGACTATACTAATAAATGAATGATGAGTTAAAGAAAATAAACAACAACAGTACTACATTCTTTAGTGATCTCTAGTGTCTAGTCTCTTTCGGATTCTTTTCGACTTTTCAACTGTGAAAACTAAATTATCATTAAAGGAATTAAAAACGTTCAGATCAATCTGGACTTGGTCTGACGGGACTGCTATGAGATCTTTTAATTGTTGGTGTAATATTTGTCCTCGAAAGAGAAACAAGTGCTGTTTTAATGGTAAATCAAAAGTTTTGCTATGGTACATAACTTAAACTTAGCAAGGTGCTCTACATTCTAGTCTGGATCTGCTTATATACGGTTTAAGGGGGGTGGGGGGAGCTTGACGTGGGGACACGCCCATTGACTAGGACGGCCGATTCCTATTAGTACAAAGAAAACAAACATATGCAAAGATTAAACAATGAAAACATACAACAATATCCGAAATTAAGTAAAATTTTTAGTAAAGTCATGCCTCAAAATAGGTTCAGACAAATATTACATTTTTCTGAGTTTCCGAAAGATATATAACTATAATGTTTTACACACCTATGCGTTATTATTAGAATCGTCTGCACAAACATTATCTTGATTTTCGAGCCAACCTTTAGTAACTTAGTAAATAAGAGGTAAATATATATATATATATATATATATATATATATATATATATATATATATATATATATATATATATATATATATATATATATATATATATATGCTTAAAATTGCAAAAGGTGTCAAATGTCGTAAGACAATGAACCCGATAATGAAAATAAAATTTACCTACTAAAAGTTGCTAAAGGTTGGGTTGAAAATCAAGATAATGTTTGTTCAGGCGTTTCTAATAATAACTCATAGGTGTGTAAAACATTATAGTTAGGGAAAAAAAGGTTCCGCACAAACAAGTCTGCAAAAATCACGCAAAAGCGCTTACCATTTGAATTGAAATATTTGTTTTGTTCAATTAGTATAGTTTTAAGAATTTTTTTATAGCTTTATTCTTGTTTAACATATAACAAATCAATAGTATTCGAAATGTAAACAAGCCTCAAAGGAGTTAATATATTTGAAATAATGTGGAGAGTTTTTTCTGCAAAAGCTTTTAATATAAAAGCTAGAGAAAATGCGTTAGAGAAACAATGGTGCTGACAATACATCGGAGGTTATTTACATAATTGAGGTCATAAGCCAAAGCGATATACTTTGGGACAGACTATAGCAGCATAGAGTCTGATGGTCATGTAATAACAAAGACCGAGTCAGTTTCTTAGATCCTTAAAAATACTAGACTACTCTCTTGGTGGATTAAATCACCTTCAAGTGTGTGTTTTTGGTTTCGTTTCAGGTCCCCGGAGGCGGACGATTATTTTATCGCCCCGCCCCCGACGTCGCCCGAGGTCGAGCTGCCTTGCGAATTTTGCGCGGACATGATTCCAGCCTCCCAATTGCTCAATCACCAGATGAATTGCACGCCCGCCTAGTTTCATTGTTTCGCTTGTGATCGTTTTTTATAGGTTTCGTTAATTTCTAGGTACACTTTTTTTGTTTACGGTGTCCCACTAAGAATAGTACCGAAAGTGCTTTCAATCTGCTACCGACCGCTAGAAGGCGCTACTTTACTCTCTCATATAGAGTACATACATATTTACTATATTTTTTATTAATTTCCCTTATTAGTTGTAACATTAGCATCATTAATATTACATTGCGGCCCACTATTACAAAAATGACTTTATTGCGGGACATCCCACTTCTGAAGTAATACGTTTGAAGAGCGTTAAAATGCTTCTATTTAGTGGAAGAAGGTTTTGATACTGCCATATAATAATTATAATAATAACTCACAATGAGGCCTTTATCAGACTGCGACCGACCACTAAACGGGATATCAGTAGCGCTCTTGACTATGACGATTCTCAGAAAATGTGAAAGACTTTTTTTTTTATTTACAATTAAATTTAAACAATATAGTTATCACATCTATGATAAATCTAAAAACTTTTGTTTATCATATTTTTTATATTTTCTTTTAATTCCCCTTATTAGTTCTAACATTAGCATAATAAATATTCTGAAGTAATATTTATGGCAGCGATGGCTTTTAAATGCATCTATTTAGTTAGAGAAGGTTTTGATAGTGCCATATAATAGTAATAATTTAACATACTAGATTTGTTAAGCAACTAACAACTATTTCCTTCTTTCTTTTCTCGTTATTGTGGGTTCAAAAAGTGCATGTAGGTATTTTAAAGGGGGTTGCCCATATATGCAGGCTGTCGTTCTAAAAATGAGAAGTGTTAGCACACAAAAAATTGCCGACGAGGCCGTGAGAAATTGTTAAAAAGTATTTTTCATCTTCTCCCTACCCTTTTTGATTATTATTTTTAATTCTTCGTTATAATAACAAAAAAATGTATTTCGAAGATGCGATTTAACAGTTTTGTTTTATTTTTTATTTTTTCATAAGTCCTGCAAGAAAAACGTAAAATTTTGCAGCAATTAAAATTTGGTGCGCAGTCCACAGTATTTTGAAGCAAACTTTCATACAGGTACGGGTCCTTCTTCACTGCTTGCATGCACTCTCCCCAACACTGTTGCACATATAAGTTTTAATTTTAATTTAGTAAACAGCAGGTATTTTTCATAAAAACAATCATTAATATTTTCATTTACTCTTTGATGTCGTAACAGCATACTTCTCCGTTTCGTTGGTATATCATCGTCAATAAGTTTTCTTAAACACTACTTCGAAATGTAAATCTAAATCTTCAATTGGCTAAGTCATCTTAGGGTTACTACCTAAAATATACGAATCAACTACCGAATGTACTTGGGTATATAGAGCAATAGAAAAAAAAGGAAGACCTCGCACTATGCTTAATACCTGAAAAGCGTGACGTAATGATTAACAAATTCCCCGGTTTTTTGCGAAATTTCACTTTTTATCAAGTTCAACGATTTTTTCTTTTTTTTTTTCTGTCCTTATTCTGTTTTCATCACAGTTTACGCTCCCTATGCAAAGTACACTTTCTTGGTCACATTTCTGCACCTTATTTACGTCTATGATGTTCAATCCCACTTCTGAAATATCTTCTCTAATTGAAGCACCTTCGCTATTTAGGGGTCTCAAAACATTGGTTGTATTATTGCCTAAAAATACATCCCCCCCAAATTTTGTCACAGACTACTCAATACTGACAACTTAAGAACGCAAAAATACAATTGTAGTTAACTACCAACTTAAGATTTTTTTTTTAAATAAGCGATAAGGGAATGTTTGTCCCCTAACGTCCAGTGTTTTATTATTTTTTTTATTTTAGCAAATAGGATGAAACGTTCTCGATGAAAATTTTTTCAATGGTGGGTAGACAGAATAAGAATTAGAATTAGAAATACTTTTATTTCCGTCAGACATAACAATGAATGCAAAATGACAATGCGACATATAACACACAACTAATAATATAGAAATACAGGTATACAACACTTCATTTACTTTCCTAATTCAAAATTAAATTTGCGCCATCTAGCGGGTCTTCTATGAAATTAACACTTTCCCGGGTAAGGCAGGGAATTGTTGTTAGTGGGACGCCCGGTATAATAATTTACGCCGGCGATTTACTAGGACGGATTGCTAAATAAAGCTTACGCAAAATTTGAGTTCCTTTCCGGCAAATGGCGAAACTCCTTCCAATTCGATTTCGCTGTTGATTTTTCTACACCTTATTTTTTTAATCAATTTACGTTACAGAATTATATTGTTGCTTCAACAACAATAACACCAACGTTCATCTATTCCCTTAAAATTTAAGCTTCGCACCAAATATCATCAGCAATCCATTTAAGTCCATCATAAAATTAAATTTTCTGCAGTCCTAGTCTTCACAAATGATAAATAAATATAACGTTATGATGGTATTTTAGCTTTTTTACAAAAAAAAAACACTAAAATACTCAGGGAGAACTACTTTAATGAGTACATGTAACGTGATTTTTTTTTACAAGTGTAAGTCCCAAGAGTCAAGCCCCATTCACTGCTGCTATCTGCTAACTATAAGTGCCTGCAAATCAGTGTTAAATCTTACTGATACGGAATGCTTTAGTGCTGTTTAATTATTCCTAATTATAGGTAAACATTCCTTAAAGCTCCTTATAAAGATAATTGGGCAATGTGGCTCCATTTAAATACCAGAAACTGGGTAAATTTTTAGCATTGGAGTGAAAACCTGGGTCTCGCTACTGATGGGTATATACTGTGGCGACAGTTTCGAAACTATAACTATAAATTTATTGTCAGTCAGTTCTAATGAGATTGGTTAAATATAACCACTGCCCTTCGCAGCTCGGGTTTACTATAAAAGACTCGCATTGGAAGGAGACGCCAGTTTTAGCACGTTGTTATTGTGGAACTTTTTTCATTTTTTTTTGTTTCTTTCCAATTCGATTTATACTTTTCCCAAAAAAATTGTTAAAAGTGGAGAAATAAATTTGATTATAAAAATCGTATTGTTTTTTTTTTTTTAATGTGAGCATAGTACAGTACACTTTACTTAGATCAAAGAAAAAATCAACGGCTAGGCGATCATTACAGCTTTATTTGGAACCATAGGTTACGTCTATGTTTGGAACTAGGGGTGGGCCTCTTTAATTCGTTTTATTTTTTTAAACTCAATAAGCGCTTTGGGATACGTTCGATATTTATATATTTGGTTTGTTTCGAGCGCCGATTATTTAACTTCGAATTATGTCAAAATTAAAAAAGACAATGATTTGTTTCCACAATTACTGAAAACGTTGGAGTCAAAAGAAGCATATACTATTACGTAATGGTTTTGTGTTATGTAAAACATTAAATTAGTTCCTGTTCCTACAGTATTGTAGTTTTATTTTCAGTGTTAATATATATTTTTTTAAATAGTTTCCTTGTGATGTCTTTTTTTGGGGGCAATTAAAAAATAATAATAATGCTACAACGTATGCGTTCAGATTATTTTATTGTCTAAAATCTACTAACAATTTCTGACCGTAAAACAAGAAGCATAAATAATTCTGTCAACTTTCTCAGGAGTATAACATAGTTTGAGACTCCCATTATGCATCTAAATCGAGTTTTAAAAACACCAACGCATCTTTACACAGTACAGTACTTCGGGTTTGTCACAAGTCATGACCCAAGGTTGTACTGCATATCCTGGGTTCCCTAACATATTACTTTGAAGGAAATAAATAGAATTAAAACATACCTCGAAATACATAGGTTGGCGTAAAAATAAAGTAAGTGCTGAAAAGTGGAACTTTATCATATTCATTCAAAAACAATAATTGATATATCACATATTGTGAAGAGCAAAAAATAAAAATATATAGAGCTTTCCTGCGGCATATTGAGTTTTCAATCACCAAAGCACACCTTCTGAATGCATTAGTTATTAATCTGTCCTGTCCACTTATTATGTGCATGTTAAATAATGAAATCCTTTTTTCCCTCATTTTCATGTGGTGTGATGATTGCTATACAGCCAATAATTCGTGGGAATCCACCTCCTTCCATAAAAGCTCTTTTAATTGGAGCATTTCCTTGTTCAGTTTGGAGAAAACAGATTCAATGATTAGACAGTTGTTGCGCAATCACTTGTGTGTGTGGGAGCAATTCGTTAAATAAATTGAGAACTAGCTCCTAATTGCAGATTAAATGGACCACTTCTATCTCTCATTACTTTTTTGCAATTTTTAGATTTGGGATTCGTCGTCGATTCTCCTCCTTAAGCAAAAGTGTCTTAACACAGGATACATCTGTTATTTAAATTGGGGATTATCAACACAAATTTTTAAAAAATTTATCTTCTAAGAGGTTTTAGGAGAGAATACGAACATAACAAATACCCACCTGTAATGCGGTTATTCTATTCTATATTTTATGCTAATTTAAATTAAATTAAATGTGCAAAAGCGAAGTAACAAACATCAGCCAAACAAAATAAAAAACGATTTTTGGTTAGGTTGGGATTTTCTTCATCATTATTTCTGTTTTAAACACGTGGAGGATAATTATCAGTGCCCAACCGACGAAACGAATCTTGGCGAATGATAGCCGAGTCTAGAGAAATGCTTAGGGAGTAACCTCGGTTTCCATGTATGATCTCTCTTTTGGATATTCCCAACACATCCATTGCAGTGACCTCAACTTTTCTTTTGTCGTTCTCCATAATTCTCCATTTTTATGGCGTACTTAATGTGTGATTTTTAGATGTACTGTATCACACGCCTTATGGAGATCCATAAACATAGGATTAGTCTCTTCTTCTTCTATACAGGCAACCTGACCGAAATGCCCCTGTTTTGCTAGGGGAGGACCACTTAGAAATTTATTTACACACCAGTTCCTTCTAGATCTCTCACTCTGCCATTTTTTAAATCTAACAGGTTAAAAATCCAAACACAACACAAATTACTGGTGAAAAATAATATCTTATGATGTAAACAAAATTGTAGTATTCTGTGGTCAAAGGTAACATATAAATAAACTATCCTTCCTTTCCTTATTGTGTGAACAAGTTCTGTGGAGGATTCTGTCGGTGAGCATTGCACGCGGCGGTCTAACCTCCGTTCGCTCCCGACAGGATCCTTTGTAATCGTCCCCAATAATTATGGAATCGGTTTCCACAGAGTGGATTTAGTGTTTTTAGTGTCTAGTGAGTGTTTTAAAGGTGTAATCGTCGCCGGCCAATCGGTTTTTTCGTGTTCATGCCGGTATGGAGGTCGCATGGACCCCGGGGAGGCCATTTTTTGTTATCGGTCAAAGTTCAATATTGGAAGCTGAGAATAAATGTTGGTAATAGCTCTTTTGTTAATTGTTGGTCTGTGACCAAAAAAGAAATTCCTAATGGGCGAGTCGCCATAGTAGTAGTGCCCAACTGTTTGTAAAGTGCAAAGAATAAGAAGAAGAGTTCTGTGGAGCGATTGCGATTTTTAATTCAAATTGAATATTCATTCTAGTTTTTTTAAATGTTTGTTCCTATGTATTAGCTTTAGCATTCTTAAATGTTATCCGATTTTAAAATTTCGGAAACCTATTTCAATATGATTTCAAGTACGCACCAACTTGAGTGGCAAGGCCAGAAATGTTGTTAATTGAACTGTGATGTTTAACTTTTAATTTAATTTAAAAACTGCTCATTAGATTACCATTAGGTGAAAGTTCTCTTCTTACAAGTAACGCACATATTCAAACCATTGTGACGACTCATTTTATTTAATATTGACTTAATACAAATTTCGCGGCTGCTGAGCCATACAATTTATGCAAATACGCAAAATTTCATAACTGGGCTTTCTATAAACAATAAGACAACTTAGAAATGTGTAGAGAAAGAATAACGACAGTTTCGTCAGGGTTTTGTTGGGTGGTCTATGGTGTCACTTATTCTACGGTTCTACGCTGTTAAAATGAGGGACTTGTAGTGGAGTTTTCTTTTATTAAAAGGCCTCCAGTACGACAGATGCTACAATAAATAGGTGAATATATTATTTTAAACTAAGTCCAAAACGGTTTAATAACAATCGTCGCCGGATTCACTGGAAACATCACCAAACAGCACATTACTGGGATTCTGGATGCGGTTGTAATCTTCATTGTAAATTATCTCGAATCTGGACGAGGTCTGAAAAACGGGGCAAACTAAACGCCCGCAAATCGTCCACCAAAAGAACCTTTTATTACGGCTTCCAGATCGGTACTGAACAGGTAATACAATTCCTTCGCGATGAGCTCGGTGTCTTCGGCAACCTCGGTATTGACTAGAGTTTTCCGAAACCTGCTCTTCGCGTTTTTCAACGGGGCAGTGTAACCGGCGCTTAAGCGTTTCTTGCGCGGTTCAGCGACGCCATCGACACACTCCAAAATGTGACAAACGTCGGCGGTTTTGTACAAATTCGCTACATCCCCGCAAATGTTGGTCTTATACGACTCTATTATGGTCGGGAACTTTCGCAAGCAAGCCCGCAGCTTCTTTTTGCCGACGTACACGACTCCTTCGTGTTTCGAAACGTCCAAGTCTATTTTCAAGTATTTTTTCAGCCTCTCCGGCTTTGTTTTCAGGATATTGCGAATTTTTTCCGCTTCCGTCTACATTTAATAACGAAAGCTTCGCAATATTTCTAAAATATAAATTACTTACCAGCGGAAGTCTCAAAATGAATTGCTCGTCCATATCGCCAACGTTCATCTTTTTCTTATAGAATTAAGCGATATTTTGGACATTTTAGTAGGGAATTGAAATCACGCCAATTTCATAGTCTGTGACTTCAGCGGTTAGCTCAATGCTACCAACCGCAACGGTGGTAAATTCAAAAAATCTACAAGCCGCTACAAATTAATTCTTTCAAATGGATAATGATATAGAATGGCGAAACGTGTCTTCGCCATGTAAGTACGAAACCGGCATAAATTGGAAAACCACGATGTGATGCAAAAGGGTGCGAAACGTCACAACAATGCTCTGTGATCTTATGGTCCGTGGTCGAGTGCGTTGGAAAACATCCGCAATAAGAAAGTTATTAAAGTATTTTTCAATATGCAATCGCAACCAAGTTTCCAATTCGAAATAAGTAGGCCGGATTCGTTTTGCGCGCCTCCTCCGGTAATATCGCAAAGCGCGTCGTTCAAGGAACAGTTAAGCGATCTGGAGTTAGGTTTGGGAAAGTGTTCATTGAACACCCTTTCAAAAAGCGTCAGGAATGCAGCGAAGCACCCCAGAAATATTTTGATCGGGATCCACGAGAAAATCAACCTGCACTTACAAGACAGGCAGCATTTAACGAGGGCGCAGATTCGAAGACTTCTCGTCCAATTGAAAAACTTGCGGTGCATGAAGGACAGCGATCGTCATATTGCTCAATCGGCGCGAACGATATTAGTTAAAATGCTGGATACACTTTCTATGGTGTCCGCAACGTTTGAAATCCCTGAAAATGACGGTACGTGGCTGAAAAAGAGGTCTAGACCGGCCGACATGTTTGCGACAATGTGCTCTGGTTTCCCAAAAAAAGTGAAAACCGGCACTCCATGTAACACGAAGTCGTTGAATATAGTGGTCCATTGCAGCTCGGAGAACATTAGCTTCCCATTAGAAATGCTTACCAACCAAGATTTTCAAAGCATTATCTGCGCCGAGGAGCCTTTACAAAGTCAAAGTGCTGCTGGTGGCTTACCCGATACGCTTACCATCAATGATATTCCCAATTCGAGCAGCTTAAATGTAGGAACTAGGGATGAAATATGTAGTGCTGGGGTGTTAAACAACGTAACCGATCACACGTTACAGTTTCCAACCGAACCATTCTCCACAGGTAATATAGAAAGCTCGGTGACCGATAACCTTGCCAACACGTCGATAGACCCACCAGTTTTGTCGTCTGAAACTGACATTTTCGATTTAAACACTCTTGGTAATACAGCTAACCAAATGAAGGCTTTGAGTGCTTCAGACAAGCAAAATATCATCTTATCTCAGACCCAATCGCCTAGTTTCTTGCCTATATCTTTCCAAGTGGATCATCCACCTCGCACCCAGCATTTGACGCCAAAAACTGCTAATCTAAGAGATAATAAGCCTTCGAAAAAGTGCGTTTCCGAAAAAATAACCAAGTACAAAGCAAAGCTTCGACCGATTTGGCCAAGCATGACGAATGAACAGAAAGTGATCCAAAAACACGTCGAAAAGTTTGGAATTAATATATTTGAAAATCCAGTAGGATGTCTACTCGACTTGGATTACGAAAATCCTACAATGAAAGAAAGGCCGCCCGAGACTATAATCGAAGAACTTAATAAAAAAATGGCGACAATAAACTATCGGCAACTAACGGAGATGCTAAACGAAGCAGTTGTGCGCCACGTGCAGTTTCAACTTGAACGGCAGAGTGGCCACAGTGATAGTGATTCTGATGGCGACGACTATGATAAAAAATGTAAGCTTAGACTAAAGGAACTCCAGAAAGTAGCTCGGGAGGGTATGGAGACATTTAAACAAGAGAAAAGAAGCGACATAGCGGCACTCGAAGACAGTCTTCAGAAAAATACCACTCAAAAGACAAGCTGGCAGAAGTTGGTGAAATTTTGGAAAATGAACGACGAATTAAACAGTGAAAATGCCAAAATGGTCGTCGAGTAAGCTCTGTTAGTTTTCGTTAATTTTGTTGTTGATTTGTAATTGTTTAGTATCAAGATAATATAAAATAAAGCTACTTAAATACTACAGCTTACCTATTTATTATATGCCAATTTGCCATGGATAAAAGATACAGCATAAACAAATTTTAGTTACTGTGCTGTCAACGTGGTTGGAGTGTGAACTCAATTTTACCTAACCAAATTTTTTTTAAGAGTCAGGGGCGTGCTTATTTATAGACCATAGCCCATACTTATTAAACTGCATTTTGTTAACAACTTTAGGGTCCTATATATACTCATACTACTTTTCTTCAGTATAAATATCAATAAAAAAAAGTAAAAACAAATATCGGATATTAGGAGTCATCAATTTATTTATTAACTACTTCAAAAAAAGGGAGTTATTGCACAACCGAAAAGAATATACTTACAGCATCATCTAAATATTTTTACAACCAAGAACACATTACTAAAACATGTCTCACCCACTATAGTCAGTAAATCATACTTAAAAAAAAATGCCAAAACAATATTCTGAAATCGTTATCATTAACGATTAACATTCAAAATGCGACGCCAACACCCAAGGTAAATTTGTTCCTTACCAATTGACATTTGATCTGTGGTCGCCAAATGGAACCCAGCTGCTCAGGGTTGCCAAACTGCCAAACAAATATAATTCAGCGTTTTGGCGGATAAATATGCGATTTTGAAAGCAAACTTCAACCTTAAATATATAGAAGTGGTTTACAGATATGAGCTTGATTTGAAGTTCTTATAAAACAAAATTAAATCCTGTCGTTTTCTTAAGTCGGCTGTGTATATTAAAGATTTTCGTTTTCGAAGCGTCCAACTGACCAAAATTCCATCTTGATTTTTGGTTGTGCGAGTTCCTTGCCAGAAGTTAGCTCATCATCAAGTGCGGGGGGTGCGGGAGGTGCTTATTAAGGTAATGCATAGATTGGCGACCGTGGCTGTAAAATTGACAATTAGTCACGATTTTTGGCGTGCATGCGCCGTTATTTGTCGTGTTTATTTTTTAAAATTGGTGAAAATTTATCTCTAGACTAATTTATATGCCCGGAATGCGTTGTACGGTGGCTGTGTGTAGTAACAGCAGAATAAATGCGATAAAATATGGAAAAACAATATCATTCTATCGATTCCCGAAAGATAAAAAACTTCAGCAAATTTGGATTCAGAGATGTGAAAGAGATGGTGAATGGAATAGCAAAAATTGTCGTATTTGTTCTGAACACTTTACTGAAGAGGATTTCGAACGCGATTTACAGGGTGAACTTCTTGGTCAACCAGTTAAAACCAAACTAAAAGCTGAAGGTAAAAATATTCTTGAGTATTCTTGAGTAGTATTTACACAAGTAAGTAGTAAACATATTGTTTGTTTTAGCCATACCTACACTAAATCTAACTAAGACATCTATGCGATTGTCCATTAGACAAGATATTTTGAAAAGCACGGAAGGAAATAATGTGTCTGAATCTACAATGTCATTAGTGTCTCCAACTGTTGAATCAGTAGCTGGAACTTCAACAACTCAAGGTAGTACTAGTGAAAAGCAGTGTAATATTCTTTTACAGAACTATAATAAATTGCTTTCTGAGAATGATGACCTTAAAAAACAATGTTTGGATATGCAGCATCAAAATGATAAACTTAAAGATAAAGTTGAAATGTTAGAAAAGGACATAAACCATCTCAGTTCTAGTCTAATGTTAGAAAAATCCGAGGAAAAATACCAAATAGCAATAAAAGAAGAAGATTAAAGTTTGTTTTAACAGAGACCAAAGCAGGATGCTATTGTACCTTACTGAACTTAAAATGTATCCTTTAAGTTGCATATCTCTCTTTTAATACAGAAGATATTTTTATATTTTCATTATTTTGTAAATAAAACAGTTAAATATGGAAGTGGGTTTTAATTAAACAAATGTTGTAAGTACTGGTAGCTGGTATTCTGTATTTGAAAGAATCTGTTTTAAGTCACTACGAGCTTATTTTATAAAATAATATGTTATAATTACTTCAATGTGAACAAGGAAAGATCGCTTGGTTTGTCATTTGAAACCAGGTCGCTGGGTGACGTCACTCCGTGGGATTCGCGGACTTGTGGCGAAGGGAATAGTTTTTCTCTGCTTTAACTATGACTGGCAGCCGTCATTTATGGCATTTCGGGAAAGTGGCAGTTGGCACAATAAAACCATGACTAATTTTTGCTAAGTTCCAAAATAAAAAGTATCCAATAGAAATGTAAATTTTATAACGTCGATTTCACTTATTCTGTAACTATGATTGAGAAAATGACTCCGTTTCGTAGAAAGAAAAGTGGTAAATCGTTTCCCGTCAAAGTCTGCACTTTGGATGCGGAATTGGAGTTTAATTTGGAAGTAAGAGTGTACAGATTTCTATTTGCGTGCCGCTTACGGAAAAACGGTCACAGAAAATTTGTTTTATTTTGTTTTTAAGTGGAGAGCGACAGGAAGGGATCTTTTTGAGCTGGTGTGCAGGACTATAGGTTTAAGGGAAACTTGGTATTTTGGATTGCAATATGAAGACTCCAAGGGTTTTATATCGTGGCTTAAACTCGATAAAAAAGGTAAATGCTTATCGTTACTGTTTGGGGAGTTAAAAAGCGGAACGTCTTTTGTAGTTCAAGACCAAAGCATTCAAAAGAATGACCAGACAGCATCATTTATGTTCCTAGCCAAGTTTTACCCAGAGGAAGTGGCCGAGGAACTGGTGCAAGAAGTGACCCAGCACTTGTTCTTTCTGCAAGTAAAACAGGCCATTTTATCAATGGATATTTATTGTCCCCCTGAGGCTTCAGTATTATTGGCCAGCTATGCCGTTCAGGCTAAAGTAAGCTCTGGTTGTGCGGATTTGCCCTACCATTGTGATTTCCATTGTTTATAGTTTGGTGACTTTGATGAGGACACTTACAAGCCAGGAATGTTGGCAAGTGAGGATTTGCTGCCGCAACGAGTGATAGATCAATACCAAATGACATTGGAGATGTGGGAGGAGCGAATCAGGGTGTGGTACGCTGATCATAGGGGTATGTCGAGAGACGAGGCAGAAATGGAGTATTTGAAAATAGCCCAGGACTTGGATATGTATGGGGTCAATTATTTTCCCATACAGGTTAGTTAACTAAACATTAATTAAATGAATATAATAAGTAGATCATAATTAATAATTAATTAATTTTGTTTGCTATAAATTTACTATTAAAATGCATCAGATTAAAATTTTTCAAATGAGAATAAAGCCATTCGCTATGAAATCATATTAGAGTAAAATGACTTTCAAACTTAACTTTGAGACATCAATAAAAAGTTTCCATTTATCAGAATTTTCTGGAAAACTAAGTTTGGGAAGAAGCTCGCCAGCATAATTACAATATACTAAATTATCTTCTTTCAAAAGCAACTCGTGAAATCTTCTTGTCTTGTGTGAAAATATGTATGTGTAAATATGTACTTTTATCCAACAAATTCCACTGTTATGTAATTGTGCTCTAGATTTTGATAGCCCCAAATCTCTAACAAGATCATTTAACTCAAATTGTTTAAGTAAATGAGGTTATTTTGTTGGACTTGAAGATCCAGACAAAGTGTATGAAGGTGAAGATGCACGGACAGAAATAAAACTCGATTGAGGCTGTAGACCAGAAGTATTTTTATTTTCCATCTTTTCATTATTTTTTGTTGGAACTGGATGTAAAGTGCCTTCACTTTTGCAGATTTGATGTTCCCATATATAATTTTTTTTTTCGAGAATCCTCTTGGTGGTGACATGCAGAAATAACAATCATTTTCATGATTCTGAGATTCACTCCAAAGCATTGCCATTGCCATGGCAATGGCATAGATTTACCAACCTCTCAATTTTCAACTTTTATCACTCTCATAAATAGAAAATCCAAAATAAGGCCGATAAGATCGTTTAACAAGGTTGGTTATAGCATTTTGCTGCATTTTTAGAGTAAACTTACCACAAATGTAGCAAAAACAGTCTGTAGAATCCTTACAAGTTCGCGGCATGCCATAACCCAAAATTAAATAAAATTTATTTTAGAAACATTTTTAAATTGCTATTTTATATTTATTGGCTCTGTTCATGAAAAAATATATGAACTACACATAAAGTACTTAACAAAAATATAGAAAATATGAACTTTTATGCAAAACTTACCAAAATATTTGATACAGAACATAAATGACAAGTTTTCAACTATCCGTGGTACAGTCACAGCGAATACTGCTCAAGCGCATGTGTACTGCCATAAAGATCACTTCGGTACTTTCCTTCTTTCTCTTAAAACTCGCTCAAACCTATTTTGTATGTATATACACTGTTGATGATGTTGACGCATAAAATCAATTTATGATATTTAAAAGAAAAAGTATATCAAAAAATCTAGACGTGATAGAAAATATCGTTCAACGGGAGCATATTCAGAGCATTAAAATCTTCATATTTATGACATAATTGTTTGAATTAGCATTTCATTGCAGTGTTATCGGTAGTTTTCCACTTTATAGAACAAAAAAGAGACTGAATTATGGTTAGGCGTGACCGCATTGGGTTTGAACATCTACGAAAAGGAAAACAAACTGCAGCCGAAAACTACGTTCACGTGGAGCGAAATCCGCCACATTAGTTTCGACGACAAAAAGTTCATTATCAAGCCCGTCGACAAGATCGCCCCGAATTTCGTATTTTTCAGTCAAAAAGTTAGGATGAACAAATTGGTGAGCGTCCTCGGTCGGCGCTATCGTCGTTGTTATCCCCTATTTTAGATTTTAGATCTGTGCATGGGCAACCACGACCTGTTCATGCGCAGGCGCAAACCCGACTCGATGGAGCTGCAGCAGATGAAGGCGGCCGCCAAAGAGGAAAAACAACGGAGACAGGTGCAGAGGAACAGACTGGCGCGGGAGAAGCAGCTGCGGGAGGAGGCGGAAAGGGAGAGAGCCAACATGGAACAAAGGCTGTTGCAGTATCAGGAAGAGATACGTCTCGCCAACGAAGCTCTGGTATGTATATTTCTTGCGCCTTCAGATTGTTTCAGAGTGTTAAAGATTATTTAAAAATATTTTTTTAATTTTGTGTGAAATTTGGCATAATTGTTTTTAGTGACAAGGCCGAGGGGTAATCTTTCATGTATACTGCCTTATATTGCCCCCCAATGCACCACAATTCTTGACAAAGCTCTTACAATGTCTATAATCCCTCATAATTTCTAGCAATTCTTCACAATCCCCCCAAAATTCTCATATAATAATTCCTAGTCCTTATAATTCTCTCCTAAAAAAATTCTCACATAATGCCTCCCATTCATTATGATTCTCTCCAATGCGCCTAAACTGCCATATATTGCCCCAAATGCACCGTAATTCTTGACAAAGTGCTTACAATGTCTACATTACCCATATAATACCTCATAATTTCTAGCAATCCCTCACAATGCCCCCAAAATTCTCATATAATGCTTCTTAGTCCCTATAATTCTCTCCAATGCTTCCTCATTGTCTTATATCGCCCGTAATTTTTGACAATGCTCTTAAAAGTTCTCACATAATGCCTCCTCAAATTTGATAAAGACACGGTGTTGTCAAAACAATTGTCATGTCATAATATATAATTTCGTGAAAATCTGAACTTTTAGTTCTTATTTATTTTGATAAATGGATTTTCATCAAGTAAAAGCCACCTCAGTTCAATTCTTGACAAAACTCTTACAATGTCTACATTACTCGTACAGTACCTCATAATTTCTAACAATTTCTCACACTGCCCCCAAATTCTCATATAATGCTTCCTAGTGCCTATAATTCTCTCCAATGCCCCCAAAATGCCTTATATTGGCCCCCAATGTAACGTAATTCTTGACAAAGCTTGTACAATGTCTACATTACCCATACAATACCTCATAATTTCTAGAAATTCATCACGATGCCCCCAAAATTGTCATATAATGCTTCCTAGTCCCTATAATTCTCTCCAATGCCTCGTCGCTGTCTTATAGCGCCCGTAGTTCTCGACAATGCTCTTAAAAATTCTCACATAATGCCTGCTAGTCACTATGATTCTCTCCAATGCCCCCAAACTGGCTTATATTGCTCCCAGTCAACTTTTGGAAATTTTAACAGTAATGTAATAATTATAAAAATTAGCAATAAAAAAAATGATTCCTACTTAAAAATATGAAAATAAACAATTAAATAAACACTTGGCAACTATTAATAAATATAACCCTCAAAATTATTTAATATTTATACTTTCTTGTTTATTATTATCATTAAGTTCATCGAGTTCAGAGTGAAAAATGGTTATTCAATTTTTATTTTGTTTAATTTTGCTTTTTAAGTTCTATCTGTGCTAGGGGATCGAGTCTGCAGTACATTGCGGTGGGTAACGTCTAAATAGTTTAGTGGTCTGTTACAGTTGTAGGTTATGGCAAAATATACAGGTATCAATGTCCATTTTCAGAGACGCTCCGAAGAGAGCGCCGACCTTTTGGCGGAAAAGAGCAGGGTAGCCGAAGAGGAGGCCCGTCTTTTGAGTCAGAAAGCTGCCGAGGCCGAACAAGAGATCACCAGGCTAAGGTTAACCGCGATGAGAAAGGACGAGGAAAAGGTAACGGAAACATAACCAAAAAAATAATTTTCCTTAAAATATCAAAAGGTGGAAAATTAAAAAAAATATATTCAATGATGGCAGATGAAGTTGGAAAATTCACAAGTCCGCCATTTTTTTGAAAGACTTTTTCAAAAATAGGTGGGGATTATTTATGAGGTCGAATACGTATTAAAAAGTATAAAAACTTTAAAAAAGTATAAAAATGTTATTTGGTGTATTGAAAGCCTAATTCTGCCCTAATAGATTGAAATTATCCAGTAGTGTTCATAACATAATATACACTATAACAAGTCTTATTTATTTAGCAACAAAATCAAAAATTTCATAGTCATAGAATAGTCTACGAGATAGCAAACTTTTTGAGGTCAATTTGGAGATCGCTTTTGAGTAACAACCTCGTGAACAGTACCCTATAATTAAATATCTATGACTATGAAAAGAATACACAATTAAATACCGAAATTACTTTTAATAATCCAAGTACTTATTTAAATATGTTTTTGCAAGACAGCGCCTCTAAAATGTTAGGTTTTGTGTTACGTAGATGTTGTTTATTCAGTTCTTTCGTTTTAAGTGAGCTAAATTTGCCTAAGATTTTTTTTTACTACACATAAAGGGAATTTAAAACCAAATTGAAGATGAACGTCAGTAATTCGGAAACATTGAATTAAAAGCCCTATTCCGAAGAGGCAGTTCCATTACAAAATATTTCTGCTTATTTGTGCAACACCCTGTATACATTAAAATATATCTTGCAAATAGCTTACCGTTTTTTGAACACCTTTGTATTTGAGTTTTTTTTTTCTCAAACGGTATATTATAGCAAATCAACAAAAAATGATGGCAAAGAAATATCAAATAAAAAATATAATAAATATTGTTCCGGGCTGCACAATGGGGGAGAATTTTTTTAAAAAATCTTTAAAATATTTTTTTTTTTATTTACTCAGAATGACTTGAAGTCCGGATAGCTTTTCTTTCAATTGGGTAAATGAAATTAAATAATTTGAAAATTACATTTTCTTAAGTGGTAGTTATAGGTAGATTTGAACAGGTTTTCAACGACTCATATTAACGATGTGACCACGCGGAGAATAGGTTTTATTATTTTTTTTACGGGAAAGCCGTACAAGGGATTGAAAAACATCAAGAAATTAAAATTTTTTGTAAGTGTGATCGGAGATTGTAAGAATAATTTTTTTTTTTCAAGAGAGGTCAGTGGCGTATCATCAGTGTCTGCCAAAATAGACAGGTGAAATTGGGTACGCCCAATAGTGGTGTATTTTTTTTTTAAATGGGATTTTACAAACATATATTTTATTTTTGACTATTTTACCACTCTTTACCTCAAAAGGTAAGATATTTAGGAGGGCTGCCATCTGGCGACTATCGTTTTTATAGGGAAGTTTTAACATTTTGAGGTTAGTTTTTGACGAAAGACTGTTGTTTGTGTTTTTTGTGATAGATTAAAATAAATGTGTTAAAAATGGAACTTAATCTGGAGCATTTTCGTCCAACAATTTTTTACAACTTTAGACGTGGACTAACTCAACAACAATGCATCGATGAACCTAATTCGACTTTTGGAGTTAAAGCACCATCTATTACTACCGTTTATCGCTGGTTTTCGGACTTCAGTCCTGGTCATAGTTTTCTTAAGAATGAATTTCGTGAAGGGCGTTCAAAATCGGTGATCGTTCAAGAAAACTTGACGCAGTGCGAAACTAATTTTGTTATGTGACTTACCATGAGATTGAGGTATCCTTGGGCATTAGTGTGACCAGCAGATATGCAATTTTGCATGAACAGTTGGCCTCTAAAAAAATTGGTTCGCGTTGGATTCCACACAATTCGACATGGGCTCAAAAAAAGTCTCGTGTTGATTAGTCGAAGTCGATTAATCATGGATCTATACATATGAACCTGAAAGTAGCAGCAGTCGTCTGTGTGGGTCTTTCAGAATGAGACAAAGCCCACAAAAGAAAAACTAGCCACGTTGCACCTGTTTTTCTGGTGAAAGGTGAAACAGTCAATGCTGAATGCTACACAAGCATTTGTTTGCCGAAAGTCTTCGAAGAAATTAGAAAAACCAACTGCCAAAGACGAATCAGACGATTCAGTGCAAACAAAGAACTTTTTGAGCATTAAAAACGTTGATTTGTTGAGCCATCCACCATATAGTCCAGATTTAGCACCTATTAACTTCTTTTTACTCCCATACATTAAGAATAATTTGCGTGGGCAACGATTTTTGACAACACAAGAAGCGATTGATGCCTTTAAAAAACATGTTTTGGAAGTGCCGGTCTCGATGTGGGAAGAGTGTTTCGTTGATTGGTTTAATCGCATGCAAAAGTGTATAGATTAGACTGTGTCAAATTATTCGAATTTTTTTTTTCTCGGTCAAATATCAAAATTTCGTTAATAATCATGAAAAAAAAATTATTCCAAAACTACAGCCCATTATCTCAATTTTTGAGTTAACGCTCGCAAAAATAAGAATTTTTCAAAAAAAAAAATTAATCAAACACCTTAAATGAAAAATAACCTTGGATATGGTTTTGAATTATCTCTGGTCGAATCCAAAAGATCAACACCGTTTCTTCTACGTTAATCAAAGTTCAATTTTCTTTAAGATTTTTGCTTTCATTTTTTAATTAACATTTACTAAAAAATTTTTTAAGGCAAAAAACCGACTCATATAACTTTTTTTATTATATTTAGAAGATGTTAGAAGATAAAATTCGTTTAACTCCAAAAAATAATTGAATTAAAAAAACTAATTCACTTATAGTTTTCTGTTAATAAATTTTATTTGCTTAAAAATTATTGTCACTATAAAATTCATAAAATTTATTTTTCCTTGATATTCCAACCAAGAGGAGATTTTAAAGAGTTTGTGACTTTAGCTTACATATTTTTGGGAGAAATTCCACCTCAAGATGTTTCTTTCAAGGCTCCTGAAGCACATCACCATGCTCGATGGCTATCAAAAGTCTATTGCTTAAAAATTTATTGTTTTCGAAGTCAATTTAAACTTGCCAAAGTTGAAATTCCAAAACTATCACATCAGGATTTCATGTTTTTGAATAGTTTGATAGATTTTAAACACGTAGGTGTAAAATTTTGTAATGTTGCATCAACAAAATTTCTTCGTAATCTCTGGTATATATTGTGGCATTATGATTAAGATAAAAATGGTTCAAGCAATAAAAAATCAAGACAGCACTACGGAAAATACGAGAAAGCTGTGACAGCAAGAAGATTTAGAATCATTCAGGTCGAAAGATATAAGTGATTTTGTTACTAAGAAGTCAATTATTTTTTTTTGAGAAATTCGGTTTGTCTACAAGTTTTCTTCATTTACCTGCACATCTATGGGAATTTGATGACAATTATCAGGCTTTTTTAGAAATTGTTCCATCAATTAAGGTTGTAAATGACATAGCCGAAAGAACTGTAGTATTGATTGATAAGTATAATGATAGTCTCACTTATAATGAAGAACAAATACAGTTTTTGTTACAAGTTGTAGCTGATCATCGCAAAAAATATCCAAACTGTAGTAAATAAAATTTGTGAGCATAATTTTCTGTTCATTATAATTAATTTTAAAATATTTAATGTAATGATCATACCACGTTTCCTTTATAAGTTGAGTAACAATAGGCATATTATAATTACATCAATGTTTTTTTTTAAGATGTAAACTTTCGAAAACAAGCATAAAATTTAAATAGAGATTTTCTACCACTTGCAGTTTCTCTTTTGTTAGTTGAAGTTTTTCATATATTTTACCTCCACAAACTATTTACGTCTATCACGATACCAATGATTATTCATACATTCATGGAATTGTAGAACTTATGCTATGAACATTGATTTTACTAAGTTTTACATAAAAAATTACGTTTAATGTCAAAAAAGGAAGAATTAAAAAAATATATATAATTCTAAAACTAGAAAATGTTAATAGCGTAGTACTATTTATATTCATTAATGCATGAAAACTATTTATTTAGATCCTAAATATAATTAAAAAAATTATTAGTCAGTTTTTTGCTTTAAAAAACTTTTTCGTAAGTGTTAATAAAAAAATGAAAACAAAAATTGAACTTTTATTAGCTGTAGAATAAATGGTGTTAATTTTTTGAATATGACCAGAGATTATTCTTATAGAAAATTTAATTCACTATAAAACCATATCCAGGGTTATTTTTTAAAAATAAGCATAACAAAATTTTTTTTTTCAAAAATTCTTATTTTTGCGAGACTAATGGGCTGTAGTTTTTTTCATGATTATCAACGAAATTTTGATATGATGTATTTTGAGAAACAATAAAGTCATATTTGTTGGTAGCTTATTACAAATCCCAAAATATAAAAGGTAGCCCTCGTATGTTCACATAAAGTTTTCTTTTTAAAATGGAACCGGAAATCAATTATAAAACACCCTGTATATTCTTACTATGCCTCAAGTCTGTCGATTGTTTAGGTGACGTTGGAGCGTAAGACTAGGGAGGCGGAGCTGCTGACAGCGCGACTGGTGGAGGAGTCGGAGAGGCGGGCCGCGGAAGCGAACAAACTGAAAGACGAGTTGCTCAGGGCGAGGGCGGCCGAGAAACAAGCCAAGGAGAAATTGCTCGATTTTCTCAATCGAAGCACTTTCACCGCCGGTTCTACTCCCGCGTCACCCCTATCGGTAAGCTATCTCAATTGTGCAAAATTATTGCGTAAAATATAAATCGTTTTTACGATACAAGAAATAAACATTTTTATAATTTCCTAGAGGATGACTTAAGACAGAGATTCATAATGTTAACATTATTAAGTGCTTTTAAAAAACGTCATTTTTATGGAAGGTAAAGGGTCTTTATGGTAGGCCGACCAAGTCACGACTATCATTGAATCCGTGAGTTCGAAAAACTTAAAAGTCCAAAAGCAACGTTTTCAGAAAATCAATAAAAACCTTTTAACATTGAAACTAATCGACATGATTTCGGCTTGCGTAGAATAGTTTTAGGTTTCGTGGTTTGCAATGTATTTTTAGTGGTGGTTTTTCCAAAAATAACAGTGGTTTTTCCAAAAATAACATGCACTACGAATCGCAGATAAAAAGAGGACATGGACTTGTTAAGTCAACCCCCTATATAAAAAAAAGTAATGAATATTTGTTGATTTGTTTAATGAATGAAAAAATACATTATCAAAACAGACATCTCAATCATCATTTTCAGTATTTGTGGTATTCCATGATGTGATATGTGGTAATAGAATTCCAAGACTTTACCGTCGGTATTACCTTCTTTATGTCCACCTTTTTTTTTTCGTTAATTGGTACAGGTCCTTGATATATACCTTATTATTGGGCAGAGATGGGCTGTTCTTATGTTCTTTGAGTAATTTAAAAATATGGGAGTGTAAACCATCCAAATACTCCCCGGTTTTAACATGTCCTGGATTAACAATATCATACAGGAACTGACGATAGTTTGATATAGCAAACGTTTCCTTATTGGAACCGGGGCCACGAGTGATAGACGTTTTTTCTTTATAGTACTTATTCCACCAGTTCTTGAAATCAGTAATGTCAGTGTGTCGGATTCACTGTACAGTAAATGGTTGCCAAAATTCCGTTTTGCACTTCCGAAATGTCCTCTTACTGGAAAGTAGTGATAGATTTTGTTGAACCTCTATGTTGCCTGTAATGCTAAGAGGAAATGAACCATGGTTTGTTGTTTGGCCCTGCACATCCATCGGAAAATAAATGCAGTTCAGTGATTTCAGGGGTATATGATTCGTTATGTAATCATTCAGAAATGTGCACACTTCATTAGGTCCTTTCTGACCTTCACTTTCGTGGTAAGTATAAAAATGACCAGTATTCTTCTTAAGATTGTGTATTCGGAATGCAAATATCAAGAGCTGCCTAAAATAAAATATTTGCAGGACTGGAATATGCGGTAGTGGCATGTTCTACATATAATCAAAAACTGCAACTAACTTAAGGTTAACATCCTTCACCTTCGTTCCACTTCTTTCGCAAACTTAAAAGCAAAGTTTTCGTTAAAATATTTCAAATAGCATTCGTATTTAAATAAATTTTCCAGCCCTGGATATTTTGCGGCAAACAATGCATGCATTTTCTTCACATCCAAAGATGCATCTAAATAACTAATGTTTTTGGGGGAATAATGTGAAACTATTTAATCGCGCATTCATCGCACAATGTACAAGGTCTATTATTATGCCTGCATCTGAGATGCTGTGGTGATTTACCTTCCAGGTCGTTACCAAGACTTATAAATGCCTGTTTGCACACAGACTTGCAAAACAAACTAAGAAAAGTTTGATTTTCTTTCTTGTTTGTTTTCCGCACCTCTAACACGATGGCTCTGGATTGATTTTGCCTCTATGAGTGTCTTGTTCGTTTTTAGACGTACGCCTAAGTAGCATGGATAAAACAGATTTTTTGGCTCCTTTAGTAAACTGTTTCATGCATTTTTTTTGTACAAAATATTGTTAAAACTTAATAACTTACAGTATTTGCATTAACGTGTTTCCTCTTTCTTATGTTGTGTTTGCACCTAGCGGCATTCCTTTTCCTTTTTATATTACCACTACTAGATTCATTACCTCCTTCACCATCACTGGATGACATAATTTTAATTGAATTTTGTTGAAAAATCGCAGATACCAAGCAACTGGCTACCATTTTGTTGTTGTGCTACCTTAAAGGCTATGCACCTAGTACGATTTTTACGCTCAATGGATGAAGAGACAAATTTTAAACAAAATGGTTATCTTACTTTAAAATGACTTATAGGGTTTTTGAACTCACTGATTCAATTTGTGTTAGAGGTTAGGTTAAGTTTGATATACTATTCTGTAATGGAGTTTATGAATGAATAAATATTTGCAGTCGGTGAGCGCGCTGTATTCGGCGCCCCTATCGCCGAACAACATCCATTCTGAACTGTCGCTCTATGAGAGCGAAGCCAGCACATCCCCCGACTTCAATCTCAACATCAACTCGTACGATCTGATCGTGAACGCTGACGCCGAGCAATTATCCCTCGAGATCGAAAAGGAACGGTAAGAGTTGCAAAACCAACTGTTTTTATGTAATCATATCCATGCGCAAGTCTCGTATAACGAAACCACCTTCACCGTGGAGACTTTCAATTGTTTATAATGTAAGAATCCGTGAAAAAGTCTGTACGGAATCCCTAAGATTCACAAACCTCGTCGATCTAGCCATTTTCAGGAAAAACTGATTCCTTTCATTTCATTGAATACGCCAATACATTAGATCCGATGTAGAATGCCTCTTTACCAAAGTCCCTACTCCTGAAACACTTCAACAAAAGTTCAGATATATTAAAATCCGACAATCTAGAACCAAACCTTCTCATCTTAACATATTTTTCTTGTAACAGTCAAATTTAATAAAAACCTCAGGAATAGCTATGAGTTCTCGATTATCACCTACCATCTAAACCCAAAACGCTACTTTGATGATCCTGTTGTTATTTGGCTTCAGCCATTAGCCATTTAAACTATAAAACACCCAAGCTTGACCATTCATAGATTTTCCTATCAGTTAATAGGAAACCAATACATTGGCACATCATCATCGGGACTCTTGTTTACAAGTGACTGAACCCAGACTAACACCTTACATCTTTTTTCATATTTTATCCACATTAGAGATATTATTAAGCGTTCCATCACAAAATACACTTCACCACAACCTTCCAAAGGCAATGAATGAGTCCGAAAGCAGCCATTACATTCAAAACATCACGGACCACATATCAAAAATTCTCAAGAAATATAGCGTTAAAACCAGATTTACCACTTGTTCAAACGTCTCTCTCACTTCTTACATATAATCAATTCTCCTTTAGCTCCGCCCATTTCAAACCATATATAAGCAGGTAGCAGAGTAGTAGTAGTAGAGCCAGTTTCAGTTAAGCCCTGGAGAAGTCTGTTGCATAGTTTTACGTCATCTTCGAATAAGGCTAATATCAAATACGAGTGCAATCGCAAAAACTAGATTTTTTTTTTTTAGAAAAATTAAAATACCGGAAAAACTATCAGGCCTAGGTAATGTATTGTTATTAATAAAGTAGTTGAAGAATTTCAAAACGAATTCAATACAATATTTAAAAAAATATTATTCATTCATTATTCATATATTCATATATTCATTATAGTTTGACACCCACCTACAGGGTTCATTTTGAAAGATAGAAAAAAGAGTGTAAATACGAAAGTTTGAAGATTTTTGCTCTGTTATCTTATGCAAATGTCACAAAAAACAAACGACAATCGCCAGCGGTCAAAAGGAAAGCAACTTTTTTTTTTTAACGGAATGTCCTATATATTTTTAGCATAAGTCGTAGATCTTTTTTCCCTGATTTCAAAAGCATATAGTTTATTGACATTTCATTTATCCGTTTTGGAGATATTTCGGTTTAAAAATGATTATCATTCGATTCCTGGACAATAGCAACCATATTATCTATGTTTGCAATTGTTTTAACAATGTTCCACTTTTGACAACTAATCAAACCTCAAGAGCTGCAGCGTAAGTTGAATTAAATTATTCGAACAATGAAAATATCATTAATTAATTAATTATTGCTAAACAGTTTCCACCATTACCTGTATTATTTTCTATACATCAGACAATATTTGAGGTGATAAAATCGAGGTTTTCTCTGTTTAGATCTTGTAAAATGACATTAAGTCTTTCTCTTCAAAAATTGTCAGAAGGATTCAGGCAGGCTATTTGATAGTTCCTGGCCTGCCTATCTAAAGTCTATATTTATTATTTAGATAATCGGTAACGGGTTGAACATTATTTCTGTTGCAAGGAAATTTAAATATCTTTGCTCATTCAATGATCCTTAATATATAATTGGTCCGACCACCATATTGTTCAACATACCACACCGTCCATTCACTGTCTGCATTTTGTGCGGATTATTGGTGGATCAAAAATGTTTATTCTCCCTGTGAAATAAACTTGCTGTTGTGAAGGAAGCCTCATATTATTTTGAGATCTTCTACACATTTCTGTGCTTAATTTGAGCCTACGCCTTTTATGTTCATCGGTAAAATTTTGCACTGGAAGGAACTTATACGGGTGAAACTTATATTTTAGCGTTTGTTGAATTTTACTATGAGACTTTCTGAATAATTATTTATTGTCAGGATTTTCTAAAAAATATGAAATATAAAAATTAAGAAAGTAGAACTCAAAGTTATTATGTCAATTTGTGTAATTACATTTTTAATTGTATTTATTCAAGGAACTGTTCTACCCGGATATATTTGTTGATATTTTCTTTCAACCACAGCATTTACATTATGTCTAACTATTAATGGGAACTTTGATAACTAACTAACCTTGTTAAGTTCATCCCGTGATTTCAAAAACACCCAGTACACATACTCTTGTCCTTACAGGGTCGATTACTTGGAAAAATCGAAAAACCTCCACAACCAACTGAAGGAGTTGCGGTCCGAGATCGCGGTACTAAAGGTCAGCGAGAAATCGTCCGAGTACGACCAACTGCACGAGGAGCAGGTGAAACTCGGCGAGAACAAGTACTCTACGTTGAAAAAGAGTAAAAGCGGAAGCACCAAGAGTCGGGTGGCCTTTTTCGAGGAATTGTAAACGGGTGGGGTTTCAGTCGACGCTCCTATACGCGCTTCTTGGATAATTCGAAGAGTGGGCCATATTTAACGGTACAGTGAACACAAAAAGGAAAAATCGTGCCGACAAACTGGGGAATTATCATTTTCCTGTTGGGGCTCTTTTTCGTCTGCGAGCTGAAGTGCACTTGTTAAACTAAGCATAATTACAACAATTCGACAATTTTGTTAGAGTATATTTAGGTACAAACGAGAGAAAAATACATATTTTTAAGATAGTACTGTGGTTTTATTCAGGTCTCTTCAAGAAAAAAATACCTAACCTCTACTATGGAGTAAACAAACCAGCAAGTTATAAATGCGTCACCCTAAAAACCGAATTTTTCTGGGAAAACGGCAAGTTTAAGTTCCTTTGCTCATAATTAGCGTACCCTGCAGAGTTATGGTAAAGAGATACTTTAAAGTTGCACAACCTTGATGATTCCCTAAAGAATAGGTCTGGACTAATCTATCATCCTCTAGCTGTATCAAAATTTATACACGAATCAACGTCAAAACACAATACAAATCCTTAACTTTCCGCATAAAACAACGACTTTTCACTACACTTTAAAAAATTCAAGTGTTTAATGTACCCTTTACTATTTACCAAAACTGGTCATGGATTATCTTCTTCTGTTCTACAATACGTACGTTCCGGGGGCATTCGCCCACACCATAGCTTATAATTAACAGATCAAACGAAATTACGTGTGGTGAAGTTCGATCTGAATTATATATAAGCCTCGTCAAAATAATTAAGTATAACGTAGTACCTTCCACTTCGTGTTCAAACTACACGCATTTAAAAGATATCTATTTCTTTCCCTGCACTCCGCTCCCATCGGTCCATCATCCCGTCGTGTTACCTCATTATTTTAAAGCAAACCAAATATTTATACTTGCATGCCTAGGATTATGGGTTAGGAAGGATTTAATTTTTTCGACGGGGCTTCATATAATTCAGATCGAACTTCACTACAGGTAAGTTCGTTTGATCTGTTAATTATATTACGCCTCGTCTTCATAATTAAGTATAACGTAGATGTTTAAAGAAATTTGCAACAATTATAAATATGTAGTCTATTTCTGGAAGAAACGAAATCATAAAAGCATGGTAATAAACGATTGTTCAACACTAAACAAAAGGCTACCTTTGTAACTTAAACCAAAATACATCTAAATAGTAATTAGAGATTAAGAGTGCAGAACAACCTCGGCAACATTTGACTTTTTTAACAGCGTTGATTAGCAAATGTTTTTGACTTTTCAGTCTATCCTGCTGCCAGCCTAATTATACCCATACTTGCTCCCTTACGAGCCGTGGCCCATATGGCGGCATGCCGTGTACTATGGGCAGTAAATATGGATGTATCAACACCACTACATTTGAGAACTGCCTTATCCATCTACTAATGGAGTTATTTTTAAAAGTAGTAAATAGTGAATTTCACTGGGAGTTTCTTAATTTTTGCGTTTTCTTTAAATATTGCACACCTAGTCACACATAATGAAGAATCTGTCTCATAAAATGGCAAAACTAGAGTTGGCTGTAATCTATTTAAACCAGACGTTTTGAGTCGCTTAGGAATTTTAATGGTGACGCCATCGTCAACTATCTCTATATTAGAGATATCAATACTAGCCAACGGCTGAACCCTTTGTCCAATACTAAACGCTAATAGTGCTGCTAACTTATACGTTAATTTTTGTAAGGAAATGTTATTAATAATAATTATTTAATTTATTCACGTATTAATATACAATGAAAAGGACACGGTTCAGATGAACAAAATAAGATATTTTGAGCCTCCGTGGAATGTTTTTATGTAGTTAAGGACATTAGACGGGTCCCAAGTAGAGCTGTATTTGGGTTTGATGGGACGCAAATAAAAGACTCCCTCAAAAAATATTTTTAGCCTAAACTCATTACCAAAATATAACCCTGCTATTTGAGCTATTCCACAAGTGTACGAGATCATGGCCCCGTAAGAAGCGCCTTTATTAAAAAAAAAAAACAATGTCAAAAATGTTAAGGCGTCTGGTACAGATACTGAAAATACATTTAGATTTTCTTGCTTGCAAAACTCTCACCAAAGTTTTAAACAGGGATTATACTGCTTAATGGTACCACTGATAATGGAAGCCATACAAATATCTCATAATGGGTGAGCCCTATCATAAGATTGAAGTAAATCTTTACTTGGGGTAAAATGAATTAATTTACTAACAAGCAGTACAACGAAAATGCCAGTTGCTTAATCTTCAATTATCTTATGCAAATAATGTAATATGATCGAGAAAGGTGGAAATGCATAAATATACAAAGTTGACCAGTTAATTGTAAACGCATCTACCGCATAATTTTCTGGATCTCTCAGCCAAGAAATAAACCGTTTACATATTTTATTAAGTCAATATCGGACCTATTAAATTGACGGGTTATTTTTTGAAATGCCTCATTATTTAACTCTCGACGCAAGCCGACGTCAAAACACCAATAAAGTGAGCAAATTCCATTTGACATTTGATAAAGACACGGTGTTGTCGAAACAATAGTCATGTCATAATATATAATTTCGTGAAAATCTGAACTTTTAGTTCTTATTTATTTTGAGCAAATTCCCTGAAAACTTGATAATTTTTTGTTTTTTAAGCTGCGTTAAAAAAATTGTCGTATTAACTGGGTTATAGGTAAAACCTGAGAAGGTGCAAATCTGGCGAGGAATGTAAGTGCTTTTAGAAAAGTTTATAATAAACCCTTAAAATTCCAATAATTTAAGTTTCCTGCGTTACGTTCACACTCTAAAAATGTGTTTCCTAATAATAAAAGGTCATCTAGATATAACACAGAGATGAATCCTTTTTTCCTTAAAAAACTTAAGATAGGTTTCATTAGCTTTGTAAGAATTAGACGAGCACAATTTAACCCGAATGGCATACAGGTAAACCGTAGGTATTTATTAGTTTTATAGCAATGTTATGATCCTCTATTTTGAAATGTTTAGCATTTATATATTCATTAAGATGTTTGAGATTTTGTTTAAACCTCTGTGAACCGTCTGGTTTTGGAGTAAGGAATATTCCCGACATAAAATGTTTTTTACAAGATTTAACTTGACTATAGCACCCTTCTCTAAAAGGTCATAAATTGAATCTTGGATCAGTTTTTGTTCACGTAAAGCCCATTTAGGCTCATGTGGTGCGCAAAATTGCAATGGGGGTCGTGCGAAAGGTATTTTGATACCCTGAATCCAAGACAAAACACACTTGTCTTTTATACGACCAGGCTTGATAAAAATATCTGAGTCTACCAGCAATTTTACTAGCCTTGTACTTTACTATTGGTATATGATCTTCTGTCCTTGTCTCTCCGGCTTGCGAAACCATTTGTCCCATGTTTTGTGATCCCGTCGGACTTTCCGAGGCGAACTCTTGGGGTTTAAAGGACGCTTAGGATATGAGCCTGTCCTCTAGGTCCTTTCCAAACAGCCATTCATGGTTTGGCGCATTTAGCTTCTTGTTGAAGTTCAGGGCTACGAGCTCTCTATGACAAAGCGTCTTTTGGTGAAATAAATCGTTTAACAACCGCCCAGCTTCGCCTGGTTGCTGAATAGCCGATATGGCTGCGCTAATCTGCGCCTGGATATCACACAACGTTTTGTCCCTTCGAACTATTGAATCTTAACAGGCACTAATCCCCAAAGAATTTAGCTTAGGGGGAAATTTCCTAATTAACTCTTGCCTTTACTCGTCACCAAGTCCCTTATCTGAAATTCCTGACCATATTTTTGAACGGTCTTTTGGAATTGGTGGACTCAAGTTAGACGCCTGGGTAACATTCTTTCCAAAAGAAATATTACCTCCTGATCCATACTGATGTCACTATCAGACTCAGAGCTTTGATCGCCATTTGATCGAATTCGAGAAGAACCGGCGTCGTCCTCCCGCCTATATGAACTAACAGAGGGAGCAACAGAATCTCGCTCTGTATGATGATTGGCCGTAAAAGCTTTGCCAACGATGCTAGAGGGGTCTCGTCCTCGGACCTCTCATCGCAGTTTTTACGCAAACTGGAACTTGGCTACGAAACTGCGTACCATGGCGGCGGCTGGGCCGATCACACTCAAAACTTTTTTGAGATTTGGCAACATCCTCGTGCCTTTGATCGGAAAGTGTGTCAACATCACCGTGACCCTGTTTAGCGGATTTGGCAACATCGTCGTGCCGTCGATTCCGCTTATCAGATTTGTCGCCATCTTTCTGCACCTGTGCCGCTTCTAAATCAGCCAGTTGTTTGCGTAAAACATTTTTTTTTTTAATTTAACATTATCCTCCTCTTCATCTGCAATTCCTTTTCCGTTTAGTTAAAACTTTTGGCATTCTAACGCTTACCTGGAGACCGCACAACGCAGAAAAACACTATACGTTCGTAACTACGTAACGCGAAACGCTCGGCCGAGCAAACGACGCGAGAACCACGCAGTTAGAAACGCAATGATCTAGGTAACACGCCGGGATGACGGACCGTTGGGAGCGGAGTGCAGGAAACAAAAAAAAAGTACTACGTTATACTTAATTATGAAGACGAGGCGTAATATAATAGTAATTGACCCGCTTTAATATTTGCTGTTTTCACTACGGTATCAGGATCATTCTGTAGTAAAACCGTACACCATCCTGCTTCGCACAGAACAGTGAGACGTCGTTCTTCCTCTTTTGCGCTATCGGCAGAGTTTAATAATGGTAGAACTTGTCTCAGGTCGGCACAGTAATTTCCAAAACAGCGCCACCACACGAAAGCTTGGGCAACTTTATTTCTTATTTCCAGTTTACGTTATCGATATGCACCCCCATTCTACACAGATAGAATAAGCAATTCTTATCATACCTTAATTTCTAACGGTGCCCAGCCAATCAGAATTATTTGTAATCGAAGAGCGCGGGAAGGATTATTCGAAATTAAGTTTCGGCAGCTAGTTATCAAGTCTTATTAAGCTTTTAACATGGAAATGAAAAAGTAAGTTTATACTTTTTGTGTTATGATTGATGTGTTTAATTTTTTTTTAGGGACAAACTGACTTGTCAATTTTGTAATTTGGGATTTTCGAGTACCTCAACCAAGAACCGACATATAAAAACAAAACACTCAGACCAAGATATAGGTTCCGCATTTGAAGGGTCCAAAAGAAATGGGCACATCATTTGCCCAATATGCCCAAACAAGACTTCTTTTCCATTTCACAGAGACTTAATTAAGCATTTAAATACTTATCACAACTTAACTATAAAGGAATCTACTTTGTATTTTAGAAATGTTGAAGAGTTTCTAGGTTGGAAAGCCCAGGAGAATAGGGGTGTGAAATATGCTTGCCTTACAAGAAGAAAAGACCCACGCGGTGAAGAAAAAAAAGTATATGAGTGCAACAGAAGTGATTACAAAGGTTAGTTATAGTAATGTTTAAGTATAATTATTATATTGTTATTAATTTTTAGGATTTGTAAGTTCAGCTAAAAAACGCAGTATGAAAACTGGAGGCAGTATTCATATTCGTGGAACATGTCCTTCTAGAATTATAGTTACCACTTCAGCCGGGGGTAAATATTTTTCAAAAGGTAACATAATTATTATTGCAGAATATCCATTTACTGTTTTTAGGATCTGTTATTGTAAAGTTTGTTGAAACCCATGTGGGACACTCCGATGAACTAAGGACCAAAAGATTGAAATCCAAACAAGAGATGATTGCTCCAAAATTAACTAACCAAAGGATAATGGAAGAGACCAGGCTACAGATACCATTTGAGGAAAAGCGAGAGGTGGTGGTACAGTAAGTGTTGTAACTAAATTCAAGTTTAATGTTGTTATTTGTTACAGATTATTTTGCAAGAAATGAATAGTTTTGCACGTAGCTTGGATAAGCAATCTTTTAGCGGATATGTAGATCTTTTTAGGAAATTTGAAATGGAACATCGAAACGCCAAAGAACATTTTAAAAAAAGGAAAATCAACAAAAAAAAGGAAGTAGAACATATTATTTTAAGTTTTTAATTTTAATATAGATAAATTGTATAATAAATTAATGTTTATTTATCAAAAATAATCAAGCTTTGTGTCGGCAAACATCTATCCACTAACCAGACTCCGCAGGCTATAGTTTCTACAAATAAAAATAATACTTCAGCAACCATTTTTCTTTTTAATCACTTGTTTTTCAAGGATGAAAAAAGTGTATTTGGACACAACTGAGACAAACACATTTATTTCAAGCAATAAAGTTCTATCTAATTTAAATGAAGTTATTCAAAGCACATAATTTATTTGATAAAAATTATGCCTAACTTCATTATAAAAGTAATTGGTTAGTTGCAGGTGTGGCAGGCTATACTTTAAATTATTATTCTGTGTTCCTTATATTTATTTGTAATAGTCTCTACAGTCTGAAGGTTGCGAAAATCATAGAATACCAAGATTAGTTTTGGTATGTTAATTAGTAATTCTGTATTGTACTCGACTGGTCGAATTTTTCCGGCCTCGCAAGTTTTCATAGCTTTTGTGTCCATTCTTTGTGGGAAACTGCGGTAGAATAGCGAGTGTGAAGAAAACAAACACATCAACGTGTTATAAACTGACTGATTTATTGACGGACACAGTTGGATATGACAGGTAGGAGGCGTCCTATTGCGAAACTTAATTGTATAGTTTTACAATAGAGGGCGCCATATACTAAGGCAAAATTAAATCAAAATACAATCGTTTTCAATATGCCCCAACATTCTTAACTGAAAAAGTATCATTCACAGACAAGCCTGTCGGCGGAGAACATGCTTTTTTAGAAGAATTTTCTTTAAGAAGTTACATTTTGACTGTTAAATTTGTGATCTAGCGATTGTCTCGTCTTACTGATTTACCTTACTTACATAGAAGGAAAAGTTCAGACCCACATTTAAACTCTTAAAGTCGAGCGCAATTAAGTACCGTAAAGTCTTTTTTTAACAATTTTGAATTTATTTTTTGGTTTTTTGCCTTCCAGAAAAACATGTTTTTCTCCATAACCATTCACCCGATCGGCAAAATTCAGCAGACGTGGAAGGTCCGGTGCTATAATATTTATATTATAGGCAAAAATCTAAAAGACTTTGTAAATTGTTCTTTTCCGAGTAAATTATTAGTGGCAAATCAAAAATCGTAGAAAATATAGCTAGTCGGTTCGAACGGTGTCATAGGCCGCACCAAGAGCTACAATTTTTGTATTTGGGGTTTTCGTCTATCACATTCGTTGCTCGGGATATTTGAAAAAATCCATATTGAAATCCTTATTTCGGTTACTGTCAACACGCGATGACGTCATTGATTATTACGGCGCACTGCATGGTTTCAGAAAAGTCTTATTTTCTCAAAAACCATTTGCTATTTGAGAAAAATTCTTGGACCAGGAAAACGTGGAAGATTCAGGGCTATAATCTCCATTTCCTGATTTTATTTAAATTATGTACAGGGTATGTCGATTATTGGTAAAAAAATCTAAATTGGTAAAAATTTGTTTTAAACAGTTTCGTAAATTGTGAAGAGTTTCAGGTTTAGTCTATCATACAGGATGCGCGGGATACTTGGAATATCATTGGAAATCGTTATTACTTTATATTTATTTATTTTTTTTATTTTTTATTTTTTATATTTATTTATATATTTTTTTAATTTCCAAAAAATATATAAAATTTGGGAGAAATATAACGCAAATAAAACAGATACTGGAATCAAAAGGACAGAAAAGAAAGAAACAATGACTACTCTGATTTTGCGACAGAAATAAATTTAGACATTTAGAATAAAAATTGAATTATTAGCCATGAAAAATTGTATATATTTAATGTCATTGTTTTTTCTTAGTGTAATTTAATAAGATTATACCCACCTAAATAAACAAACAAAATTATATTATTACCAAAACCTTTGAGTGCGTTTAAAGTGCAAATATTCGCGCTGCCTGGAGAATACCGTCTCTGTCAACTTCCTTTCGGGCAGTACTCATCCTGCGACATCTCAGGAATAGCCGTCCCTTATCCGAGAGGGAGAAAGGCACTCGATCGGTCGAAATGTTCCGGTCGCTAGAGCTTTCGCAGCTCTTGCGCCCGTCCTTGACTGAAAACGTGCCTCACACGGCCAAGCCTATCGGCAACCTGTTCAGTGCTCGCCAGGCTGTCCTGCTGAGACGGTACGTGGACGTCTATCGAAGACAAAGACATTCGCTGTATTACGCGTTCGCGGTTCTTACCCTGTGCCACTCCCCCCGCCGCGGGTACCACCCTCGTTTAAGGTTTATGCAATTACACCAGGCGAATTGTTAGACGTTTTTGTGGAATCGAGTGCAGTGATTTTAGTGCTCGTAGTTTTGTTTTGTTGCCGCCACACAGGTCAGTATCTCGGTGTCTATATACCGGGTGGCGCGATAAAGGGCATGGTCTGAAAATATTTATGGTTATACAAGTCGATTTATTTTTGACCAACTTTAACTAAATTTATCCAAATTATTTATTATAAAGTATTTAATAAAAAAAACGTTATTGATTAGTAACTATTTCTCTATGGATTAAATAATTAGTTACTGTGTTTTATACGATTTGGGAAAGCTTTGGCTTTAGGCTAAATCCATAGAATTAGCCAAAAAATAGCACTTTCGATAAATGAAATATGGGTTTTATTAGAAGAAAAAAAAATCAAACCCGTTCTTCAGAAATACTATAATTTTCTACCTATGCAATATTTTTTACAGTTATAAAAACAACTGATCCCCAAGAAATATATGGAAAAACTGGAAAAACGTCGAAATTTTGTTGCACAAATCAGGTTACACCATTTTCCAATTGTCTTGATGCGGGTAATCATTGGATTCATTCGTTTCCTCTAAGGCTCCGATCAATGCGTGTATGCAATGTATTCCCCACACGAGTGAGTTGTTTAATCGACCGCAAGATAAAAATAATTTTCACCCATTTTTTTTTTTAATGTCATTTGCAAAATTGGTTCCCCGTCTGATCGACTATCGATTTCTCCGAACAAATTGGAGCTAAGGATAACAATTTCTTAATAATCTAACGAACCCAATTATTTTAATTTTTTTTTTCGAGTTTGTCATTTGTACTATTCTTTTTTCTTCCATTTCTTAATATTCAAGTTTGTCAAGTAAACCATTAAACTTATATAAAAGAGATCTTAGAACGTGAATACTATAACATATTATTAATGTTGATTTTTTCTGCATGTTTACACTCCGTGAAAACTGAAATGAATTGCACTGTTAGATATAAACAATTTGAGTTATTTGCATATTACGATAAAAAACTAAAAGTCTCGTTTCTGGCATTACGATTACGTTTTGGTTCGGAGAAGTGGACAGTTGATCAGACGGCGATCCCCGCGAAATTCGCAAAAATTGATTTCCTTATGGAGCGGCGGTAATCAATTATACTTGGGATACATATCTAAAACAAATATAATGTAGACTTGAAATGCGCGGCAACACCGTTAGAGCCGCTTCAATGGGCCAACAATTAATGATAATAATTTTATGCTTCCGGTGTTGCTCATTTGTTGTATGTGGAGCTTAAGCAAACGATAAAGACCGACGTGAATATTTAACAGAAAAAAGATCCTTAAAAAATATACAAAATATACATGGGTATAAATTACAAGGTAATAAAAGTTTTCGTTCTCCAAACAGGTAGATGCTGTAAATACACTCGCAGCGCTTATTATGTATATTCTTTTTGATGTAATAAATAACCTATAAGTACAGTTATAGAACCGCCGTTAAAATTCCTCTCTCGATGTTCAACGTGCCGGTGGTCGTGGCCACTGCATGTTGTATACGTATTTAGTGGCCTCTTCTTCATAAAATTGAAAGTTTTTAACCTATTTCTTGGATATTACTTATTAACATACAGAAAATTATTTATTGTTATTGTTATTTATTATTTGGAATCCTGGATGTGATAGATTTAGTAGATTTCACCCTCACTCGGAAACAGGTTAACCCATTGGTGAAACAAGATTTATTAGATTGCTTAATAGTATCTTTAGACCATTATTATTTTGAATTTATGGACGGGTTTACATCTCTAAGGACGGTTTGATTATGGGAAACCCACTTAGTCCTTTGTTAGCCGAGATTTTTGGGGATAATTTGGAAAATATCATACAAAAACATCCTTTAGGTAAAAGTTATCTATGGTGGTATAGATACGAGGATGAGGTCTTTGCTTGCTTTGCTGGAACGGACAGTCAATTGAATTTTTTTTAATTACATTAACTCATTACATAATCGTATAAAATTCACTATCGAGATTAAACAGGATAACTCTATTAATTTTTTAGACTTAACTATTACGAAAACGCAAAACATATTAGATTTTTCCATTTACCAAAACTTTTACACACGGACACAGTCATACATAACGGCTCAAATCACCCTTATACACACAAAATGGCTGTATTTCACTCTTTTATTCATACGCCACTCTCAATATAACATTGCAACAAAGAACTTAATATCATTAAACAAATTGCACTGAACAACGGCTACAATCCGTCCATTATCGATAACATTATAAATTAAGAAACAAATCTAGACAGCAGTAAACTCTATTTAGCCAAAACCTAATACAGAACACGAACAATTTAAAACAATTACATACATAGTGAAAAAGTTTCAAAACATTTGTCAACATGTGGTTTAAAAATAGCTTTCAAAACCAACAACGCATTAGGAAAATTTTTAAAAAACGATAAAACGAAATGTCCAAAATCTCAAAAATCAGGTGTCTACAGGTTGAAATGCGGATATTGTCCTAAAATTTATATTGGACAAACAGGTAGATGTTTCAAGAAATGCATTAACGAACATAAAAGAGCGTTTTGAAACAATAATCTAAATTCTAATTATTCTACATACTTAAACACAGAAAAATACATTTTTGACGACAATTTTGATATTTTACATACAGCCACAAAAATTAAAAAATTAAATTTTATGGAGATTAACAAAATGATCAATTAGATTTAAATACCTCTCCTTTATTAAACTTAAATTCTCACAACTTTAATTAAGGTTTTATGGTCATTTTTCGGTATATGTAGTAGCAGGTAGTATGTAAATATTACATTTGAAAAAGACACGGTGTTCTCGAAACAATTGTCATGTGAATATATATAATTTCGTGAAAAACTGAACTTTTAGTTCTTATTTATTTTGAATTATAATGTCAGACGCGGGTCGAATTTTAAAGTTTTAATTATATGTTGATGAATGCGCCAGTCCTTCGAGATAATTTTGTTTCGCATTGTGTCGCTTAGTGAAAGAGATCAGCGGCAAATTTTCCGTTTGTTCACGTGCCACACGCAACGCACTTTGATTTTTTTGAGTGTCTTAAGCGCGATTTTCACATTCACCGGAAGGAGAAACGCATAAATATTTGGCTAACCGTATGTTTACGTTAGCGATTTAGTTTTTAGTATGGAGAGTTTCTCACGGTAGCAGTTCGTTGGGATTTTTTGTAATTTTTGTATGATTGATCTTCTCCGATACCTATACATACACAAAATCTATATTCTAATCAACTAAAAAATTGCAAAAAAAAATCTGAAAAAATAATAACTGCATTGGTAGTAGCGTTTTGACATCTTGGTTCGTTTTCGATTAATTTAATATTATAACCATTTTTTTTATGAATATATTAAATTGACTAACGAAAATAAATAAATTGTTGAATACTAACCATCTATGGCATGAATGATGCGTTGTGTTTGATCAGTTAAAAAGAAAATTTGTCTTCATGGTAATTCTGACAATACGTTTGTTTATGTATAGAAATAACGCACACCAAATATCAAAACTCCAAACCCAATATTTAATTTGCAATAAATAATTCCTATTCCAATTCATAATTCATAAACGCGCGGGAATGATCGTGACGTCATACCGCTGATTTTCGATCGATACGGCCACATGTTATAATGTTATGCTCAGGTTATAGGCCGAGAATTATATTGTTTTAGAATTATATACAGTGAAAACTCCCTATAGCGAAACTCTGTATAACGCAAAACTCTGTATTACGAAAAAAAATTGTTGTACGATTAGGCCTCCATACAAAGCTATGTATTAATCCACTCTGTATAACGAATTTCTCACTTTCTATACCGAAAGAAAAAAGGACACACTTAGTGAATACGGCGAGCATGGCGAGTAAGCGAAAAATTCTATCTCTATATGATAAAGTTGCTTTAATTCGGTAGATAGAACGGCGGGAAAAGAAAAGTGACGTGGGACGTCGATTTGGAAGTGCAAAGAAAAAATCATGACATGACTGAAGCGGCATGTAGTTCTAGTAAAAAACTAAGAAAGCCAATGTTGTTCAAGTTAGAAATGAATTATTTCTGTCAAGAGAGATGCTTTGTCCATCTTTTAAACTTCTTTCCACATTTTACTATTTAAGTTAGTGATTAAAACTAATTTTTAATTAGACAGTAAGTGTTAATACTAAATATAAATAATGATATTTTATTTCGACTTGAAACATGATTTGGCGTCAAATTAGGGTTTTATTTGGTAAGATTGACAGTCCAATTTTTGGAAAATAATTTTTTTAATTCTCTGAGTACTTTCTTTTTAATGACCATGGGTTGTTTTACCAATGTATAATGTCGTCGCATTTTAAAGAAATGAAAGCGAGCATTGATGAGATCGTTTTTCGAAAAGGTCTGCTTGACATTTTGTGACCTACCCGATGTATTGTTTCGCCAAGCCTTAACAAATTTGATTTTTTCTTAAATGCCATCTGACGTTCTCATAAGCTCATTGAAAGTCGATTAGGGGGAAGGTGAAAATTTTTGCTAAATATCAACGCCTTACAGTACAGAGTGTCCTATTTTTCTAGGTATAACAAGCATTTTGTCGTTATCAAACATTGTAAATTATCCAGAAAATTAATTTTCATTTAAGTAAATAAGAGTAAAATTCCATGATTACGCATTTTTTGCCAAAAAAAAATGTGCGCCAATCGACGAAACTGATTGACTATTAATTGCATTTTTCGATATGGAAAAAGATCGTAATTACCCATTTTTTCGAATCGTTTCGATAAGCGCTTGGTTGATATTTAACGTTTACTCTAATAAAAACGCTGATCGGAAAGTAAACAATTATTTAAAGAAAACTAAAGTGCCTCTTATAACATTTAATATTTTTGAGCTCTATTTAGCAAATCTCAAACACCGATTTATCTTTAAAGATAGTTTAGAAACACCCCCATAAGACGTGCTCACAAAAACTCAGAAAACACATTTTGTAAAATGTTTTGAAGGCGGTAAGAAAGTCCCCGAAATTCCCAAAATAAATAATCTCCTTACCTTACTT